ACGGCCAGTACTATTCAAAACAGTTCATTCAGGACAATTATTAATTGCATGTATACTGATGTACATATTATCTTTTTTTCTTTCTTTCATTTCCAATGTACATATTACACATGTAAACATTTTACAAGTTCGCTTTATAAGTTCGCAGGGTTGAAAAGCATTCATATTTTTTTATAACTAGTTTGGATTCACCTTATTGTCTTCTGTAGTGCTGTTACTGATGCATTGAAAAAAAACACCCAGAATTCTGAGTTAAAAACTCTGAGTTAAATTATTTTTTTTAAAGTGTGAACGTGATTAATGAGGGACTATGGTTGGAATTGCAGAATGAATGACGCTGCACTTCATTACCACACTGAGCAGCAGAGGTCTGAGTGTTGAGAGAGTGTGTCTAGGCTGACTAGACATGCTCCCTGGGATTATGGTGATTGGAAGACGACAGCTGTTCATCATAAATTTATGTCTTTAGCTTTTCGGTTTTCTGGTTTGGTTTTGTTTTTCTCCACTGGAGTGCAATAAATATTGGAGACATGTTTGAGAGCAAAGCAAATATGAGATGAGCACTTCCATGGCTGCTGAAACAAAAAAAACAAAAAAAATTCAATCGGGAAAGAGTTCCATACCTGGACATCATTTGACACCCTGTGCACAAACCCTATGAGTCTGGTCTGAAAAATTCCTTCTTTTTTTCGGTAAATGCTTCAAGTAAGGCTTCAACTAATCTTTTGCTGGATATTTTTTAACTCATTTAAATGTATGTGATTGGGAAAATTAAATGTGTACAACTCATTGAAAATACTCCTGCTTGTGCTTGTCACAATGCATTGTGGGAGTTTGGATCTACTTTTGGCCATAATCAATTTCCGACAATGGATGGATAATAATTTTTCAATCATGTAATAAAAGAAATGCAAACAAACTTTGAATATTTAGGTACTAAATATTGTATTTTGACGGCTTTGCAGTTTGTACAAAAAACGTTTGTTGAGGCATTTTTTTTTTTGTGGCCTTGCTTTTTTTATCCATGTTATCTATTCACATTGTATTCTCTAGAAATTATGTTTTGATATTAGTATTCTCAGTCTTTTCACATGTCTCAAAAGTCAAATACAATTATTATAAACAACATAAATTAACAGAAAAAAAAATTACATCTTTAAATCCGAACTGAAAAATAAATGTGTAGGGGGCCCGATGTCAAGTATTGACATAAGGACAAGTGTTCTAGGCCTAAAAAATTATGAAGTATTAAGTAAACAGAACATGATGAAATGTGTAGGCCTCCCCCCCCCCCCCCCCCCCCCTTTAGCACATTTTTTTACAAATTGTGCTAGGCCAGGGCCTAGGCCCATATAAACAATATTGACATGTGAGTTGTCATGGACCTGGTTGTTGGTTGTGACACAGTTCAAAACAAGATCAAAATAATTATACCCAAAACAAAATACAACAGTCAACACTTGAACAAAACACTATACACTCCCTACAGCAGCTATATCATCACATTTGTGACCTCCTGAACTGTGGAGTTGAATATACATGAAATATCCACCACACCGAAGTGCTAATGTGACCGAATTATATGGCTTCGCTAAGCATGCTAAGTCGCTTGCTGGGCAAGACACGCCATTGCACTCACTGACGTGACAGCAGTTTAGTTTTGGCCGTCAGTGGCCGGCTAGTGGCCGTCATGGCTCACCATGGCATGCTGATTTGTTTTTTGACGGCGAGGGGAAGACCGTCCAAAGGTCGAAGATTTCACCCGTAATTCCTTCCTAAATCCGAAAACCAACCACAGAATCTACTGATGAAAATCCCCACCTCCACTTACCTGTAACAACGGCGAACAGAAGACTCAGAAATGTGGATAAAACTGTGAAATTCCAGTAGTTACTTTTGCCGTATAGTCCCATCCAAGTCGCCATTTTGATCATGCACTAGCTGTACGATGTGCATGCAAGGTTGATTGTCAATACACTTCGTGCAATCAATCCATTCAACATCCCAAATGCCAATCAATGGGGGTCTGCGCAGTAGTACCGTACACAAGGTTGACATGAATATTCAGCATTTTGATCCTGTCGTCACGAAAGTCGGTTCCATGATTGTGTGTAGGGGTGGCCCTAAAATATCAAGGCACTAGTAAGCACTTTGAAGGTGTGTTTCTCCATGTAATTAAAGGTTTTTTTACAACAGCTTTAGAAATGAGAAATCAAAAATAATTGTGAACGATTGTATTTCACAATTAATATTTCCTTTGTGGGGAATTAAATAAACCATTCAATATTCCTGATTATCGTTTATCTAAACAAAACATAAAATAATGATCTTCGTGCTTTAAAGCATAACATATTCTTGGTGAATTTTGTGAAAAAAAGCCAAACATATTTTGGCTTGCTGTTTATGCTTGTCTGTTGCGTTTTACGATAGCGGAACAGGATCTGTTTAGTGAATTAACTTTAACCCACCCATACATAGTGGAACATTCTTAGAGTTCTCAATGTTTACACAACAGGGGGGCTGTGGTGTCGCCAGTGAGTCGACAGTGGACAAAGTCAGGGGACAAAAAATGACCACAAAGAATTTCGAGACTTTTACTTCCAGTACATTGGCCTGAGAGTGTCCATTTGGGCCTTGGGCAAGGAAAGAACACAAGCGGGAGACAAAGTGTCCACGTATGAACCAATGCAAGTTGGTGGCGCTATGCGCTAGCTAATGGTCGTCAGCATGGAATTTCAGACACTTAAATTAGTGCATATTTTTCTCGTCCTAGATCAGCAATTACATCTTGGGGTGTTATTGCCCTTTACTTTTCCTTTGTCTTACTAAAGATGACCAAGACTAACAAGGCCAAATGAAGAAGAAAAAAATCTAAGCCTAATAAAGTAATTAAAATTAATGCTTGTGTGTGTATGAACAAAAATCTGTTGATGTAATGAATAGCGCCCTCTTTCCAAGAGGGCGTCCTAGCATAAACGCGAAGATCTCTCAAACGCTTTTTTAAAAGCGGTTGCACAGCCTTATTAACGACCTGCTGTATAGGTTTTTTTTAATACTTTACCCTCATTTAATTTGAAACAAAAAGAAATATGATATGGTATCGCGGCCTTCTATTTTGAGTTTCAATTTCAGCTGAAATTTCCGAAATAATTTCCTTCTAACCTACCATCCGAAAATACTTCTAATTATTTCAGTCTTCAGAGAGTGGTCACTTGACCGCACCGAAAAGTGGTCGTGAACTTCAACAGGAGACGGGAAAAAGGGGGAAAACAAGCAATATAGACAAAGAGTCCAGAGTCCAGTCATATTTTCCCTCTTTAAATGTTTTGTTGAACTGAACTGAACTGAACTGAACTGAACTGAACTGAACTGAACTGAACTGAACTGAACTGAACTGAACTGAACTGAACTGAACTGAATTGAATTGAATTGAATTGAATTTCTTCTTCCATAACTTCGTCAGCAGCCTGCGGCCGTGGAGAATGCTCGTTTCTTTAGATTATTGATAGTTAATCTGCTCCCTGTTGAAGAAAAGGCGATGTATTTTCCAACGCAAGCAATTACAACGAAAAAATGATTCTTAAAGGGCTCGTGCAATGTTTATGCCATCCTTGAAAAAAATGTACCTTAATTTGTGTCCCTTTCAGTATCCTCCATATTTTCAATTGTCGTTCTGCTATTTAATTTAATTTTGGTGTGCCTTTATTATTTTCATAATACAAATTTTCATATTCATGAGCAAAACCGTGATGTTCCTGGCAGAAACCTCAATGTTATAGCGCAAAAATATAGTTGCTAGCATTTTGGATATTTTGTTGCCATCGTGTATAACTTTATTTTCTCTGGCGATTCTTTGTTGTGTCATTACATAGCAATATGAGCAAACCTTTCTCACAAATGTTTTCATCAAGCAAATTTTGGGATCACAATTTGAACAGAAAACCCCTAAACTCAACGTTCCTGAGATCATGACACCACAGCTAGCAACAGCGCTGCCAGTTGGGAAATTGAAATGTTTAAAAAAGCGAACTTTTCAATATAAAATATTTAACTAAAAAGGGATATCAAATAGTTTTCACACATTCAAGAGGAATAAAAAGTGCACCGTGTGTTCCTAAGAAAAAAATATTTGCATGAACCCTTCAAAGAAAAACACTTACTGTACCCTTTTCATCTTACGTACGAAAACCAAATAAATAACAAGATGTTAATATTGGGGAGGAGGCAGACATACCACGTTATTTTGTTTTTGTTTTGGGGTTTTATTAATTTTCACTTTTGTAAATACATTTTTTTAACAGAAATGCAAGTAGACTTTTTTTCTGTCTTGATAAGAATATTTAGCACCCTTGGCTGAACAAAATAGATCATGGATAAAGGCATCTCCCTTTATGTCAATAATAATATCTGTATAATAGGCCTATGTTTATTTTCTACCGAACAAGGAAAAAACGAACGACGACTATCAAAATATTCGTTTTCATGCTCAGTTTGAGTTATCTTTTTTTTCGGGGTCTGTATATTATGAGTGTTTCGGAGCTTTTGTGAAAAAAACCCTGAATTTTGAACGACCAGCGATACAGAACATTAAGATCGCATTCAGAATTATTTACGTCATCACGTTGTTGTTATTATCGCTAAGAATAGTTTTTGATAAGTGACAGAACTTTCCATATCTTGTTCGATGTTTACTCATCAGCATAATACGCACTATCTGAGTCAGTACCTTCCCGGCGGAGTTGCCCAGCAAAATGATCGTACGTCATAGCGGCAAACCAAACCGACACAAATTGTGCGCCCATTCTCGCCCAACTGTGCGAGTTGTGATGAAGGCTCGAGTCCAACATGTACATGTACACGTATAATTCGTACGCGCACAGGAACACGTACACCCGCGTTGGGCGATTTACATACTTTTTATATTTTTGTGAATGGGTGGCGCTATGACGTCAAACACTGGTGACTCACCGTTCCAACTACTAGTACTACCGACTTCGGAATGTAATACATGTTTTTTTTAACTGATCCCAATAAAAACTCGACAAAGTTAGCGTTTCGTTTTCAGTTTGATATTGGAACTCAAGCTGACCGGTTGTCGAAAGGTCTGATAAATAAAAGAAGTACATCACGCGGGTTATTATAATGGAATAATTTCGAATTCTACTGCTTTTCACCGGTGCACAACAAAACAGACTTTTCTTTTTCATACAGCACCACACGAGTATTCATCATCGTGCGCAGTTAAAAGCCGTCGGGAAATAAGGTAAAAACATTATTAAATAAATGATAAGTTTGCATTGTTTTCAGTTGTTTCCTATACATGGCTTTCAGTTTCGCGACTAAAATAGCACTTTGGGAAAAGGAAAGTTTCTTAAATGCCTAATTCCCGAATCTGAGAACCCTGTAGGAGAGTCCGGAATATTTCTTGCCACAGTTTTTTTTTCTATGGTTGAAAATGTGACAGAGAATCAAAACTAGTATCAAAAGGTTATCAAAATGATTTATTTCGCATCAGGGAGTTTTTGTAATTTAAGTTTCAAGAGTTCTGTTATTTTTTGTGCACTTTGATTAATAAAAATAAACGATAATTCACACGCAAGCGTGTGAAGAGGTGGAGCCAAGTTTTAGATCATGTACATGTAGATAAACGAATTTGGATCGCCCCTTTTATCAACATTGGGAAATATTCATACTGCCACCAAAATGAATTATTCATATTAAGAAAATAAATGACATTATTTTTGTCGAAGTTAAAACTTAAAACGGTATCCTTCCTCCATGCTGAATTTAAGCCAGTTTAAAGGGCGGGGCCTATATATTTATGTAGGGGCGTGTCCACGTACGTAAAATAAACACAGAATTGACAATGTTGACCGATAGAGGTCGCAATTTATTCATGTACGGGGTCAACGTAACAGTGGCGATACCTGGCCGAAACTGCTTCTGAAACCACTGGAAAGTAGGGGAAATACAGCATTTTAAGCAAGCTGTCAACCGGTGTACAGAGGTATATGCGTAATATTCATGACACTCATACTTTTCCGTGCTATAATTACATTCGATCGTCCTCCGATTTGTCAGTTTTCATTTTTAACCATCATCAATTAGTTATTGACATACAAATAGTGTCGCAATTCACCATGGACTCTGGAGGACCATGGCCTATTTTTATAAGGCCAATTTTTTTTTTACAAATACTTGATTACTTCTGCTTTCGATTACATGGCATTTGAAAATAAGGCAGGTAGCCTAGGTAGGGAAATTTTTTGTTTTGGGAATTTTTTGTTGTGTTCGATCATCTGATCATAATCATATTATAGAGTTAGAGGTCATGGAGGTGTAAACTTAGACCCACTATTCACTAATTGGGCGCTAGAACTCCTTTTTTGACATTTGGGATGTGGTCTGTACATCCCAAATGTCAAAAAAGGAGTTCTAGCGCCCCAGTTAGTGGCCGGGTCTATGGAGGTGTCTGCCTGTAGTCAAGGGTAATTGATGATTTTCGGAAGTACATGTATCATTTTTTTGGCCTAACACTAGTAACAGTAGTACGCCATCGCGCCATTGACAATGACGCAATAATCATTGACAATGTCACAAGATCATCTTCCAGCCATGTATAAAAACCACGTTATTGTTTCAACATGTTCAATGTTTTCTTGCTTTGGGAAGAACTTACCACTTGAAAGTATAATACTTTTTTGAACATTTATACAATACTACTTGCCTTCTAAAATGCTGTTTTGTTTCGATTGCAGTGTTAAAAAGAACTACAAACGACAGACAAGATGAGCTACGGTGGTTACCCACCAGCACCAGGTGGCTACCCACCAGCCCAAGGGGGTTACCCACCCGCCCCAGGGGGTGGGGGCTACCCCCCTGCACCAGGCGGTGGAGGTTACCCACCAGCTGCACCAGGGGGCGGGGGTTACCCAGGGGGTGGTGGATACCCATCTGTGCCGGGCGGTGGGGGTTACCCACCTGCACCTGCCCCAGGGGCCGGGGGTTATCCACCAGCTCCCGGGGGTTATCCGCCTGCACCAGGAGGTGGGGGGTACCCACCAGCCCCTGGGGGTGGGGGTTACCCGCCAGCACCTGCCCCAGGGGGTTATCCACCGGCCATGCCACAGCCTGGGTATCCACCAGCGCCACAGCCAGCAGGGTATCCAACTGGTGTAAGTAAATTAGGGGTGGATGAAGTGGTCCATGGTGTTTTACACACCACAGGGAAAATCATGACATTTTTCTGTAAGCATGTACTTTCTGACATGCACCCACATGGACACAAATTTATTTTCGAATGCTTGCTTGAGGGGAAACTGAATTGGTACGGAAAAATGAGAATGGTTTTTGAGACTTAAGTTTCACAGGACTGGTGTTGGTCTTAATTTTCCGTTCTGTTGTGGCTTGTTCTTTTCAGGCACCAGTTAGCATGCCATCTGCGGACTATGGTGCCTCCGTGGGCTCTGCTGGGCTTCCTTACAACCCAAACCCTACCAGCAGTATGGGCTTTGCTGTAAGTTGCATGACATTCTCATTTGTGGGGAATAGGAACTCCAGGCTTGTGGGAAACACTGCAGCCTGAGGCTCACCCTATGCTCCAGTTGTGCACAAAATTTGATTACTTCTATACTTTAAACTTTAACTTAATTCTCAAGTGTATGATGGCCCTGAACGGACATCAAAATCACGTACTTTCCCAGTTCTCTGTCATGATATTACAAACATCCTAAAGTTTATGACACACTTTGTATCTTGCAGTTCTGTGAAGTTCATTTGTGACGTGGCAAATTGTCTTACAAGTCATATTTTTTGGTTTGAAAATGTCAGTGAAAAATGAATGATATGGTAGAGAACGAAAATTGAAATGCCTACAAATTAAAAATTCTAAAAGTTTGTAATTATTAGAGTTTCTGTCAGGGCCGTCATTATACTTAATTTCTGATGTGCACATAATCATACATTTACACATTTTTATCTTCAGTTTTCAAATGTGTTTGTGGAACATTCTGTACAGATTTGTACATGTACTATGTTGCACATTTCTGGCATTCTTCACTTGCATTCCAACTTCATGTCTTGTCCATTGCATCACTGCAGGTTCAGCCTACATCTACATATTATAACGATCCATACGCCGACCAGACTTGCTTCACTGTAGGTCTTTGTATGACGTGAGCGTGTGCTGTGCTCTTGATTATTTTGATTTCACAATCTTCACTGTTTCGTGCTAGTTTTGTTCATGTTTTTTTGTTACACAAATGAGTAGTTGCCCCCTGTATTGAGAATGGCATACTTTTGATGATGCATGTTGCATTGTGGCACGCCTTTTTGTGATTGCAATGTTAAACCGTTCAAAGGTCAGTTCATTATCAGGAACATCTCAAAGACACTTGTTAAGCATTAAAATTGGATCTTGAACTTTGACCGAATTTTTTTTTGATAATGTTTGCATATTCTTTGTTTCACATGCTTGCATCGCATGTAGTGCAACACAGTGTACAAATGTAACATAATACATTTTCATATGCAAATGCAATTCTTATTTACATAAGATAAGGTGCATTTGCATGGACGCAAACAAGTATACGTGATTCACAATGTACCAGTACATGTAAATTATTAGAATACACCTGTATAGTAAAGGGTGAATAATAAATTATGGAAATATATTATGTAAAATGTTACTCCGATGCCCTCCACCGAGTCAAAAATTAAAATAAAACCTAATTTCCCTTACATTCTTGGCAGTTCACTTCCACTTTTAATTTTGGATCTAGATGTCTAAAAATTTGCACGATGGACCTTGAATTATGTGCATGTATGTAAAACAAAAAAGGGGAAAAATCAAAAACAAATAATTAAAAAAATAAATACAATTTTGGACTAGTTCATTTATGCAGATTTTCTTTCTATGCAAATGTAAAAGTATAATCATTTGCCATATGAAAAGAAGTTTTGCCCAACAGAAGTGCTGAACAGGCTGGACAGTGCATGAAGATTATCGCATATACATGTAAACCTCCTTGCACTGTTAATATCCGAGCCCCGTTGCACCTTTAAGGACCCTTCCATGCATAACGTGTATTAGACAGCATGCCTGTCTCATAAAGGATTATTAATGAGGTTTGATGTGCAGTGCGGCGCCAGTAGGAAGAGTTAATGAGATTGCCTCGACATGTCCTTGCTTTGCTTGAATGGGAAGGTCATGGATGGCTGATTTAAAGAGGCAGTCATCGTCACAATTATTTTATTTTCCTTTTGGAAAATTTTGAAATTGAGGGTTTTTTTTTTAATTATTTAAATTTTACTCTGAAGCCCTCCACCGAGTCAAAAATGAAAATAAAATCTAATTTCTTGAATTGAAGCTCCTGGACAATGTAGTAAGCAGATTCTCTAGAATAGAATTAGTCTTGCATACTTTGCACCAAATGTGTGGGAAACAAGTCTGTTCACTTGGTGTGTTTTGTACACAGAGCTCTTATCGGTGGTCACAAAGTGATATTTACTGTTAGATGTGCATAGTCCTTACATGTAGCTTTTATTTGTATCTTCCAATTGTGAATGCTTCAAAATTTATTTAGTGTACAAACATGTACATGAAGAGTAGTAGGAACCCCAATATTATGTGTTCCAGTACTTCAATGGTTTTGTACAATAAATTTATGTACATTGCAGCATTCCAAAAGCACGCAGAAATTGAAATAATGATGTGATTTAACTCGCTGTATTTTCTGTTCTCTTTATCTAGGGTGCAGCATACGCTGCCACAGCCTTTCGGCCGCCCTCTGCCTCAGCCTTCCGGCAGCCCGCTGCCCCAGCCCCTGGGGGTCCGCCCATGCCTACGCCTCAGTACACTCCTACGCCTCAATACAATCCACCCCCTGCTCAAAGAGCCCCCGCCCCTCAGTCAGCTCCTGGTGCACAAGTGAGTGGAAATCTAACAGTTTATTCAATAGACCATTATCATGTTGCGGCCATCTTGATTTGTTCCCATTCAAATCAAGGTAACCAAAGCGAGGCTGGACGAAAAAAAGTCTGGTTCCTTTTTGCACAAAAAGATCATCATTCAGTACTGTTATTGGATACAGGGAACATGACTGTAATGGTGGTAGCATGATAAACGTCTATAAGGGCGATTCAAGGTGATAAGTTTACATTTATATGTATAGTCACCATCCAGAATTTGTTTTGAATTGATTGATTTATGATTATTCAGCAATTGGCTGGATAGCCCATGAAAGTCTCTCGACTTATTCCCAGTGGGATCCCTTGGTAGAAGACGTGGGAGGAAATTACAGTTTTAGTGGTCGGAGGGAAACTCCAGAATGATATTTTTAGGAAAACCAACAGAATCAGGCAGGGACTGAAAATCCAATCCACATATTGGCCCAAGCAGGTATTGAACCCGGGTCACAGCAGTGGAAGGCGAGGAAAGTACTGCTACGCCAACCTGAAAAAGAACACATTAAAGTCAACTAGGATTTTTAAATGGACGATATTTCTTCTTTCTCAGGCACCCATAGTACCAACTCAACAATTGGCCAGTATGTCCATGGCACCCAAAGCAGTCAAGAGGGTGAGTTTATTATTTTTCTGGAAACCAGTATGGTCAGAAATGTACTAATTTTGATATTTTTGTCTAATGACAGATTTGATGCAACTTTTAATTTAACCTCAACCTTTGCCATGTAAAATTGCCAAATTTGTTGAAAGTAATTTTTTTCTGGGCCTTCCTTCTTACAAAGCTCCATACAATTGGGTACAGGTCTGCTGTATAGGGATGGGGGTTGGATTTTGGTCGGAACATTTCTAAATATCACCTGTTTTGATAATACATTGTATTGTAGGGAACAGGAACCGTGAAGGAGAAATCCAACTTTGATGGTCACAAGGAAGCCGAGATCCTCAGGAAGGCTATGAAGGGAATAGGTAAGTGACCTGTTTTTATCAACAGCGCCCTCTGTTGATTGCAGTTACAAAGTGGCAGGCGGCAGTTGTCTTATAAATCTTTTGCTCAACTTAAATGGGGTATATGATTCGTAATATTATTTTAACATGCTATGGTATTTATATCATATCATGGGTAAATGACTACTGTGTCTGGTTTGTGATTTACAACATGGTCCTGAAAATATAAGTAACTGGAACAACATGCTCGAATGCAGCCAATAATGTCCTTGGGCAGGACACATTACCACAATTGCTGATTCCTGCTGTGGAGCACGAAATATTCCTGGAGTCCACGTAGAGCTGGATATATTATTGTTTGATTGATGAGCACTAGTTAACAGAGTACATATGGTAAATGCTTGTTATTTATCAATCTTAAGGTACTGATGAGAAAGCTATCATTGGCGTGGTAACTGCATGTTCAAATGCTCAGCGACAAAGACTCCTGATTGACTACAAAACGATGTACGGAAAGGTAAGAAAAGGTTTCCATTTGTTAAAATTCTATTCTACGAACAGATATGAACCCTAACTCTCCCGAATCCTTCAAAGTCCATGAGGATGTTTGAAGGATTATTCAGGATTCAGGAAGGTAGATTGCGTTTTACTTGACTTGGGACTTCATGCTTCGTGAAAATTATAGTAGGAACAAAGTACCTGCAATGGGTTGTGGAGGCTGTTGGGGATTCGAAAGCTTCCTACGGTGGCAAAAGTGACAAATAGGGTTAACCCTCCTGTGCACACATACATTCTGTGCAAAGTTGTCCTTTCAGTCAAAATAAATCAAGTGACTGTTTTCAACAATTAAGAGTTCCCGGCCTACATAAAGCAGGATTGACTGGCTGTGATTGTTTATGTAACTTGTTGCAGCTATGCTTTGACTGTAGGTGATTGATAAGCCCGCTGTGCCTACCGCTTGCCTGCTTTTGTCTGTTGACTGAATTTGACTAGTCACAGTGCTTGCTTGAAATATGATCTGACTGTTGGTGACTAGCCTGTGTAAAAGGCTTGGCAGGGGAAGAGAATATATTTTTTGACTGTCTGTGACTGTTCAGATAGCAGGAGGGTTAATTAATTATTGTACTGATGCAATATTCGGTTTTTGGTTTTTTTTTGCTGGCAGGATTTGGTCAAGAATTTAAAGAGTGAGCTCAAGAGTAAACTGGAGGAGGTCGTCTTGGATCTGATGATGACGCCGGCGTTGTTTGATGCTCACCAGCTCAGGAAAGCCATGAAGGTACTGAAATAAGAACTTTACAAACCAATCGGTAATTAATGCCAGCTTAATTAAAATTTGTTTTGGAATTTCAGCCAAATGTGTGTTGGAATTCACATGTTTGAAGCCATTTTCATATTTACTTGTACGAACACGCCAAGATTTATACCAAAAATCTCTTTTTTTCTCTAGAAACCTTAAAATTTTCATTGCAGCCAAACAATTTTAATGGTTGTGCAGCTTATGATAATAAAAGTATGCAAAGTAATGATTTTGATATGTTTTCTGTGTCCATTAATCGCTGGGGCATTGCTTGGGTTAATATGTATTATCAGCTTGACATATTTTTTTCTGTTATTATAGTCTACATTAATTGTAAGTGGCTTTGGATTTGTTGTCTTCTATAATTTTTTTTTGGATAACCCACAGTAAGGATGAAATCAGTGTCATGGTCGAGTCATCGCAATTTTTGTACGAGTCAATCACAAGTTATCCAGTCCTAAGTCATATCACAAGCTATACAAATGACCTGTATTCTTATGATGGGGCGCTGTGGTCCAATGGTTACGGTGTTCGACTCGTGTGCCATGGTACGTGGGTTCCAACCCTGACGGGGAACATGGTGCTTGTGTTCTTGGGCAAGATACTTTATTCTTGGGTAAGACACTACTATCGCCTCTCTCCACCCAGGAGTATTAATGGGTACCTGTGAAGGTAGAGACCAAATTGCGCTGATCTCGAGCTGCTGCAGAAAAAAATGGTCTCATTCCTGATGAACAGGGATAATCATTGTAAAGCGCTTTGAAACCGTAGGTATAAAGCCCTATAAATATAAGCACCAATTTATTATTATTATTATTAGTAATATTATAAATCTTGTGACAAGACTTGAGAACTGACTTGTGATTTGTGATTGGCTCGATTTCACTCGATGATACGGTTTATTTGTATTGCTGATTATGTAATGAACTAACCTCATTTAGGGCCTTGGAACGGATGAAGCTGTCCTCATAGAGATCCTGTGCACAAGAACAAACCAGGAGATAGTTACCATCAAGGAGGCATACAAGAAAGGTTGGTGAAATTATTGTCTCATTCAAAGTGGATTTGAATTTGTATTAAAAAGTGGCTTGACGGTAATTGTTTTCTTGAAAATAAGTACCATCATTTATCTAAATGAATTTGAAACAAATTGGCAACAGTATGTTAGGAAAGTCAAGAAAAAGTTGGGGATTTCACTATTATCCAGAAAAGACGAAGCGACAGTGTAGCTTGAATTCTGCTTTTAAAGTGGTGTCAGAGCAGTACTGAAAAAAGAGTGTAGTTTAAATGAGTCAACTAAATCGATCAAAGGAAACTTTGAAAAAGCTTTTGGGAATGTCATATTAACACAATTTGTAGGATTAATGGTGACATTTTATTTGTGCTGTACAGAATTCTCCAGAAACCTTGAGAAGGATGTGATTTCAGAAACGTCTGGCCACTTCCAGCGGCTGCTGGTGTCCATGACTCAAGGAGCGCGACGTGAAGACCCGACGGTGGACCAGGCAAAGGCCAAGGCAGATGCTAAGGTGCAAATAGGGGCGGTACCACTGATCGCTTGGGGACGGGGGAGAGTTGTTGGATGGGTTTGAGCTGAGAAAGGGGCTTGGAGTTTGATGGTTGGTTGTTGTGAAAGGAAATGGGGTAAACTCAGGGGTGTGAAATCTCAGCTGTAAAGCTGATTTCAGCTTTTTTTGTTTAGGATTTCAGCTTTTTCCCCTCACTTGCTGTGTACAAAAGTATAGGAGATTTCCAAAGTTCAGCTTTTTTACACCTTTTTTACACCTTTTTCAGCTGTTTTCAGCTATTTTTATCAGTGGTCACTCACACCTCTGTAAACTAACTGGGAATATTTAACAAACTTGACCAAATTTTGCCAGAATTTGGGACAAAATCAGAGAAAATCAAGCCATATCAGACATAATCAGGTGTAATCAAATGTGGCAACCCTTAAAAATGAATTTGGTAACATTGCGAAAGTTTTGCATCATTGTACGATTAATCCGAATCATAACGTTGAATATAATGCAAGTAATTTTGATAACTTCATTGTTCAATCTAGTGCTGATATTGTTGACAAGTTTTTTTTAGTTTTGCACAAAATTAGAAAGCCTTATGTTAGGATCCGAGCAGAATCTTTGTCACAAAAAACAGTTGACTAATTGATGTCATCCCCCAAAATCTTCAGGCTCTCTGGGATGCCGGGGAGAAGAAGTGGGGAACGGACGAGTCTCAGTTCAACGTGATCTTAGCATCGCGTAGTTTCCCTCAGCTGCGAGCCACCTTTGAGGAGTACAGCAAGCTGGGCAAATACTCCATTGAGCAGTCCATCAAGAGGGAGATGTCTGGAGATCTGGAGAAAGGAATGCTTACCATCGGTTAGTACTCTTAGTTTGTCTGAACGCTGGGTCATATTTCACGGGAAAGTGAAAACGAAGCAAATTTCATGACAATCGCAGTTTTGTTGTGGCGTTAGCCGTTACCCTAACGAATTAAATTTGCATTGAAGATTATGTGAACTATTAATTAGTTTTAGTTTGCATTACCTCTGGTTATTATGTCAATTGATCTTTTAATAACTTTTCAGAATGGTTGTATACTGCAAAGCCCAGAATGAGATTTAGATCACTTGTCAACATAAATAATATAAAATTTGCACTGGCCATAGAGCTCAAGACCAGATAGTAAAAAACATATTTCGCTCAGAGCATCTTTGCAATTATATTTCAGAGGTTTGCCTGTGTTTCTGCAAGGGATGATTGATGTTACAATTTAATCAATTGTGTTATTTTTTTTTCACAGTTGACTGTGTGCGTAACACACCGAAGTACTTTTCCGATAAGCTGTATAAATCAATGAAGGTAAGGAACCATGTTCTAGGAATTTTAAATCCAAAATGTTGTGGAACAGTGGTATATTGTTAAACTGTTAACGCCGGGATTATTTTGACAGAGATTGAACCCAGGCGCGGGATGGTTTTTCACGAACCTCGATCCCAGACGGGTTCAGGCTGTCATCTGCAGGTAGCACACCCTGATATTTCCGGCCTCGCTCGCTGCGAGCGGGTTGCAGACAGATTTTTCCGGCCTCGCTCGCTGTGTGTTTATCTGTCATCCGTTCCGAATACCGCATAACCTTTCTGTGTATGCACGTCATCCGACCTGAACTGGTTAAATCCTTATTTTTGGGCTTATTGTAGGGTCTTTTGAGACTTAATAGTTTTCTGGGAAACTTTCACAAGTGCCAAAATCTGTACGGTAAAGAAATGCCCTATTATGTTTACTTCAACAAAATTTGGAAAATCAAGCCCTGTGCAAAGTAATAATGGTTGAACTCCACTGTTCTGAATCAACCAAAAATAATATAAAACAGGTTTCGCCCTTAATTTTTTTTTCACTAGCCAGCCGGACTAGTGAAACAGACTCTTAACTAATCCACAGGCCTTTTCACTACTCCATGTGTGTTTTAATTCGTTCAATAGAATCTGTTAATTTTTGCCCCACAATGTGCAGGGTTATTTTTTTCTATGACTGGCTTTTTTTTAAATGTGGTAATTCGTGGACACGCGGAAAAGTTGCGTGCCTGATTACAATCATTTTGACTTGCCAGGTGGACCACTTAGGGAATGGTTTAGACTAATCCGCTGTTGTTTTTTCTCGCATTTGGCTGGCGGACTACTTCTAAGGTCGAACCTTGATGTAAAACCTTGGAGTGGATTTCCGGATTTCTGTGTTCGGAGTTATTAGGGTGCAGTTTCAAACTGTTGACGTCCACACTAACATCAGTACTAGCTGAAGATTATGTTTAAACATTTTCTCTTAATTTCAAGCTTTTTTCTTTTCATGTAGGGCCTTGGCACAGATGATGACACACTGATACGGATCATCGTGTCTCGCTGCGAGATTGACATGGTTGAAATCAAGCAGGAATTCCACAGGGATCACAAGCAGACGCTCGGCAAATTCATTGCTGTGAGTCATAACACATGGTTCATCTAGCTCCACTTTTTAAAGCCATTTAATATATTTACATTAAAGTGATAAATGCAAATGTGAGTTTGACATTGTGAAACATTCACATCAAATTTTACCACATTGAAATGCGTTTAACTATAGCAAATTTGCCGTGTGAAAATCTGACATAGGGTTACAAATTCATGCTTCTACATAATATACACTGGTTCCGTCCTGTTCTTTCAAATTCTAGGATATAACATTAATATGGAAAACAGCCCGTCTATATCAATCTTATTAGGCTAAAGTTTGCCTTTTCTGTTATATATTACATATTTGCAAAACAGCCCAACAGTGCATGTAACCAGCAAAATGGAAATATTCAGAGTTTACGCACCTGTGACATGTGCTTGTTTAAACTATATCTTAAAACTTTTAATTTGCAAAAGTTGTTCTGGATTTTCATTGGCTACTGTTATTTAATTCAAAAAAATTTTTTTTGCCATTCTTTTTCCAGGGAGACACATCTGGCGACTACAAGAAGATTCTATTAGAGCTGGTTGGCGGGGAATCGTAAAGGCACCAGACTATTTTCTCCATAGGTAATTGAAGAGCTTTACATCTATATGTCTGTGTTCACTTGTGTTTGCCTCATGTTCCAGATATTTCAATGTAATGTTTTCATTATTATAATCTTTTTCTGATATGAATATAAACACTATAATATGTTAAGCTGTACGATGTGCATTTGTTTGTGTGTTTGATGTAGTTGATGCTTCTCACTTTGAAAGCATAAGGTGTAATCTAAGCCAGAATTTCTGTGTTAACTATTATGAGTTTGTCTAGGAACAGGCACATATGTTTCCATAAGCTTTTGTGAAATTTGATTATTTTCCCGGCCAGTAAGGCAAACAATTAGGTGTTGTTACTGCAATATTACTAAATACATTTTGGTATTTTCTTATTTCTGTTGTCCCTGTTTTTAGATATACTGAGGGAAGTTTAATTTGTGTATTTTATTCTGTTTGTGTTGTTGCTGCTTGTAGATATACAGGGCGTCTAAAGAAAATGTAGCAGTCAATCATTAAATGAAAGGACTTGAATTCTAAGTTGGGCCACTTGGTATCCAATGAAAGGCATTCACATACCAAGAAGGTGAAGAAAGTGGCCCAAGCAGATGTTGACAGGCTTTACAAGGTTTAACGTAACTTTTAAACAAAAGGTCCAAATCACACAGAAGAAAATCCTGTCGAGGGTAAAGAAATACTCTATCAGCTCATGGTCAATTTTTCACCAAAAAAAACCAAAACGATATATTTTCCTGAGAAAAAAATGTTGTTTGACTGCTACATTTCTTTTCAGTCACCCAGTACTGAGGGAAGGTTAATTTCTTTCGCAGCTTATAGGGTAAACAAACATACATTTCATGTATAATCCTTTATTTTCATTTTTATTTTTCAGTTAAGATTGGTGATGTACATTGGTTTGTGTTTATGCCTTGAAGAAGTGTTTAACTTGGATTGAGTAGTTGCTTTAAAAGTCTCGTTGCTAGTAATCGGTTTTATCATTTTTATAAAAGCAATCAAAGAGGTTTATGAATGATAAAAATGGCCAGAATATTACATGGGCATGTATCTGTACAAAATCTGGTTATTGTTTTTTTATGGTATTTTGTATGTGTTTAATATTTCTTGGTTCTTACTTTGACCCTAACTCCTTAGGCATTTTTGCTAGGATGCATCCTCAATCCTGCAAAATCCTCCAACTGTCTCCGTGTAAAAATTGCATACAGCCTTAATCCTGCAAAATCACCCGTTATTTCTTAGTTCCTTGGAGGGTGACAACTGCCTCAATTCTGCAAAATGCTCCAGCAATCACTGTCAATATGCTGACGCAGAGCCAGTGACATTCTGGAGCAGTGCGGAGGATTTCAAGTATAATCTAGGCCTAAATTATGCATGGCTGAGCATAAACAACTCAAGGTCCATCCTAAGACCTTGACACAGTGCATCCTCTAAAATCAGCCACATATTTTTGCCATACAGCCTCAATCCTTTAAAATCCTCTACTTATGCAAGGAGAATTTTGGAGGATTTGGGAAGGTTAGGGTTAAAGTTGGAATGTCTCAAATCAGGCAAACGGTAGTCAATTCTCAGAACTGCATTTGAATTTGTTTAAATCGGGTTGGTTGGAAAACACTCTAATCATCAAAATGTTAAAACAAAATATTTAATAATTAATGAAGTAGAATATCTATACTGAATTATGTATCTGACAAATTTGACTTGAGAAAATTTTTTTTTTTTTTCATTGACAATGCCTATGTAAGTACAATGTATATGTTTAAAATATTTAGAGTTTGGTGGCGGCCTAATATAGTTTATGTATAATGTGAAATTAAGAAATATCAACATTAGTTGAACAGCCTCGGTTGTAAAATTAAATTCGAGATAAAATGTATGAAACCTGTCATGTGTAACATGCAAGAACAAGCACCTTGCTGTTTACGAACTATTTATTGGTTGTAATTAATATACAGTGCTGCTAAAGAACTAACCAAGTACTATATGGTATGCATGAACAAAAAATGAAGCAAAAGAGCCAATTTTGAGTTAGATTCGGTAGAACGTCATCTCAAAATGTAGAACAGTTGTGGTTTTTTTGGCTGTCTTTCTCTCTTCCGTAAATTTTCAAGCAAGACAGATTTTGGGTGCTTATTGACTAATACTCAATTTTATAAATTTAAAATTTCCTGAATACGTGTATTTTCAAAACTTTGTTTGGGATTCTTGTAGAGAATTTTAGAATGTGTAGTTCTCAACTGCCTGATTTGACTTGTGCATTTTCTTTGTACTTTTCTACCTTTACAAGACAGGTGAGAAAAAATATCTCACATCTGGTTCTAAATTTGTGCTTCATATTTTCATCACTACGCATTTACTGAATGCCATTTCTATATTCTTATACACCTATCTATCTTTTTGATCAATAAATGGATTGACAATTCAAATCATAATCTTGTGTAGTGGTTTTTTTTTTTCTTGTGAACATTTAACATTTCTTTTATCAATTGTATCTGTTTTAGTTTTCACATTTTCAATTTTAAATCCCTTCTCATATCAAGAAATACTAATTTGCAAGTTTTCTCAGATTCTAAAATTCTCCAAGATTGCATTTTTCAACCTGCATTTAAAACAAATAAATATTGTGTGCATGATAACCACCTGCAAAATGACAGCGTTTAATTGACATATTTCTCCATATTGACAGGCGATAAAGGTACTCTTCTGTTGGTGAAGTGACCCTATGTAAACGGATTCACCACACCTTTTGCCCTTATAATGCATTCAGGGGCGGCGATCTCTTCAGATAATTGGACGATTCCAAAGTTCACTACAAATCGGTTAAGTCAATTTATCATGCACCGAAACAGACATTTGCCATAGAAACTAGAAAGACCGTATTTAGATATTTTTTTTGGACAACTCAGTCACATGATTATCTTTTCATGGGAGAAGCTGTTTGCAGTCTTAATACACACCAGAAGTTAATGTTGAGCAAAACGTTTGGGTACAAAAAAGAATTTGATTAGTCAGAATTTGATTAATTCTGCAAATATTACAAAAATGTACACAAACAGTGCAAATAATTCAACTAGGATATTTTTCAGCTTTTCATTTGTTTAATACAAATGTTTAATAGCCTTTGAACCAAGTTACAAAATATACAAATTGTGCAAAATCTAGTAAAATATTGAAAAGTGCTGAAATAACATAATTGCACATGTAAAAAATACTAACTCGTATCAAATATAAGCATATGCATTTACAAGATTCAAAATTCAGCGTCTGGCTTTAAAATATCAACTTATTCCATATCACTTACAGATTACAGCACACTGCAGTTGCCACAGATTTTTCAAACATTATTTTGAATTGCAAAAGATTGCAGAACTTTAAGAAGTTAACAGAACTCTCAACAGAACATTAATAGTGAATCGAAATACACCCTCACTCAATGCATAGCACACCATGCATTAAAATTTGCTTTGTAAATCGCTGCTTATATAGAACTGCACATCAAATATTGCAAAGAATACAACGCTGCATGCAAAAACATATATGTACATAAGAGCTTCCATGAGGTTTATTAATTTATCAAAAATATCTTGTATTTTTTGCATAGGTCATTACTTGTAAAAAAAACTAATACTAAATTGGGTCTATGACAACTGTTTGTTGATATGATATACTTCCAATATGAATGCCCTACCAATGCTGCACAATTCTAACTCGGATATTGTACCTGCCTTACAGACTGAGCTACACAATAAACATTTTAAAAAATCTAACCTTTAAAAAAGTGATAAATTAGTTATTACAAAGCAGATGTGGTTTGCTTGAAAGAATTTTTGTATTTTAATTTTGGGGAACTGATTTTCAGAAAATTGGGGTGGGGGTGCATTGGACTTTTTGAAACTGATAGAAAAAAATGTGCAGAGTTTCTGATAAAAGTTTTTAAAAGTTTCCCCTAATTAGCTTTCCCCTAAGAAAGTTGTCTTTAGATTTAATTTGTTTGAGGGATGCTTGAATCTTGCCTGTACAGAACCTATGTTCAACAAGCATACATACAGGGGCGGATCCAGGGGGGCCAACGGGGGCCATGCCCCCCCCCCCCCAAAAAAAAACGAACAGAATTTTGTTTTTAAGTGACATCGCAATAAAAGCAGGCACTACCTACATCACCATCTTTTCCTCCAAAATAAATTGGTCAAAGTGGTCAGAAATTGCCTCAGATCGCACCAAAGACAATCTAGAATCCAAAAGTTTTTTTGGGGCCCTTAAGCGGGCCCCGAACCCCACACTTTTATTTTTTGGACCCACTTTTTGGGGGACCAAATGTTTTTTTGGCCCCCCCCCCCAAAAAAAATGGGGTTCTGAATCCGCCCTTGCATACATAACTACCAGGCATGAGATTTGTCAGACTTGTCTGATATAAGACTTTTTGAATCTGAGAGAAAGACATTATTAGTATGGAGAGATTTACATCTTTAAGACATTTCACCAGTTTTTAGACTTTTTTTAACTGACAATCTCATCCCTGATTACCACTCAAAACTTGAAAACCCAGCAAAGAGTTCACAATGGCATCCTTTTTAGGAATTGTGTGAACAAAAAACATGTAGTTTAGCCTTTTTTAGCATGCACTATAAAATTGTTCTGGGTCAATGAAGTTGAAATTTTAATTGTTAAGTGCGTTTCAGTGAGTTATCTATGAAATTCAGATAGAAATTTAGTACCAAAAAGGTCATCAGTTTCATTAAAGATGACTGTCAGTGAAAATTTAATAAATTTACTGTTGATTTGAATACTTTCATTGTTTTACAAAAAAAATATTCATTCACTTTACAAAACATACTTTTTTGCGTTCCTGCAACAGCTGTTCTTCAGTAGTCTGGTTTGCCAGGTGAAGATCTGCAAATAAAGAAAAAAGAATGGCGACATCAACAAACAGATTTTGTAACTCAATTTCTATGGGATTAAGGGTTAGGCCTAAAGATGAAGACTTTTGAAGGCCTTAAACTGTTTTTGAGAAGGAGAGCTCTAGACTAAACCTTTTTTGAAATATTTGTTTAATTTCAGGATTTTGTTTTTGAGAAAAGGCAAAATTTAAGGTGGTGCCACAGTTTCTTGTTTATATTTAAATGTAAGATTAATCAGACTCCTCTATTTACTTGAAATGATGAAATATTTGTTTAGTGTCAAGGTTTTGTTTTTGAGAAATAGCAAAATTTAAAGGATTTCTCCATTTACTTGAAATAAACATTTACGATTTCTCCATTTACTTGAAAAAGACATGAATGAATGAAAGGAACATTTATGAATGAAAGGGGACATTATTGCAAACAAAACTTCTAGATCTGGAATTTGGTGGCAAAGGTACTCGCCTGTAAGATGCATTGCTGTAGTCGGTAGTCTGCGTGGCGGACGGTGCCACACCGAATCTCTTCAAACTTGAATGAGAGTTCCTTGAACCTGCACTCCCTGTCCTGCCAGATGCATGATGGGATTGATGCGATCCTGACTGCCGGTCAATAGATGAGTTACCGCTGCGTAGGCTGTGGGTACTGGACTGGCTTTCGTAACCGGAGTTGCTCAGGCTAGTAGGTTTACTATGACCTCTGACTACTGAATGGTTGCTTCCCGATGCGACAGAATTGTGGGCACTTGTGGGTCGACTACTACCATCAGATATGCTGGGGAAACTTCCATGATGTTCAGGTTGGTAGGATGCTACAGTGTGAGGGCGCCGCACATGCGCACCGTGATGCTGGTGAGGGATGTAGGGGTTAGCAGTATGGGTCCGGTAATAGTTGGTATGGGGGAACATCTTGGGATAGTCTGGGTGGTTGGGTGCTGGGTACCTTTAAGAGTGGGCAAAAAAAGGATGATTAAATAACACAACACATAACACAATTGACATTACTTTTTTTCAACAACTGATTTAAAAATCATAAATATAATTTGTTGACAGCTCTTTTTGAAAAAAAAAACTCGGGGCAAACTCACCAGGGTTCTTGGAATCTGTGGGTGTACTTGTCTTCTTGTGCCTGCCTGAATGTTTCCATCTGCAAAAAACAATGTTGAACTTCTCATATTTTCCCCTGAAATATAAAACTTGAAGATTTCTCTTTCAAAAATGAAAAATTAAAATTTTTAAACTAAAATATGATCAGTAGCCTATATGAGGATAATTTGTTTTGCTTTATTGAAGACAAGGTTGGTTTGAGGACAAGATTTTCTAGAATATATAACTTTCTAATTTCTCTCTGAAAACACCTTCATTTTTTTCTCCTTCAAAATCAGGTCTTTTCAACTGTTTTTAGGACCAAAATATGATCAATATATGTGGGGACATTTTTGCAATTTTGAAAACAAGGCCGTTACTTAAATTTCAATATAATCCTTCCCCCCCCCAAAAAAATTGCGAATGAGGAAAGAAAAATTCACTATTTTTTGAGGAGAATTTGTTTGAGTACCTTAATCTGCTTGCCGCTGGTGATATTCTTCCAGTCCACGAAGGGTGGAATAAGCCAGCCCACCTCCCCCGCCCACTTCCCCCTAGAGACGGGGTGGGGGGAACCAGACGCCCCCCTCCAGATGTACTTCAAGTCGCTGGTACCCTCTCTGGACATGGTTCCGATGCCGACCATGTGGTAGTCTGGGACGACATGTGCCTTGTAGTCCCTCACGCCCCCTGGACCTAACATTCAAATTATGAAATGGGATTTATGACATTGAAATTGTTAGAAGCAATGAGATATATATCCAAGGTAAGGCCAATAGGGTAGGTAGGTAGGGAATTTTTTGGGGGGGGGGCCAATTTTTTCTGCGAACGATCATATGGAGGCGTCTGCGTGTAGTCAAGGGTAAAAGGTAGAATTTGACGGTTTTGGGTGTTTTTTTTCTCATTTTTCCCATAAAAATATTTGGGTAGGGGCTGTCAGAATAGGGTAGGTAGGGAAACCGGAAGCAGAATTTTTGTTGGGCCTAATCCTCCTGCAAACTGTAAAGACTTATCTGTTTTAATTTAACAACATCTCTACTTGTTGAACACAATGGACAATGACAAATTGTTAATTGAAAAAAATTATGAAAGCTATGACTAGCTATTAATTAATTTAGAATGTAATACATAACAACTGTTTGTTTCTGTGTGGTTTAACAATAAAATGCCTCCATGCATGGAACGCCAAACTGCTTCTTTAAACAGAAAAGAGCTTTTGCAAAATATCATACCAACAACAAACATAATAATTTTGTTTGGTATGCTCAATAAAAGTGAGAAAGTTGACTTGTTTTTAACTCTCTGCAACCATCATCCCCCAACTTCGACTAGTCCACTTTTTTATTTCATCTGAAAGAAGATGAAAGTATTCAACTCAGTTATGATGATAATTATTGTTGTTTATTATTTGAAAGTTTTTTCCCCTGTGTAACTCACCTGTAAAAAGCATCTGTCCTTTTCCCATATTGTGAGTTCCTTTTTGAGTCAGCCAGGTAGCGTCCGACCGCACCGAGCTCCCGCCGTGCGAGACGGACGAACTACGGCGGGAACTACTGACCACCGAGTCCGCTGGCATGATGACCGCCGCGGGCTGGACAGGGTCCACGAACTTCTTCAGAAGTGAAGCCGATGGTTTCGGCGGCAAATTAAATATATATTTGTTATTCGATTATTTTTTTACTGACACAGTAGCTCAGAAAAGTAGGTATACGATCGTATCGTCTGTCGCAAATGAGAGTAAAAAGTTTCCTTTAAAGGTTATTTGGAACAGCACTTGCACTACACTCCTTCCTCCATGGATTCTACATGTCTTTACCGTCTCTGTTCCGGCTGAAAAGCTCTTCTGCCTTTACATGGATCGGGGCACGTCTGTGCCATTGTATTCCCTTATTTTGAGGACCTAGTGACAGACTAATCGATTCGATGGCCCCTTTGTTTGCTATTGAGCTTTTCCTGTGAGAGGCCGTACACGTGACTGAGGCCAGGCAGAGTTGACTTATTATTATGACTAGCTTGACACCGGGACGCTGCGGCACACGTTGCTAGGCAAGTCGAACGTCACTTGGCACTGCAGGTGCCCATCAATCAACAGGTGTAATTGGACTGCTCATGTGCAGTGGAACATACTATTTATTTCGAGCCAATAGAGGGCGCAGCTCACGCTTGTGGAAATAAAAAATAACTGCTCTCGAAAATAAAAATAACTGCTCTCGAAAATGAAATCGCGATGGCACTAACGGGCATTCGTAGCTTTCTGTTTCGGCTACGATAATTTTATTTTCTGCAAACGTATGGTTGTCAGTAAAAGCGTTTGCTTGATATTCATACGCCGGATGCAAATTCTTACTGGCAGTAAAAGCAAATGCATATGGAAAAAGAATCGTCAACCGCGCCCAAACTGCTTAGCTTAAAGACCTACGATTTAGACTGAAAATTGAACAATTTGAATGAAAGGACAAAAAATTAATGGCAGGATTATGTCACAGAACCTGCAAAGCAGACGAAAGCAACAGACTATAATTTTTTTTTACTTGATATGCTTGATATTCATACACCGGATGCAAATGCTTACTGGCAGTAAAAGCAAATGCATATGGAAGAAGAATCGTCAACCGCGCCCAAACTGCTTAGCTTAAAGACCTACGATTTAGACTGAAAATTGAACAATTTGAATGAAAGGACATGAAATTAATGGCAGGATTATGTCTTAGAACCTGCAAAGCAGACGAAAGCAACAGACTATAATTTTTTTTTTTACATTATTACTATTATACTGATTACGACTATTACGAACGACAAAATTTAAATTACGTCTAGTAATCTTTAGTGCCATCTGGTATTTAGCATATTGAATATGAATAATTTCCACCAGTAATGAAAAATGTTTTACAATTTTCTGGGACCAAAGCAAAAATGTAAGGGGAAGTATGTCAAGACAAATCCACCGCAATTGTGCTTATAATAGTTCAATTAAAGCTGAAATTCCCAGATCAACAAAAAATAACACCTAGCAAATATTTCGTATTGTAAGCAGGGAATGTTTGCGGATGACATGAGGTGTCCGAAGCTTTTTCTGGGCCAATTAAGTCTGAAAATACCCTTTGTAATAGTGGACCGCTTATGTGGGGAACGGTAAAAGCCTGCGGAATATATCGTAGTGCCATTATGTACCAGTTGCGCCCAATATTCATCACTTATAAACTAAATACCACGACTTTGCTGCAAGGCGCACACATTCTGTAAAATCGTTTGCTGCAAGGCACACAAATTCTGTGGAAGATGCATGCCATTACTTTGCTGTTTTGTGGATTGGTGGCAGCGGTGGGATTCTATGTAGTGGACGCACAACACTGCTGCTATACGAAACCATATATGATAGAGAGTGGTAAGTATGTCACCTATCGACAACGTCAAGTATTATAGGCCTAGGCCTATAATGAACGTTTATATATAACGTCAGTACAACGTTGGCAGGCCAATGTAAAATCTTTTACCGTTCTAAAAAAGAAACCTTAATTACTTTTAACATGACATTTGCCATTTTTTCAGTGTCTGGCGTTATCTACTCGGACAACAGCGTGCATACTGAGGTTGGCATCTATGGTCGGGATCCAAACAGTCATACGGTCGCTTCGGATAGAACGGCCACTGATGTGAACACGGGAGCCCAGACGCGTACCCGTATCATTCAAAAGTTCAATCATGTAAGAATATCCGTGCATTCTTGAGAAATATTGGAAAGTTTCATCACAAGTCTGGCCAATAACTAGCCATAAGTAAGGGGCAAACTGGCATTTCCCCCAAATGCTTTTGTTTTTCTTAACGTTAATTTATGATATATATTTACATGTACAAATCAACTGTTCAATCGTTTTCTTAAATATCAAACTTTTGCCGATTCACCAGCTTCAAGATAAGTAAGAATGTAGGGGAACACTTATAGTTTGGCACCCACATGAAATTGTACTTTACAATCCACAAACAACCATTAAGCCATGTTCCCATTTAATCCATAGGCTGCTTCGACTGGTAAAGTCTGGACAATCAAGAACGAAACGAACTGCTCGATGGAGGAGAAGCCACTAAAGTTCCGCGCATGCGTATCTGGTAAGCACAGTATTGGTTTTTGCTCCGCATAGAGTTTATAGGAAGCAACACATTTAAACCATCCACATATTAATTTCATTTTGTTTGTTTAGAGATTATTTTTTTCTCGATTTTTCTTCAGGAAGTTTTCAGTTCCCTTTTATTGTTGACTCAGTGTATAAACTATTACCAGCGCCCTGTGTCTTTCATGTATCAGACGACTTCTTAAAGATCCCATCATTTACCTACGGCAAAGATGGTTTGACTGTCGACCGATACCAGAAGATAACTCCGTCATTGAGCTACACCTTGTACTACACCCCAGATTGCGTACTGACTAATGCAATGAAAGTAGAGACCAAGGCAGACGGTGAGTTATGGAAAGCAATTCCTTCCCTGCCTTTAACTAAATATTGTTAAATGTTGGTTATGATGGTGATGATGTTGCCTATAGACGAATCCGGGTCGGTGATCACCAAGAGGCCCCCTTCAATGGAAAACCCATTGTGCACGCTATTGTTTGAAGCAGCTGCCCGTGGCGAATTATCTAGCACAGCGCTTTCGCCATTGACGGGGGCCTCCGTGATAGAATTGACGGCGTGCCCGGACTAGTCTTGGCCTATGTGGTGCTGATTTTGTGAGGAGTGGCAGTGGTAGGGATAACGATGGCGGTGACGGTGGTATTTAAAGACAGTTGTATTAATTCAAGTGCATTCTATTACTTAATTTTCAGGAAAGACGGTGTATCTGCGTAATTACGGCAACTTCCGTGAGGTGGACTTCCCCTGTGCATTTGATGACTTATTCAATCTTCCAGACTTCTGCCCTGGAGACGTAAGTATTTTTCAATCGAAATTATGCTGTTATTGTTTGATACATTGACAATTTTTATGCAAATTATGCATTTACATTTTTAACTCAGACACAAAAGTTTGATTTTTGTTCAGGTCCTCAAAGAGTCTCGAAGGTTCGGCGAGTTCGAGCAAATCCTTTCTGCGTCTGATACTGATCTTCTGCTGTGAAGCACCCGGTCACTGAAGTACGCCATAAAGAGATTGATTTTTTTCACCGTTCGTTTCATCTGCCATCGTATCAATATGAGTAATCCATCGATAGTAGTAGACCTGCTGTCTTTCACCGGAAAAAGGACAAACTCGGCACGAGCGGGGAGCTTTTTTGGTTGGGTAAAGCGAAATCTGGTAAAAGGGGAATTTTCGTTTAAATTAGTAGAAATGTTCACTTGATGTAAGCCTATGATAGTGTTAATTTTTAATTTGATGTCGTCTACAACGGTTTCCGATGAATTTCGTGCATTTGATATAGGACTGTCTCTAAATGTTGATTTATTTTGGACTTTAGACAACATTTCCAATGTTTTTAATTCTAAAAGATTTTTATGTGTTTTTTGCGTGTACTGAATGTGATAAACAGTTTTACTAGAGTATTAAGTAAGAATCTTAGGGTGTTACTGCTTTGTTAATTCTTGAGCAAATATAAGAACAAGCTACACCTTCGTGAGTAGCCGATAGAAGCCCTAACCCTTTACCCGTCGGAATAGGGTATAACACTAATTTACTAACATATAACTGAATTGCTTACCTACCTGTACGTCTAGCCATGGATTTAGCCAAAGTCCCCGTCAAGAAGATTGTTTCTCTAAAACTAATTCCCTATGAGGAGCTGTAAGTTGTCTAGCAGTAATTTAAAGCTGTGCATTTGGTTTCCTGGTTGTGGGGAGTAACATCTCAGCCTTCTCGGGGTAAAGTCAAGAAAGAGAACGTCTCAACTGCTACACAATATGTACATGAGGTGATCCAGGCCTCCATTCATATTTCGCCATGCGAAGACTCGATTTACTACGGCATTCCTTGCATGCAACAGATTATCTGGATAAGGTGCACCAACAATTTCTGACGGAGTGATCATTGATCCGTTGTTTGTTATAAACTGGCGAGGTCTATTGCCTTATTATTGGAGGTTAAAAAGAGAATCTTAACAATCCGTCTGTTTAGACAAACATCACACGCATTACATAATGGTATAGCATGACTTTGCCTCGATTTATCAGACACGTTTAATTAACAAAACAGACACTCTGCAACAAGCTTTCGTGTCAGAGTGGATGCATACTTTTATTATTTCCTTTTTAACGGCTATTCACATTGTGTCTATTATAGGATTGCACAAATAGGGTGAGACCGACCAATATTGACTGACAGATTCGTGCGAAACACAGCAAATGAAAAAAAAAATGGGAAGGTGACACAACACGAAGTGTTTTACTTAATACCGTTTTCAAACTGATACAATGTGAACAACTTACGTAACAAAACAAAGATTCACTTTAAATAACACTTTTTAAATGACAATTATAGCGGAGCAATTAACCTTACAGGGCGCCACCAAGAGGTTTTTCCAAAGAAGTTCATTTTTTTGCAATGCAATATTGGGGAAAAATATGCCAAGCGCGCTCAAACTGCTTAGCATAAAAAAATTGTGCGATTTAGATTGAAAATTGAATAATTTGAATTTATTCGCTTGTGTTGTATTGCATGTAAATAACAAAGGACAGGAAATATGCAAAATGTCGCATGTGAAGTTGAAAAGTGGCAGTCGGATAAACGCTTGGTGGCGCTCTAGCTATATTTTGACGCGCGCTTTTCAACTTGGAGCGTGCGAGTTTTCAAGGGGCTCATGCCTATCCGTCTAGTAAGTGACCGCGTCATATATACACGCGCACGCACCACTAATTACTAGCACCCATTGGCTCAACACGCCATTTTGTTTTACTTCCGGTTCCAATGGTTCCAATATGCTACTATACTACGTGTGCAGTGGGCATGGTTCAAGTTGAAATGACGTCACGCTTAACTTACGAACCGGATAAAGGGGAGAAGGTGTGTGGGTGTTTTTTATTTTTTTTTTAAAATTTCGCATGCCCTCCAGCAACAGTGAATAAACAGTGCTTTATAATGTATGATAAGTTAACTAAGCACAGTAAGTAACACTAAACAGTGTCTATAAATTATTTCCAAAATATTGAAGACCCTTTCGTCTGGTAGAAGGTGGTGGACCATTTTCCATTTTCATATATATTCTTGCGGGCAACTCTCTTCTCATCCAATAATCACGTGGATAGTCATGTGGTCGGCCACCCCAACGCGTCCCCCTGAAGGGAAAAATAAAAGAAATTGTAGCCAAAGTTGCTACTTTTACTGTCAAATTTTGCTCCATTGTCCTGTTCACATCTAAACGAGACAATGTCGTTAGCGTGCACGGTACAACCACTGTCATGGGCGTCGCAAGGAGGGGGGGGGGGGCAAGGGGGGAGGGCACTTGGCCCCCACTGGAAAAGCAAAACAAAAAAGAAAAAAAAAAGAGAAAAAAAGGAAAGGAAAAGAGGCGCGAAGTCATAGTGGTGTTAATTTAATGGGTGGGGGGGGGGGGCAAAATGTCCCTGCCCCCTCTAAAACTGCTAAGAATGTGTTGAGAAATACAGGCATTTTTTGGCAAAAATATGTTTTGCCCCCCTCTAGAAAAAATCCTGGCAACGCCCATGACCACTGTCGGTCTTTGTAGTCTGCACGGTCTACGAGATCCCGAAAAAAAGGCTCGGGGAAAATTTTTTTATTCTATGTGACAGGTGAGGCCTACCTGATTCTGTAATCTCACTCCATAGAACAGGCGCAGGCGTGGTGCTGTACAGGATCGCATGCGGTGCTATCCAGGGACAGGCCGGCGTGCTACCTGCAACGAACATCCATCCCATATCGCTTGTGCAGTTTATTGAGTCGCTACTGATGAGGAACTGACGCTTTGGCCTACAAGAAACATTGGAAATACAAATATTAACAAAAAGGGGGAAATGCATCACCGACTCAATGGGTGGGTTGCGCGTTCTTTAACGCTGTGCGTGATGGGAAACAACATGGCGCAGGAAGATCAGCTATGATTACGTACAAGTACATTTGTGTGACCTACTAAACTGTAATTTAATAGTAAAAAGAGACATTTTATTGAAGGTTCCCACATCTTTTTCCTTTTCTTATAATGAAAAGTGCATCATTTTATAACCTTCAATTTTTTTCAGGAAACAATAGCAGATTTCTGTAATAAAACGCGCGTCATGCGCGCGCCCTGCTGAGGTGCTGTTTCTCCTTCTCTCTCCCTCTTTCTCTTGCACGATTGAGGGCGTGCTTTTGCATGAAGACTATCGATGAATTAAAGATGAAAGCTTAAATGTCTAGCATGAGCTGGAGAGATGGTATATTTACCACTGTTCAGAGCCGTTCATGGACATGACGCCAGTAAAGGTCCAGGAATGACTTGTATCCCACCAGGGACACGACAGAATCCGGTCCTTGTTGAACCAGTCGGTTACTGTGGATAGTTCTCCAGTGAAGATCAGTTGTTTTGCCGGCTTTGTGTCGCCAGAGGTGAACAGGGAAAGCTTCACCTTAACAAATTAATTTAAAAAAATAAGTGAACAAGAGAAAATTTCCATGACCATAACGGACCGCATACCTTTTATTAGCCTTTATGAGAAATGAGAAACGACGAGAGAGGGCGCTTTTCGATATACTCAGAATTGTTATAAATTATACTCACATTTTTCCTAAATCTATAGCCCACTGCTATGGTATCCACCATTATCTCACAAAGGCTTTTAGAAATTTTGCAAAACAAGCGAATTACTCCTCGAGATTTTTGTTGGCAAATTGGCATTACAAAAAGGTTCATTGTGTGCGAAAGGGTAGAACGAATTTTGGTAAACTTACAAACTTTATTGGAATCTCCCGGTTGTTCCAGGCATCGTAGATGGTGTTGTCTCTGAAGGCGCCTTGAGGCTCTTCGCGTGAGTCCAAGAGAGGGTCGGTCCATAACTCATACAGACTGCGGGTTGACATGCGCTGGTCTCCTGGTCCCTTGAAAACCAGTTGCCATTGCAAAGCTAAAAGGCACCAAATGCAGAAAACGGAAGAAAAATAGATTACAATGATATTAACAAGGATTGGCAAAACCATTCATTGGCATATGTACAATGCTGGGAACAGTAAGTGCGACCTGGGCGATGGTACTCGGGCTCGGATCCAGGGAGGGGGGTAAAAAAAACCAAGCTGTCAATTTTTTTTCATAGAAATTCATTAAAATAATGCGACCCCCCCCCCCCCCCCTCTCCTCTGACACGCAAAAAAAATTATACTGGTAATAATGTCCGCCTGTGCACAAAATACGGACAGCACAGAGCCAGCTTGGTTAGGGGGTATTTGTACACTGTTCTGTGTTAATAATCGTCGGATTTGAACAGCGCCCCCATTGAAAGTATGGTACGAGGCCCCCCCACCCCCCAACACCTATTGATTTTCGTAGGCCAAGTGTCCGGAGAAAAAAAATTCTGTCTACATTTCATAATTTGTTGCTGATGACCCCCCCCCCCCCCCCCCGCACAAATTCCTGGATCCGCCCATGATACTCTATAATTAAGATATTACAGAATATAACTACAAACTTATAAATCAGATGCACTTTATAACGTCCCGGTCAGTTTCAACCAAAAACTGGGTCAGATTCGACCTGACACTCTGCTGAGTGAAACCAATTGTTCCTGTCAAAATTACACTTTTCTGGGTCAAAATGACAATTTTTCGCGTCCAATTGACACTTTACTTTTCGGGATAAAATGGCGAAAAAGGGACTCAGAAAAAAGTGTCGTGTTGACCAGGAAAAGTGGCAGGTCAAATTTGATCCGGATCCAAGTCGATCATGACCCCGGATTTTAAGAGTGTGGATCATTTACATAATACGTACGATGTTGGAAACAATTGCTGGAGCAACAATATGCATGAGAAACTTCAAAGGGCCGTGGTGTGTATGGGATGTAACTGTCTGTGGCGCTGCCCTCTACGAGGACGTAACACTCGTCAGGGTACCAAATGCTACACGTTGACAACTTGGCATCCCAGCCTTCAAAATAAAGGATGGAAATCAGTCTTTAATTATGGTAAACGTTTAGTGGCTATTTAAGCGTTTCAGTAAAACCGCACAAGTAGAGGCACGAAAAATTAATCTGGGCTGTGTGTCATCGAACCAGCAGCGTTGCCGTTCTGTTATAAAAACAACAAAGTGTTGGGGGGGGGGATGGATCCAATGGAGGCGCCCTTAAAAGCAGACACTATCGTCCACCGGATGGCGCTTTTCAGGCCGGCATAAAATATGACGTTCGCACGACGTTAAAAATTGGCACTCGTGAAGAAATGAAAGGCCGCTCTTGAAAAAGGATCAGCAAATTTCCAGTAAGGGGGCGCGGGCGCCTGGGGCTACGATTTTTTTATGGGGGTCCGGTGCCCCCCCCCCCGGCTGCGCCGCTAGCGCTGCATCGTACACAATATAAATGTATTCAATGTAAATGATTCCGTGTCAAACACAACACAATGCATCGCGTGAATACAAGAACCAATCTTTAAATTTTAGGTTCCGTAAAACGTCTGAGAACATTTTGTGAAAGTTTCGTTTCAACGCTTACACGTCGCAGTCTTACCTTCAGTGTCGTACAGAGACCACACGCCGTCTGCAAAGCCCGCGTCGTAGGCAGCTTTCAGCTGGGGTAGAGTGCAGAGTTGCAGGGCGGGGTGATACTTCGTGCAGCCTTCCCTAGCTAGGGATATGTTAGCACTGGGGTATCTATCCCTGGTCCTGATGAAAGTGGTGATGTCTATAATAAGCATAGGAGAAAGGAACTTAAGTCTTGCCAAGTTGAGGTGGACCTGAGGCTGGTCAGTCTCGGTTAAACGGCTTCAGTCGGTCAGTCTCACACCCCCGGTACAAACTGGCGTTCCAGAGTCGCGCACAAACAAATAAAAGTCAAGTTCATGAAACGTCCGACGTCTAAAACAATAGCGCCATATTGCGAAAGATCGACTGTGGAGCCGCTTAGGACGACTCAGGAGCTACTTGATTTTCAGACGTCGCTCTTGTCATGAGCCGAACTCAATGCAAATGTATGCAAATGTGTGTACTGAGTAGTGACCATAAGACGCATCCAACAATCCACCCGTACAAACAAAATATTGGTGGTTTTCTTTTGAAAATCAATAAAACATAGAAAAACAATATTGGTGGTTTTTCCTTTTAGCGCGCTATTTTGGAACACGGTGTGAAAGCAGCAGGAAAGCGGAAAGAAGCAGAGGTTCAATATTCTTTTCCTCCTCGCAACAACATAGTTCACAATGTTCTGTCCTTCGTTTCTTTCTTTCGGCCATAATTTGGGCTCTGATTTTCTCAACACTGCTCCGTCAACACGGTCAGAAATTGCTCAGGAAAAAACATTCGGTGGTACTAGCCTTATTCCAAAACATAAACAAATCACAAACGTGTTGCGCCATGGCGGCTTGTGGCTAAGGCTGTTTGTTCGTTTGTCTGTCCAATGGTCTGTCCACATTTTCACCAGTGTTAAGTTCGCACGTCTGAAACCTTCGGGTTGACTCGAGTCGGTCCTAATCTGTTTGGTTCGACGCAACTCTGGATCGCCATTCTGAACCGGCGGTAAAGTGACAGCACTACAAAGGAGCAGGCAGGTACCTAACAGTCACATGTTAACTTTACATCAGTCAACATAATTAGTGGTGAATGATGAATAACACTATACTATAAAAATCGTTTGCAGTCCGATTCCTTATGATACATAAATGGCACCTTACTAGGTGACAGCAAGGGGACAGGAAACCTGAATGTCACACTATGGACCCTCAATGTATAAACTGACATGTAGGCCTTAAAGCGACACATAGGGCGATCGAGGTAAAGGTAGATTATGTTACTTAAAGCATAGAGTAAGGTCCTTGCTCTATGGTTTTAGGTATAGGGAATAGGCCTAATTTCAGCACAGAGCACTGGATTTTTAGTAACTCAGGTAGTCAGCGGACATCAGGCTGACCCGATCGGGTTCAAGAAAATAAACAAATCAAACATGGACCCATCTAGCTCCTACTCACTGCGTCTTATGGAATGATATTATAGTATAATGCGTTCAGTACTTGGACTATCAACCAAGCCTGCAAGAACACTTTGATAATACTCAGGTTAATCAACTATAATTGTAAAGATAACATACATCAGAAACTACCTATATAATCAAAAACACATGAGTGAAATAGAAACATGTCAATATAGGGATATGACCTAGCCAACAATTTCCCGGAATTGTGTTATAAGATATTTTGTTTTATTTACCCGCGTCGTTGTTTTCCACACAAGCAGGTTCTTGCTTTTGGTCGGCAAAACGACCAAGTGATATGCCAGTAGGCTGCAAAAAAAAATAGGTAAAACAAAGTTCGTGTGAACACCAGTTTGTGGTATTTTGTTGCGATCAAAATATCCAGCTCAAAGTATATTCATTAATGATAAAAAAAAAACCACTGGGGTATTTGGGTGCTGAACACATGCATCTCACACAATATAATGTTGTTAATGATAACTTCAATTGAAGAAAGGCTTTGCTTAATTTGCTCAAGAAAATATCAGAGCCAGGATTTAAAAAAAGTTCGTTCTAACACATTGACCCCGGTTTGCACATAATTTACTATGTTGGCAAGGTTACTAACACAAAACAAACATTTAAAAAATAAGATATAGTAAAGTAGACAGACTGTGTGCTCGATCTTTGCAATTGCCCAAATGGGTTTGCAACTCTTAATATGACTAAGTATCGTCCGTCTTTCGCCGACTTTTTTTTAATCGTTGCCATGGTTTTTCTGTCCAGCAGTGCACAAACTTGAAATGATAATTATGTTGTTTTATAATACATGAAGGAAGTGGGTAGGTTTTACTGTTGCATTGAGGACTACTGCACAATAATACACCAGGAAATTATGAAACCGTCTGGCCTAGGCCCTAAATTATAAATGCTTATGATAAAAGATATCGGTTCGCGGTTTCAAGTGAACCCCAGACGCACAGTTACATGAAAAAAAAGTTCATTTCGATAGCACTTTTTTTATGATTCCAATTTCAGAGAGGAAAGGAATTACCTTTTTTCTTATCTGAGAATGACTATAAAATAGGGTGGACATAAAATGATTTGTGAGACTGCGCAGGAAAAATTCTTGAATTTTGTCGATTTCCCAAAAGAAAAAGTGAGGAATAGCATCTCGGGCAATTTTAACAACTTCGTAGTTTTTTTTTTTTTGAGAAATGAGGTGTAGATTTACCTCTGCGTCGATATAGGAGTAGAACCAGCCTCGCTTTTGGACCAGACGATCAGGGGCGGTGTGATGAGAGGCATTTAGGACGAGTTGACATCGGCCGGTCCCCATCTCGTAGTTAGCGGAGCGGCACCAGGGCTCGGCCGTGCACGCCCCGTGGCAGAGCCCCTGTGTCTTGGTCTGACGCACGGTGTGGTTGAAACCAACCAGCGCAACACCTACAACACCGCACCATCCGTGGGGGCAAGACGCGGCCTCGCCCGCGGCAGGCGAGACGACCACGATCAGAAGAGCAAGCGCGAGAACGCACGACAGACCCGCACGTTCGCTGTCCATATTTGCAATGATGAGTGGGAGTAGGTGTTCCGTCTAGACGGTGCTGTCAGTAAAAGCGCGCGGCACGGCAGTGAATTTCGAAAGAATCGTGAAATGCAGCCTCTAGTGCCATCTTATTATTGCGATACACTGTACATGACCAGTCACAGGAAATCGATAACTGGTTGATTCTGAAACCTTGACAACCGTTAGCAGGTATGCAACTAGGAAGTCACAACAAAAGAGGAAATTCACATCTTTCCAAGACTTCGTACAGTGTTTGTCTATTTTCAATGGCACACATGGGAAGTAAAATAGAGGAAATCAGCTGATCTGAGGAAAAGTTGCATGCCTGCGTAAGGGGGGAATTGAGGGCGGATTCAGCTTTGGCTCATGAGGGGGAGGGGTTAGCTGTCAAAAAGGGGGGTGTGGTGGTGGCAGGCATGTGCTACTGCCAAGGTTTGCAACCGAAGAGGGAGGTTAGACCACCCCTGTGTAAAAAGAAACAGAAATGTAAAATGCAAAGTAAAATCTGGTCACATTTTTTTTCAACTTATAAAACGATGCACATTTTCTAAAAACGTCTTAAAATTCAAATAAAAATTTAGCTCTAACATTTGACGAAAATAATACTTGCTATCATAGTTACCAACGATTTCTCTTTCTAATGTTAATGTTTTGCAGTGATAATCCTGTTACAAATATCTTAAATTCTTCAAAACAGAAACAAAAAAATAATCCCATTTTTTTGTATGACGTTTCAAGATTGCCAGACGTCAGAAAGTTTCAGGAATTACAGATAAAAATGACTTTTTCTTCTCGCCGCAAACATTTTGTTTTACAGCGTGCATTATAATAATATTAATATAGCTCTATGTAATACACTCACTTATGAAAGCGAAGAAATAAGCAGGATTGACTTCGAAGGATACCATGGCAACCTTTATTGTCTGTCAATGGCAGCAAAAATGGTTACCCAAGCGGTATCTTCACCGAAGGCGTGTATTCTTCACCGTTTGGCGCCTCTTGTTATGTTCGTTTATTTACTTCAGCTCAGAACTCGAGGCCACAACTCATGTAGATGTAGTCTGAGTATCACCGGTTATCCATGTACACAGACTCATGTAGATGATGCTTTGCATGTATATTTTGTATTTGCAAACATCAAAAAATTAAACTACCAAATCATTTTGAAATACCTTGACAGTGTAAAGCATCCTGTAAAATCATGGCACCTGGTATACTGTCATTTTCAAGAAAAGTGGTATTTTTGTATCAATTTCCAACGCTGATCGGCCGATCAGCGTTGGAAACAACTGGCTTTTTTTTCAAATACTGGCCCCAATTGACCATCGCACTTGTTTGCAATCGATTACAAACCTATGAACGGGTACGAGCCAGCTAGACTGGTTCCCTGACCTTACAATTCCCCAATGTATGTAAACTGCTCTGTTTCATCTTATATGGAGTCAGGGAACCAGACTACAGGAAAATGATTGTTTTTCTTGGTTTTTATAGCATTTTCGAACCCAAACCCTCAAAAAAGTCAGTGTAACTATATTTGCTATATATTTCCAACCTCCCAATTCCATCCATTTCTGAAAATTACAGCAAAAGCAAATGATGTATATTCCCTTTAAGCACAGGTAAATCGTAGATCGACCAGAGCTAATTTTCATCCCATATTAATAACGATAATTTGCGTTAGAGGTTTTTATCAGCTGTATTCCAGAGATCAGCACAATATCTTAAGCTTTAAAATAAAGAATGAAATGTAGTTTTTGTTTCATCGGTTCGGGATCACATTCTGTCTAAAACTTCTTAATGAAAGCCTACTTAAAAACGAAATTTGGGTAAACGGTGTTCTCGTCGAAATTTGACGTTTATTTTCCGGGTAAATACTTCATCTATGACGACAAAAACTGCACAATAACATCTGTTATATCCTGAGGTATTGATTTTTTAAAACAATTTTGGAAGAATTATGTCTAATACATAAGGAGTAGTTTTGCTTACAGTTTTATGAATATTTCCGTTTAAGAGGTCATGCAAAAAACCGACAAAATGGCATACCTGGAAAATTCGCGTTTGCAAGCCGTCGGGTATTAATGCTCATTATCACGCGTCTAATAAGGCAAGTCCGCTCAGTGCATTTTGTACTGGAGCTCAGAACAGTCGCCTATCCTTGGCCTTGTGTGTAGGATCCGTGGTCAAGCTATCGCTAATTTACCGCAATCCTCACACTGCGGTGCCGGTCATGGTGAAATCAGCAGACCGTAAAGTCTGAAATGTATTGTTTGCCGTTGCCATGACGCCTTCTGTCTTACTCAGAGACCAATCAAGTCATCATTAAATTACCGCAGACCCTTTTTCCTTCAAATCATTTCTGGTTATTTGAATTTAAAGTTATTTTATCTTCCTAAGACACCTAATACTTTGGCACCCTTTAATTCATCCCGCCAGCATGAGACAATTAACATTAAAGGTAAAAGTGACAAAGCCTTTCCCACAACAGGTCCTACAAGGATTCGATGTTAAATAAAGCATGGCCTATGACATAATAGTCGCCGTTTGCGAGTTAACCACGCCCCTTAGACAACCTTATGGAGTTTTTGTACACTAAGTTTTGTTTGTCTCAGATTTTGCGCCTCTGCGTCCGTTTGAATAATGATCATGTTATTGGACAATATTTCATAAGCTGCGTTGACGCGATAGGTCAATTTGTACACATCTAAAAGAAAAATCCGCGAAATTATCACCTATAACCATACAGGTTTGGCAGTCTAAAAATGCACGGCGCTGTGTTCCACCAAAACCGGCAGAGAACGATGGGAAATGAAAATATGGGAACAAAAGTATTACATAACCTTTTAAGCCTCTAGGTGGCAGCAGAGGATTAATTGAGTGGCCGACAACGATTGGCGTAAGAGTTGGCGTAATTACACGTTTGCGGCTCCACGGGTGGATCCAGAACACAATTTTTTTAAGGGGGGGGGGGGCAAAAAGTGGGCCCAAAAAAATGCGGCGTGGAGTTCGGGGCCCGCTAAAGGGTCCCGAAAATTGTTTGGATTCTAGATGTTCTGTGGTGCGATCTGAGACAACTTCTGAACACTTTAACCATTTTTTTTAAGGAAAAGATGACACCAGTGTATACGCAGTGCCTGCCTTTATTGCGACGTCACTTTTTTTTGGGGGGGGGGGGGGAGGGGCATGGCCCCCGTCCCCCCTCCCGATCCGCCTTTGCGTTTGCCGGTCGGAGATCAGACAGAGACAGTGCAAAGAACAGCAGCACTGTGTTCTTGACTCATTTAAACTTGTAGGCCTACTTTGTTTCGTTTTTCTCATTTAAAGGATAGGCCTTTCAGGAAAGAATGGATAGAATTAATAGGTCTACGTAAAAAAACTTATGAATGTCTTTGGTGTTAGCTAATTAAAATGTTTGGTCTCGGATGACTCGTGCCACGTTTAAAAAGCTCCACACCCCCCTCCCCCCCCCCGCCCGGCAAATAACGCTAAACCACCATGAACAGCGCCACCTAATGTCACCAGTGTCCTTTCCCGTCCATTTTTAACAGCGCCCTCTGTTGCCCCTTGTTTTTATTAATAATACGGATCTAAAATTTCAGATAAAAACTCACATGACAAACTTCAATTGATTTTTTTTTATCAGTATTAGTGAAACGTTCAGTCAGTAATAATATTTCTGCAAATAATTATGTGTGTACTTGTCGCTGTCTTCTCTGATTATACAAATCTAGATATTTGCTGATCTACGGAGTTAACAAACTTGGTTGCCATAATAATGAGATAATAAGGAGCTGGATGGGAATTTCCCCGTGTTTTCTCCCAAAAGGGTTTTTGCGGGGTTTTCGCCCCTCCTGTAATCAGCGAATATAATTATAGCAATATTTGTTTCTTGATGTTACAAGATAGATCCAAATTTTTCGTGTTCACTGAATCCACCTTATAGTAAAGCCTTCAGACTGTACATGTAGTTATAATAGTTGTAAAATATATTGTTTTTATAATATTTGCTTAACAACTATGCATTAATAAAATAATGTTTTATCCCATTGTATTGAATTTTATTGTATTTGTAATGTATTCTGTATACATGTTTGTAGTCATTATTTATTGTATGCAGGGTCCAAATGGAAACCAGTTTTAAATTGTTTGGGCATACCCTGGGTAAATAAATGTAATAAATGAATAAATAAATACATATTCCTTACTTTAACGAACTTGAGAAACACACCGAGTTTTGGTTTGATTTTAACATATTTTGTTTTTAATAAATGTAATTTCCTGTAAAGAGGACTCAAAAAAAATAATCATACTTAAACACATTTCGAACCGTTTTCGGCTTTTCACGCGAACATTTAAGCTCTACTTTTAATTTTAGTTCCGGCACATAACGAATTTGTTTTATTCGGTCCTACACTGGTTAATGGCACTCACGCCCCATGTGAAAGTACTCCTAGTCTTAATTGGCACAGGAGAATACTGCGCAATTAGTGGGCGTCCAACCGGTCACATCTAGGGGATCGATCAGGGAGTCAAGGGTGTTTCCCTTCGCCGGGCGCAATCAACCAGCTTCATCAAAATGCGCTCGAAAGCACAGAACGTGCGTTTTCTTCTTTTCTCTCATGACAGTAATATCTAAACATGCGATCTTTTGTGGGGATATACGATTGGGCAAATTATAGAATGGGACTTGGCGAGAAATTACATTTGCTGGTTCCAAGGCTAACTTGTAGTCCTATTACAAACTCAGTAGCAAAACTAGCAGCTGGCATACATCAAAAAAAAATCACCGTTTAAATACATGCTTACGTTTGAATGTTTGTTTTTTAACTGAGTTGTGTCTTAAATTTGCCACAGATCTGAAAGCAAATTCCAAGTTGAATAATATCATCCCCACTCGCCCCACAAATGGCAGATTTCTACGTTATTCCAGTATTCCTCAGTTGCAATATAGAACAAATAGATTCAAGAACAGTGCAGTACCCTACCTCATTGACTTAATTAATTCTAATTAATTCCAGTGTTTTTTTAATTTTATGATTGCTAGATTTGAAGTTCACCAGTTTTTATTCCTTGCTAGACCCCAATTCTTTTTAGGGAAATCCTGATGAATCGCAGGGAAATCGGGGTGATTGTGGTTGTCGTGATAGCTGTAATCGTTGTTGTTGTTGTCTTCGTTATATCTTCGTTGTCACTGTGGAAATTGTGGTTATTGTTTCCATTGTAGTCAATACTGTTCTTGTTGTATTCGTTGTTACTTTTGTCATCATTATTGTGATTATGGTTCTTGTCGTCCTTATCGTTGTCTTAATCGTTATTCTTGTCATTATATAGTCGTGATTGTGGTTACTTGTTGTCATTGTTCTCGTTATCTTTATCGTTATCTTTGTCAAATTTCTTAATTATTGCATACATATCTGTATATTTTTTATCACAACTGATACCATATGACATTTGTTTTTATCTGTAAAATGGAATTTTTAATTAATGAAGATTGGCATGTCAGAGATACTTTTGGGTTAAGACAGGTTTTGGACCTTTCAATGTAAAAGTACTTGTTTATTTTAAATTTAATTTAATTTATTTTATTTAATGTATTTGTATTAGCATTTGTATCTGTTGACTTGATCCAATTCAATCTTTGATTGCCACATCAAGTCTAATGAAAATAAACCATTTATCTATCTATCTATCTAGATGCACGTTTCATGCAATATTGTTGAATGAGAAAATGACTCCCGCGGGAACGGAAATTGCTATTCGCCGGAACAGCGTAGCAGCGCTCTACCAAAATGAGCTTATTCAGCGGTCTCCACATTTTGTCAATGTCTTTGTTAACGAGAGGCTAGTCAGGAGCATATATATTATTAATTATTATAAATACTGGTAATGAAACCAAGCATTCCTCAAATACGCCACGCAGGCATGCTCGCAAGCATTAAGAAACCTGTAGAGAGGAGACAATGAGAAGAAATTACAGTTATGGACCCTAGAAGAATATTCTGGGGGAAAACCCACGGTATCAGGTAGGGACTGAAAACCCAACCCACATGTTGGTGGTTAGCCCAGGCGGAATTCGAACCCAGGTTACAGCGTTGGAAGGCGAGGAAAGTGCGGCTACACCAACCTGACTCCCCATATTAAATTACTACAGCACTTCTCATTCCCCCGCGCGGAGATACTTTGAAGCTCTCCTGGGCGCAGACATTTTGAAATCATGTTTGTGTTTGTGGAACGTGATAATATAATCACACGGCATGAATTTCGCTCTAGTAATGTAATATAGCTCTATGGTCAGAACCATATAAAACGTGTCACACGTGTAGCCGGGATCATGCCCAAAGTCACGGTGCGGGCAACAATGCATGGGAAAAACATTAATTTGATAAGAATTTTCAAAAATTTGATGAGTTATGATATATCTAAAAGCCGTACCTTTATGAACGATTTACGGTTACCATTTTCAAGATCTACAGCATTAGTAAAGTTTCAATGTTGCAAGTACATCGTGAATTAATCACACGGAATGACATGGAAAGAGGAATGCTTACTAATAACCTACGACCAATGACAGTCACACATTTATTAAAGGTGAACCTTATCATTTTACCTGTGCGGCTTTTCGTGGTTTTTTAAATATAATTTTGAATAATTTGAATTATAATATGCGTCTCTTACCACAAGGAGAAAGCAAACAGGAAAGGTTTATCGTGTCAGTATTTTTTTTCTTCTACACAACCACATTGACATAATAAACTCACCAGTACGAGCTTTTTTATTTCGTTCCCACCGTAAAACATTGTTGAATTTCGAATTTGTCACGACGTTACAAGATTTCGCCTTTTTAAATTAAATAGCCAATTAAATAAGTATAATTAATTTCATTTATTTAACTTTGAATATTGGTTTTTACACTAGGCGACGAATTTTTGTATAAAATATGTTGAGTTGTGCCATACAACGGAGCTGCATGATTATGTGAAACCGAGTTCACGAGAAACAAATTATCATAATACTTGAAGGCCGTTTAAAAAAAAAGACTGTCACACAAGTTGCGTGTCAAAACAACAAAATGAATTGCATTACAAACGAAAACGACATAGGGCCTAGATTAATAGTTTCTATTCATCCAGTCGCCAGCTTTGGATAGGGGTTATTATAATTACGTGTCATTTATAGGCCCGATGTATTCATTTCATAAAATATAGCAACACCCTAGCCTGTCAATGGAAGTTGAAAAGTATAGATTCCTTTCAGTGAAGTCAAGTGTAGAACTGATCCTTACATTGACGATTACATTTTTTCTGAACGTTGTACAGGACTACACCGTACGTACGTTTATCTCTGCACTTGCAAAAATGACCAGTAGAACGAAATAATATAGACTTCAAAGAAATGTCACCCAGGTCGGATAACTTTTCATTATGAGCAATAATAACTTGGCAACTGAAGGCCCATATCGACCTAAAATGCAGCTTGATGTGTACGCTCACACTAGATGAGAACGAGTCACAAAACAATCCTCGATTTTAATTTCGAGTCACGTGTCAGCCCTGTCAATTTGGGGGAGGGGGGGGGGGGTCATGAACTCAGGCCAAGTCAGACGAGTCACCTTTTACACGCAACTTGGAGGCAACCAAGCAGACTACAAGCTAAACGATCCCTCACGATGAACAAATTACGTTTTTCCAACAATTTATGGAAATTCCTCAAAATATTACATGGAATTAAAATTTTGCTTTCGTTTTCTTCTTGGAAAATGCCCAGAACAAGCTGCTCTTAAAGTGAATAATTATACATCATTGCCTTTAGGCCAAAAAAAAAAGTCTCCGGTTTCTGGTATGGAGCTTGCCCCAAAAGTGGTGCGGCGACGCGGCTTTTTTTTTTTTTTTTACCTGTTTTTTTTTGGGGGGGGGGCTTCAAATGTCGGCTGATGACTGCAAATGGTGCCCGACTAAACTTAGTGCAAATATATGGGAGTCCAGAGAGGCCACATAAAGCTTATTCTCGATCATAACCCCATCTAAAAACACGTTAAAATTGTGCAGCAGCAGGATTCCAGTCAAACCAGTGAGTTTGGCGGTTTTGAGACATCATCTTGTATTGAAAAAAAAAAAATCATTTTGCCGACGCGCATGGCTACGGCGACGCGCGCGCATACCAGAAACCGGAGACCTTTTTTTTTTGGCCTTAGCTGTCATTTTCAGAAATGGATGGATTTGGGGGTTAGTATTTTATAGCAAATATTGTTGCACTGACTTGTTTGATTTATGTTCTTGTAGTCTGTTTCCCCGACCCCACTTAAGATGAAATGGAGCAATTTATAGACGTCAGGAATTGTAAGGTCGTGCAGGGATTAACCAGTATAGCTGGCTTGCACCCGTTCACGGACGTGTAGTAATCAATTGCAAACAAAATGTGGACTGAATAAATTTTGTAAATTGGGGGCAGTAGCCAGTAGTTTAAAAACATCAGGTTTTTCCAACGCTGGTCGGCCGACCAGCGTTGGAAATTGAACAAAAATACCACTTTTCCTGAAAATGACAGCACACCAGATGCTATGATTATAAAGGATGCTTTTAGACTGTAATTCCACCCGATACACATCGTATTCCATAGTGTTACTATGTCACTGTTACACTGTTATTCTAGATAGCACTACTATAGCACTACTATATAACAGTTTAACACATCCTAAGAAAATAAAACATAACTATTAACATAGTAATACTATCTCGATATGTTACCATTACCATGGTTATACTATAGAAACACGATGTGTATCGGGTGGTAATTCACTAATAGTCTAGTAAGGTATTTCATAATAATTTTGTAGTTTTTTTTATGTTTGCAAATGTTGTCTATTCTCTTTAAATTGCCTCGCGGGTCACGGCATGTCCCTATCAAACTCCACTAATTTGTGTATCCTATTGCATGATTCCAATCAGTCGATATTTACGCTCATGTAGACACCAATACAATTAGTGTCATGGCAACCGAACGCGTAGGCTGCACGTACCAATGAAGAAAGTTCGGCTACATTGAATATGTGCAACTGAATTAGTGCGGGTAATTTTGGTAACAAGCCTATTTACTGCACACGAGCGATTCCCTTTAAGCCTGTACTTGATTGGTTGTGAGCGCTACGACGGAATATCAGTAGCACACCGTCAATTCACGCGTTCTACTGTAGATGAGGAACACTATTTTCTCGCCCGAAGATTAACCAGAGGCAAATCGCACAGTCCTTGAGGCAGGTAAGTCGTTTACCTCGCCGCAGTACATCTCATATCAATGCGAGAGTAACATGCGTCGAACGCGGTTGTGGAAATACAGAACCATTTTCCTCACAAAGTGTCATCGTTTGTGTTTCGTCATTTTGAGATCGCAGTGACTTCCAGATACACGATTACACTCGATCGGTATTCCCCAGACAGGTGGAGACGGGATCTACCATCGACGGAAATGAGTACTTCTTTCCCTTCTCACAGTTTCTCAACGACTTCCGAATCGTCGTCGACATTTTCATCACTGCATTCGTCGCATCCGCCCTGGAAGTCGTTGCCGTTTAACACAACTGATGCTGTCTACACGGACCCTCTTGAAGTCACTCGTGACTCCATGATCAACACTTTCGCATCAGTTGTCCCAACAACGGGAAACTCAGCGCCCTATCTCCCCCGCTCCGTTCAGGTGGTAATGGCAGCCGTTGTTTCCTGTGTGGTTTTCTTGACCATCGTCGCCAACATTCTCGTCATCTTATCCTTCTGCCGATACAAGCAACTCCGGGGCTTCAACCAGTATTTCATACTCAGCCTTGCCGTGTCTGACTTGTTGGTCGGCTGTGTGGACATGCCCCTGTACGGTGTGGTCTTCATTCTGGGCTACTGGCCCTTTGGAGAGATCTTTTGCGATATCTTCGTCTTCTGTGACCACACCTTCAGTCACTTTTCTGTGGTTTCAGCCGTCGTGATCAGCTTGGACCGTTTTGTGGCTCTCACCAAGCCGTTCTTTCACCGTCACACTTGGCGAACAAAACGTAACGCCGCGTTGCTCATCACCCTGACCTATCTGGTGCCGGTCCTCATCTGGTTACCCATCACCGTACTCTGGCCCGTCTTTGCCGGCGGTCGGAACGTCCAGACAAACACCTGTCAGCCCCAGTATGTCCATAGCCTTGTCGTCAGCATCCTGGCACCTGTGATCTTCTTCTGGCTTCCCGTGACGGTGGTGATTGTCCTCTACTACCACGTCCACAGGAGTATCGACAACACACTGGGCATAATGAAGAAGAGAAAGACAGAACAGATGCTGGGTTTGAGATCGGCCGTAAGCCGGTGCGCCGAGACAAGCGCCGGTGAACGATTCTCGGCAATGACAGCGCCAATAGGAGACCTCACCGTACCACCTGCTGGCATATCAGACAAAGAAAGATCACAGCAGGAACCTCTAGGTAATCTCATCAAGCCCAAATCCAAGACAAGTTTCAGGGAAGTGTCAGTGGTAGGGCTGGAAAATGTAGGTTTCTCTGTCGCGGCAAGTAAAGAAGGCGAAGACCAAACCACAGAGGAGATGAAATGCCAATCACTTCGTGGATTACCGAGATTTGACAGCGAGAACCGTAACATAAATGAACCCACCGTCAGACATAATGGCGCTCCAACCTTCCTTGAAGCCGATCCTGAAAATCTTGCTCACAACCAAGCAGCTGCGATTGCTGAATCTGACTCACCAGGCCCCAACGAGACCTCGTCCAGGAAAGAGGCACCGGCCACGGCCAGTGGGACCGCCCGGGCCTCGGAGGTCAGGTCCCGGACCGAGAACACCCGAGCGACTCGGATGCTAAGCTTAATCATCGCGGCACTGATCATCACCTGGCTGCCGTGGGCCGTTCTCGTCATCGTGATCAATATTTGCCAAGACTGCCTGCCGGAGTTCCTCTATGCGGTGAGTTTCCAATAATCGATTAATGGCTCAATGATCGATGAATCGATCAATGGACTGGTCACAGCCATTCTCACCTTATCTTTCTATCGTTATTGGTATTCGTATATCTCTATTTCGTGTTTTCCTTTATTATTATTATTATTATTATTATTATTATTATTGGTCTAAATTTCTGACAGGGGGTGTGGAAAAGACTGTACAGGGTCATTCCATCTTGAACTTCCCGGATAAAGAAGATAAAATATTAAAAGAACTAAATTAAACTGCAAATGAGAAAAAAAAAAAGGTTTGAAAATTAAAATATAAAAGAAAAATGAATTTATACAAAACAAAGCGACAAAATTCAAAAATAAACCCAAGTAGGAATAAAATAAGGAATTGAATAGTGTAGTATAAGAGAGTGCAAAAAAATAATTAAAGAAATAAAATGAATAACTGAATAAAATTACATAAAATGACAATTTAATGGTAGAATTAACATGATAAATGAAATAGAATAGGATCCAACAATACCCGCAATACTGAAGCATTAAATTAAGTCAATATCAAATTGAAATTGAAAAAAAAACATTAAACAACGAAACGATTGCGCAATAAAAACAATGAAAACGACAAAGACATGTATTGAACTAAAAAATGTATTAATGAAAAAGGGAACTTTTCAACACACTCACAGACGCACTTGGTTGACAAATGCTTTGATATTATGTCCACATCAATGATAGTCCGGTCTATTTACGTTTTGACCAAGAACTAATTGCTATAGAAATCATTATATTTTAATGATGTCTAGGTCAGGCCCTGAGGCCCCGTTTCGTTGTAAATTGACCGGACTGGGTCCTCTGACTGAGTCAATGAACGACTGACTTCTTCTTCTTCTTCATTCATTCATTTTCATGATGACTTGATGAGTTGGGCCCAACTGTCCCTGTCGAGCATAGTGTTGGAAAGAGATGGACCACTCAGACCAGTTTCTAGCTCGATGGATGTTTTCAGGGTCATGTTGGGACGACCTTTTCGTCGAGGGGCTTCAGGATTCCAGAGGAGAACTTGACTAGCTGGCTTAATCACCGAGTATAATTGATTTCCTGCATTTGGACGCTCGGGTTCAGCTTTAATATATAATAATACAATTTTTTTTTCTTCTGGTAATGAAACCACGGATTCCTCAAATACGCCATGTAGGCATGCTCGCAAGCCTTAAAAAACCTGTAGAGAGGAGACAATCAGAAGTTTTTCCCTATTTTTAACACGAGAAAACATCGTCTAATGAATTTTCTGAAACCTCAAGGGGAGGCCTTGCACGTCGGTTGGTCAAAATACCTAGAGTAGTATTGGATTTTGCTCTTCATCGACAAAATGTCATTAGCACTCACAAAATCCATCATCACGGCAAGCTCGATGGTCGACAGTGGGGAGAGGTCTGCGCTATAGTACGCAGGAGCTCGTGGGTTTGGACACGGTGTTTATTTGATTTCGTCGGTGAAGGGCAAAGATTGAAGTATACATGAAGTGACCAGCAGCCGATTTCACGAAACTTTACGCGATGCCGTAAGTCCACTTGTGCCATAATTATTTTTGCGTAAGTTGCGCAACATTCAACGTTGGGCAACATTTCAGTTGTGGCACATTTCACGAAAGTTTCATAGTGCGTAATTAGTCCGCAACTTCCGCAACAATTTATAAATAGAGCCTATAGTTTCCATATCGAGGTAAGAACGCAGAGAGCAACGCAAACAAGACCCAAACTGCAAGCAGACATATGGAAACATTTCATCCGCAAATCTTACCGACAACCCAGACAGACGTAAACTATCTCGCTGATTCTCGCAGACGAAAATTATCCCGGTTCCACTTTGCCGACGGTTCCGCGCACTGTCTGCGCAATCTGCATAAGCTTAACGTAACTTGTGCAATCATATTAGGTAGTTGTAGCGTAGCGACTGAATACCTATTTTATCAGCAAACTTTCGTTATCATCGTAAAGAGCCTGTATATTACACAACTTATCAAGGTTGATACAAGACACTCACGGCTATGCATTTGAAGTAAATTGATTGCTATTTTAGTCGCAACAGAGTTTTTAGAGTTGCCGCACGATTCCGAAGAAACTGGGACTAACTTTTTTTTCCAAAATGGCAGGCTGAGGTGATTCAACGACTTTTTCATGAACAAGCCAAATCTTACACAGACAGCCGTCGTAAATGCTGTTATTTATCCTCGTCCAAGATGGTTGATTATTTAAAACGTTGCGCAGCTACCAAGTTTTGTGAACTCGATCGTAAGTTTATTGCGCAGCTGCGCATTTTGTTGCGTACCTCTACGCATGGCGTAACTTATACGCACTGTTTCGTGAAATCAGGGCCAAGTTCGGGCAAGGACCATTAGTCGACTAGTGGGTGATTTGTGACGTACCTTACGCCTGCGCACTGATAGCAACGTGCGAACGCCTCTAGTCAAACGCTGGTCAAAACGTCATCGCAAAACTTCTGGATCCTGGCTCTCTGCTAGCGTTATGAATGCGCGCGGCTATTGGATACCAGCGAAGCAACCAGCCCCAGTAGGTTGGTTCCAAATAGTCGACTAGCGTAGTCAACCACCGTCGACTAGACAGAGTTCGGGCAAGCGTTAGTCGAACTATGGTTAACCATTGGTCAACTATAGTCCTTGCACGAACTTGGCCTCAGCTGAAGCAGCTGCCTTATGGCCGTCAGAGTTTGCGCAGTTCTTTGCAGTTAATCTCCCAAAATTGACGATGTCATCAAGGTCGTCGTCTTTCTTCAGATGACAAAAACACCATAATGGCAATCCCTTTTCTTGTGCTTCAGCGGCCTTCACAAGTTAATAAAGGGATCAACAATCTAATTATTGGGACAAATCTGCACGTTTCTCTGAAAAATTGAAGGCCCGTGTCTTTATAATCAGAACAATGTGGCTCAACTATCCACTGCCAGTGGCATTAAATTAAATTTTGGATTCTACTTCAAAGACAAACTTGTGCCATGAATGCAATTTACCTGCATTTGACAGTGGATAGGCACACAATATCAAGGTCGAGTGCGCTAAGGAAAAAAAACTGACTGATTTAAAGTTTGTTGATAAGGTTAATTGCAATATCCACGTTGAATAGCAATTCCATGACCCGGTCGAAAGCTCTAACGATGGACATTTTTTTTCGTGTTCCCTGAACGTATTTCAAAAATTGTGAACTGTGGAATGGGAAGGTGCAAGACTATTTATTCACTTTAGCCTCACTTTCATATTTTTTTTAATTGGTTTAAATCATTAGAGTTTGTTTATTCACAAATTTTAAATGATTAATCCCAAAAGTTCCCAAAATGAAGTATTTTACCTCACTCTCAATCCAATATGGCCGACTCGTGAATAAGGCCCATAGGGGCCCGTGTGTTGTAGAAATGACTAGATATCTACAACTAGATCTACAGCATGTGTTGTTCAGGGGCGGATACATCTTTGGCTGAAGGGGGTTTGGCTGTCAAGGGGGGAGGGGTAGCAGGCATGTGTTACTTTTTCCCATGCATTATTTTCCTATCTGTTACACTGCTAACCCTCCCCGGTATCCGCCAGTGTTGTTTTTATGAATGAGTGTATGTAATTCAACATGACAACATTATAAAAGATGAAAATCACATAATTTTCATTTCCCCCCATGTCATAGGTGAGCGTCTTTCTGGGGTACATGAACAGCACCCTGAACCCTTTTTGTTACGCCATTGCTGACCGGCGATTCAGGCGGGCGTTCAGGGAGATCCTTCGCCATCCGTGCGGTGCCAGCCCCGGCCCCGATCCCTACTCCATCAATTACAGTGCCAATGGCGTAGATGGGCCCGTGAAATGAGAAGACTAACGATGAATTGCAAATTAACTTTGAAACGGAGTGCATCGGGGCTATATCTTTTTTTGGTGAGGGTGAAACAGAAAAGGTTCTCAATGTAATCTAATTATTACGGCTTAACATGAAAGCCTCGGCGCTTTTTTTGGCTGCTTATTCAACATTCGTTTATCATAACGGCCATTCAGTTGACCAGCAGGATTTGAATCATGTCACGTAAAGTCTGTCAAAATGAGTTGCATCAATCTTTCACGTAGAATAGTATCCGACGATTTGTAACTCCATCCACATTAAAAATGAGTCAACGGTCGCCAAGTTTTGAGTAAAAACTTTCTTTTGTAAATCTGGCACAATGGATGTCAGGGCAATTTATATTTTCACCCATCTGTACATCTTAATATCCCCATGGGGGAGTGTAATTAAGTGGCTATAGGGTTCGTTAAACCATTGCTATGACGTCACACTATTGCTGAAAGTGTGGATTCGCATCTACGAATCCCTTACAGAGATGACGAGGATTTATTCAGGTGTTGTATAAACCAAACAATGAATGTTTCACATTCATGCAATGGAAAGAATAATTTTCATTCGGCGACAGATGTTGCGACAGATGTTGCTGAAAGAGTGGAATGGAACATTCCATCTGTGACCTCATGAAATTATTCTTACCATTGCACACACAAACGTGCATTATTTTGTATAATGATCAGAGGGTCAGGATTTCGAATTAATTTGCTGACCACATATTGTTTCCTTTTGCAAGCCACTTCACCCCCACCTGCCTCTCTCGGTCTCTCCACCATTAGCTGGGGAGTAACTTGACATGGACTGGCATCCATCCCAGTCGTTTCCTGCCACTAAAACCGGAGATCTCATGGGCCATTGTCTCGTGACGGGATAAAAATCCACATAATCACGATCTACAAAATAAACAGAGTATGTTCCTTCTACTGCATACGAAAAAAATATTAATCAAGGAAAATGCCCTTGGAGTTCATCCGTTTAATCTGGTAACAAAATTGTTTTCTTAATAGCCCTATGTCAATGGCGGATGTAAGGTTGAAGGATGCGGTATAACACCCCCCCCCCCCGACCAAAAAAGAAAAAGCACGCAGAAAAAAAGAGCACGTCTGCTAACAACCCCCCCCCCCCCCCTGAATCCAGAGGGCTGAATCCAACCCTGCATGTAATTTGAAGGTAACAAAAACTATAGGCCACGTGCAATTCATCTCATTTGGAATGTCTCCTCTCTGATTTATTTGTTACATACGTACATGTATTTCAATTGAACATTCAACCCTCAAGATAAATACACTGTTGTTATTTATCAGAATCATGGTTCGTGGCAGATTAAACCGCGACCGGCAAGCATTAGATCTACCTTGGTTTGTTTTCTGCCTCACTTGTTTCACTTGGACGACAAAGATGTGGATTTCAAATGGATTTCAAACTCTTTGACTGCGCAAAATTTTAATCAAATTTTAGTCACAGAAGGGTTACTCACATAAAGGTCAACCCCATTAACTCAACAAAGGGTGGCATGTATGCCGCTGTACATTACCACAAAAAGGACTTTAAAAAAAAATTGTTATTAATAAAGGAAATGGAAAGCGAAGGGAATAAGTCTATTTCTTATTGGGAATCGCGAAATATCTTTCTATCTATGGAATATTCATCTATTGTCGACTCTCTCGGGATTCGCAGAAAAAAAACTGCGTTTATTCTTAACACAAAATAAAACAGACACAAGGTTGTTCATAAAAGTCGATTAAGAAATTAAATTTACCGAAATTTGTTATTTTCTAGTACATTATTAAATTCCACTTTGCTTTTTAAGTCAACTTAATATTTATTTGATCAATTGTATACTCAAAGAATTTGTACCACCATCAGTGTTTAATGTATAGCTTTCACAGTTGCACGTTCCGTAAGACATGGAGAGAAAGTTTTTGTCACTTAGTCCATTTTTTCCCCCGTCAAACGTGTCTATAATTTATGAGGAAAAAAAATCCCTCAAGATATGTTACAAAGAAAAACGGGACTCTAAAGGATCGCATATTTCAAGCATATATTATATTATAATTGGTTACGGTATGAATAATATATTTAGAGAAACAGAAATTATCAAATTGATTTTAAAGGCACACGTCCTTTAAAGGTCTGTATTTTCCCTAATTAAATGCATTTTGATTTCATCCCACCCTTCTCAACTCCCTCCCCCCCCCTTCACCCCGTTTCATCCTGCCCCACTCCCTCCCCTTTGATCTTCCCCTACTGCCCCACTCCCCTGGTCCATCCCCTCTTTAATCCCTCCTTATGTTTCTCCTTCCACCTTTGCATGCTTGTGTGTCCCCTACAATGTTTGTTTCTTGAACCACTGTCATTTGCCTGTGAATCAGGTCTTGTTTGTATATTTCAGGGTTAAATTTTTTGTTTAAATACAATTTTAAAAAGAACAATAGCAATGTTGACCTTTCAATGAGAAATGAAAGACCACAAAATTCAAAGATAAGTGACTACTGCGAGTGCATCATGCAAATTAAACCTAAGTGAAAACTGATTTAAAAAGAAAACCGACAACCAAGTATGACTCATTTACTAAAAATGTTATAAGTTATAATAGAATTAGGTAATAATACAACGTCAAATTGACGTTGAAGGCATGTGTACTGTTTCAGAAGACTAAATTTTGTACAGTTTTCTGTTTACATTTGTACCTTTTGGTTGAAAATATTACTCAACAAATTCTCAGTTTTTTTAAATTAAAGTAATTACACTGTGGTTTCCGTTTTGCTGAAGGTGGTTGACAAATCGCGTGAAATGTCTCGGAGGCTACAAAAGGTCAAAGTTCATGACCATATAAAGCCCGCCTGCTAATTCATCTCCGAATACTCAACTTAATTAATTATGCAAGACGCAGTGCTTACTGTTTGCAAGCAGCCTGTCATAATCACCCACACAAAAACCAATACTACGTCCACAGATCCCCCTGCTGCTAACTGCTCCTAGCTGGAGACAGGCAATTGCTGTAGTATGTCCTGCTTAGGGACACAAACAGCCTGGCTCCCTTTACAGAGAACATCATTTAACACGTCAATTCCTGTTGTCTAATTTGGAAATGAATTCAGACAGATGGCATTCTGGCTAACAACCGTCGGCATTCCCACGGATTATTTACACATATGAATGTCAATATTTCTGGTTATATTTTTGTATAATAAAAAGTGCACTTCATTAAATAACATGTGTGCTCTGTTCGCATCCTTTTGTGTTCTGTCTATGTTTGTATGTTTGGGGGAAAAAAATATTTCATGGAACATTTACATGTAAGTTCACTAGCAATAAGGGATTAACAGTGATAAGAGATGCATTTGTCAAAGTTCAATCTAATCATTTTTACTAGACATAAGGCAGGATGACTAGGGGTGTGGATTTATGGGAAGTACGGGAATCGACTAAAAAAAACACCTTGGGTATCGTTAAAGAAACACAACCCCAAAATTTAAATTCCAAACCTTTCTTTTTCATTGTCTTAGAAGTTACTAAGTAATATGTAAAGTTAATTATGGGTACCCGATTCCGTAATCTGGAACTGGTTCCTGACATCAGCGGTCGGGTACTCGGGTACCTGGTTCCGATGCACAGCCCTAAGGATGACTTGCCATTGAACTGTGACAACAACTTTGCCATGAAATAATAACCGGAATCATAAATATTTATCAATTGACACAAAAAAAATATATCAGCTGATTTATGAAAGTCATAACCAAACAGGAATGGTGATTCGATCTCCACCCCCCCAAAAAAGTATATATACAGGCCAAAAAGACACCTCATCATAACAGTTGTTATCTGATGTGTTGTAATCAAGTCTGTCAATAACAAGTCAATCACAAGCCCACCTGTCCCATAGCAAGTCCGCAGCTATAGACCTCTATCATGCTGCCACCATTTCAGTCATGCTCCCTGTATCCAATAACAGTACTGAATGATAATGTTTTTTGTGCAAACAGGAACCAGACTATTTTTTCTTCCAGCCTCGCTTTGGTTACGTTGACTTGAATGGGCAAAAATCAAGATGGCCGCAACATGATAATGGTCTATTCAAATGAACTGTTACATAGGCACTGTTATTGTTCATCCCTTAATTACTTGTGAGCGGCTGATGGATTTACGGTGACCAGACTTGTGATTGACTTGTGAAGGACTCTTCATGAGTGTTCTTATCTTGCATTCAATTCATGACGATGACCGACACAAGGACAGCTTCAACGAACGTGCAGAAACCCATGAAGTACAGGAACCAGGATTTCTCCTTGGCCAGGTCGCCAGACTGTAGGAATCGGAACTGTTTGGATGATCAAGACAACGACAGGTGTGGGAAAGAGAAAAGAAAAGAGAATGGGCTAAATCTAACATTGAAACACAATGTTTGATTTTCTGATGTTTATTCAAACCAATAATTCCTGACCATGCAGATGTTTCAATGGAATAAGGGAAAAATATGTGCTTGGCCAGGTATTAAACAAGTACGTTTAAAACGGGCTTGGTGCCTGGATGTTGATGGCCTGAGCCGAAGGCGAGTGACATTCTCTGCGACTAGGCTCCAAGCCAGTTTAGGTACTTGTTTAATACCTGCCAAGCACATATTTTATTCCCATTCATAAATACCGTTCATTCAAAAGTCGAAACAAGTCACAAAATGTTAATTTCCAATGATTTTGTTTAAAACAGTAGGGTATTTAACCCCCTCCCCCCACAATATTTTGTAAAGACTGCCCTTTTCTATGAAGTGCCTTTTTTCACCAGCGTAAAGAGTGCCCTTTTTTTCTTTTAAAGCAAATGCCCCCCTTTTTTTTTTAACCAGTACCCTGTTTCACCAGCAGCCTTTTGCGAGTGGCTGTTTGGAATTTCACGCGGCCGTCAGCAATCGTACCGCCCTGAAAAGTGCCATCTATTGTCCGATACTGTGCATGATTGTCCGATTTGAACAGCGCCCCCATCGGTTCCCCCCCCCCCCCCCCCCATTCCTTCCCTCCATTTGATATTATGGAGGCGAAGTGTCCGGAGAAAAAAACTATCTACATCTCAGCTTGGATGTGAAAGTGCCCTTTTCAAGAACTTTTTACCCCCCTCCCAAATAAGAATAACCTTGCTACGCCTCTGTGCCCCCTTCCTTCCAACTGAATCCACTTACTATGAAGGCCTCCACTGCAATAAATCCAAGAAGACTAGCACCAACCAGGAAGTAGAGGAAGCCTTGTTTGCCGGTCGAAGCACCGCGGTATATGCACAGAATCAAAGCAATCTACGGGTTAAAAACCACAAGAACGTTGTCTAAGAAGTTTGACTTTCATAGTGGAACATGTTGAATGAAAAAAAAATGACTGGAGCAGGGTTTGAAACTGCGACTCCAGATTGCCCTACTGGCATTCTACCAACTGAGCTATCAAGGCCTATGTTGGTGGCTCCCAATTTTGTTCAAGGGGTGCTAGTCAGAAGCCATAACTCTGTATAGGTCTCCCTCAAATGGCGTCCTTTCTACAGATTGCCACAAGCATCGGCATTTTGGGCGTCAAATTTGCGTGACGTTCATCGGCTACACCGTATTTCGAAGAAATTTCGAGCAACACGCGCGTTTAGAATATTTTGCACACTGCGCGCACATGCACCTCGTGGCGTTGAACATGCAGTTGTAATTTTTCTACAATGATGGCATCATATGAGAGAGATCTATTTGCAATGTTACTGGGGATTAAACTCAAAGGTCATGATGCTAGCAACATAAGCAATGCTGCGTACCTGCACAGTGGCAAACAGCTAGGAATAAGACCTTTTATTAAAAAAATTATCAAATAAACCATGAAGGAAAAATGACTAGGTGCATAATTTTAAATTTGAACAAAGACCTTGAAGGGAGCAGGATTTAAAGCTAGGCAAATTCATTTGACTTTGACCTCCAAGGCCAAGGGCATCAACTCAACGAGCCCTACAAACAGGGTTGTGGCTCTCTTTTAAAGTCAGTCTTATTACTGCCACCATGAGACAGCCGTTTACAGCCCTGTTTGTAGGGCTACTACTAAAGCCAACCGTTCCAATTTATTTCTCATTGACAACAAATTTTGGTCAATAGGAAAGCAAAGTCTGACAAAAAAAAGACTAAAAATGGTACTCACGAGAACCAAAAGTGTGATGACTGCAACTGTTCCTATCATAAGCAATTTCTGCATGTGTGAAAAAAATTGAAAAACCTGAGTTATACAAAAATAATAAATGCTGTGCTGTGTAATTATAAGAATACAAAATTACTATCTCCAGTATGTGTCCAGTGCTCATTAAATTAGAAGCAATATGTTCTTCTGAGACAGCGGCAGGAGACATTTTCCTGTAATCGCTTCGCATAATGTTTCCTTGGGCAAGCCATTCCATCCCCACTTGCCTCTCTCCACCCAGGAGTACAAATGGGTACCGGCATTAGCTGGGGAGTAACCTGCTATGTATTAACATCCCATCCAAGGGAAATACAAATATTCTCAGTCGTTTCATGCTACTGAAACCGGAGATAAACGCCGGCCTAATAATAGGCCACATTGGCTCGTGATAGACTTTACTTACTATACTTCGCAAAACCCAGCAAATTTAACTGATAAAAAAGAATGGTAGTCAATTTTTAGCCGAAATAGTGTAAAAAAGGATTCACTATAGAACTATCCTCTTAACAAAAATGTACCTGTTACAAAGTCACTTACTGAGCGAGGAGTTTGCGTGGAATCATGGTATACAGCATGTGATGAGGAGGGACTTCCCAAGGATGACGTTGCCGTCTCTTGTCCCGGGGGTGCAGCAAAGATTGGCGTCTTCTCATCCATCTCGGAAAATGAGGTTGTTTACTTTAATACTCCGTCACTCAAATGAGGGCTGAGACTAGCGTAGCGACTTTCAGGATTAAAAGTTGATCATGTTTAAATTAAATTATCATTACATTTAGGGCCTAACATGTGCTACAACGTACTGCACTTGGAAGATGGAATACGTTGATACTTGGGCACCGACTTCCTTTTGGCAAAATGCAGCCACTAATTTATACCTAAATAAACATGAACAGCGAATAGAATTAAACATAGGCCAATGTTACAAATACAATTGCATAAATTTCAAATCATAATTTGCTATGAGTATTTGTAAACAAATGCAATACAGAGCGCCCTCTACCGCACACTGACGGGAAAATGTTGCAACCTGACGCCACTTCCGCGATTGTGTACAGAGTCTACGCGTACGCATGGAGCAGAGTCAAGAAAATTGGAAATGTTTGATTTGTTTCTCAGTCCCACCATTTGCCCAGCATTGTTTGTGCCCAGATTCATGTCTTATTTTTGCAATGAATGACCTTCATTGTCGAGATGATATGTGAAGACAATTTGCATCAGGTTGAAACATTTGTTTCCCAAGATTGAAAATGTTAATGTGGCTGTAACTCACAAAACTAAAAGGAAATTTTTCCGACAAAAAACATCAAATACTCAGCAACTCACATCACAAAAACATCGACAGCATGCAGTCTGCAGAAGTTCTTCTCACTTCTCATAGCTCAACTCAGCTCACGACCTATTTATGTACGTCTGTCTGGTACCGAAATTGTACGAAACGTGGCGCTACACAGATCGACAAAGGAGACCAGACTATAGGTACATGAGAAATGACCTTTGCAGGAGAATCTATTTGATACAAAGGGGTAATTCTTTGTTTACGAGATATATTGTTGGAACAAAACAACCCTAATTTTGGTATGCATTGTATGTTTTCTTCATATAACACCTAAAATCCTATTACGTGAATTTAAATGTGTAAAATTAAAAAGAAATGGTTTAAACTAATAATTATTCACTGATACTTGCCCCTGCAAAATTGAATCGTTCCAGGTGCCGGGTACTCGCTTGACCTCTGACTTAATGCACGTGATTCTGATCAGTCGACCGAATCGTAATGGTTATAATAAATAACATCATCATACTCTAATTTTACGACAATTGTGTCATCCTCCATGGTCATACAAACGAATGACACAAATTAAAACGAAGACCAAACATGGATGACGGATCGGGCAAGGATGGTTCTGCCCCGTTAAGCGGGGCAGTTTATCATGAGGTTGCACCTGAAAAGGCAAGTGAATTTGTGAACAAAATCTCCCCCGCCGCGCCGCGCCCGGCGCTAGCGCTACGGGTTGTAAGTTGGGCGCGATTTACCGATCGCGCCGAACATGTACACTCACTGTACATACACACTGTTCCTTGGAAGTAGAACCATGGAGGAGTGTTCTTATTCCTCCATGGTAGAACCATGGAGCTATAAACACATTTTATAGCTCCATGGTAGAACCATGGAGAAATAAGAACACCTAAATGGACCCCGTTGCATCTCAAAACCATAAGAACTCCACTGTATAGTGATTGTTTTCACATTACAGTGTTGAATTTAAAGGAGAATCCCAACTTTTAGTATTTACTCACTGACACTATTTTTGTATTTAATTACGCATTTTTAATTTTAGGTTTTGGCAACCAAGGTATATATTGCACTCACAGTTGCAATGATTGTGGTAAGCAGAAATATTTAATTCTCATGTCTTTCTTTCTTTTTAGTTCTCTTTTTTAAGTTCCAGTTTCATTGCATAGTTGTGGAAGCTTGGAATAATGATGTGTCAATTTTTTATGATTATAGTTCACTCAAATTTGAAATAATTTAAACTTTAGCTACTCGGGTAAAAAGGGGCTCTTGATTTACTTTATTGAATTGCTTCTAATCAACAGCTGTCAGTGATCTTTTGTTTAGTCAGAGGGCAGTATGACTTCACATACTATCTCATGGCCGTTAACATCCTCATCAGTGCCATCATCATCTTGTTCTCGGTAGGTAAATTCCTAGTTTGGTGCTCCAGTAAATACCTTGATACCTAGTTTAATACCAGGTGCAATGATTGTCAATCCCACAGTTTGAAATAGTTGTAGTCAGATGAAAGTGTGAATAACAGCACTGAAATGGAACTGTTTGGTGGCACTAGTTATCATCATATTTTATTTATGTTTCAGGAAATCAGAATTAAGCAAAATTGTCCAATTTAAGTTTCATGTAAAATTTTAATTGACTTGAATACAAGTTGTGAATAAATTGTAACATAAAATGTGGTTTTTTATTTTGATTACAGTGCTTCTGGTACAAGACTGGGGATTTGGTATGTAAATTTAAAACAAAAATTGTCCCTTGAAAGTTGAATGAAGTATGAATCATCTTTGAAATTCAGGAAATACAATGTTGCCCATTACCATGAACTTTTTTTTACAATTGACATAAAAGTCATTTACTCACATTGATCACTGTATATGTCTTACTCTTTGACACGTTGGGCAAGAACCCAATATGAAATTGTGTGAACTTTAACCCCTGAACTTTGACCCTCCAGGATCCAACAAAGTGGTGGTTCCTCATCCTGGTCGGGACGGTGGTCATCTTCCAGTGCATTACGACCGACATCTACGTCTTCCAACATGAGAACCCAAATCCCCCGGCGTCAACAGCTGCCCCGCCCCCATTGACGACGCCAAATGGGAACCCTGAGACGTTACAGCCTGCCACTAAGGCCATGGCACTGATGATGGCATTAGCTGGTGGAGGGGGTCAACCCGATTAAACACACTAGCCGAGTTGTGATGCAGTCGGTCACAAGTCAAATATCACAAGTCAAAAGACCCCTTGCAAAGAGCGCCCTCAAGGTGGACAGGTCTTTGTTTCCCAGTGATCAGCGTACAAAGACACATTGCACTTTCATTGTCACCATATGTTTGTAATTCTTTGTCGAGGTCGAATAAATAATAATAATAATAATAATAATAATATGTAAATAACAAAACATGTCCGGGGCGCTCTATGCAAGAAGTCAATTGAAAACAAGTTCACAAGTGCTGGGTGAACTATCGCAAAGGAAAGTCTTTGTCTAGTTTATTTGAATAAATTGTGACTATATTTGTCTAGGATGACTTGTCTAGGGCAGGGGGGCTTGAGTGTTGCTGTATCCTTGGGCCTGCAACCATGGGCATCGCGAGGGGGGGGCAAGGGGGGGCACTTGCCCCCCCCCCCCTGGAAAAGCAAAAAAAAAAAAAAAAAAAAAAGGAAGAAAAAGAAAAGAAAAAAAGAAAAAAAGGAAAAGAGGCGCGAAGACAAAGTGGTGTAAATTTAATGAGTTGGGAGGGGGGCAAAATGTCCCTGCCCCCCTCTAAAACTGATAAATCGAGAATGTGTTGAGAAATACAAGCATTTTTTGGCAAAAACATTTTTTGCCCCCCTCTAGAAAAAATTCTGGCGACGCCCATGCCTGCAACCATATGTACAAAAAGTTGTAAATTCAGATTTTGCATACAGGTTCACTTACTTATGCATACAATTTCTGCAACGAATCTGCCCCCAAATATTTCTTCTTTTATGTAAAATGTACCGTTTAATTTGCAGCAAGCAGTACTCTTACATAGATTTTCTTTCAATTCAGATGACAACTATACATCATTATGAGACCAAGTTGTGTGCATTCAATGCATGCTTGTGTCAGTGAACCATGGTCGAATATTCTGGAACACCGTTGCATTATAACCATTAGGATTTTGTCAATTTTTGTTGTTGATGAAATAGATTTAAGCTATAACACGGACTGCCCTATTACAATTAGAACTTTGTAACGTTTTTGCTTGTTTGTTTGTTTTGTTTTGCCTCTCTTGTTGGGCTTTGTAAGCTTATTTTGGGTTTTGAAGTGTAATAAGATTTACCCTCAAGTCTTTTTAAGTAAAAAAAATAAGAATCAACCGAGACTATTTATCAGGAGCTAACAGCTGTTGGGAAATTTTTAAATGAAACCCTAGAAAAAAAAGTGTGTGGTCCTAAAACCGGAAGTCACTTCCCTTTGATCTGGCATTGACCTATTTGGGGGAAACGGAAGTTGTGACCTTTCACCAAAAAAGGGCGATGGGAAAGTGTATTATTTAAAGGATCATGCAATGAATATTTCTAAGGAACACATTTTGTGCAACTTTCTAGTCGTAATGTATGAAAACTATTTGACATCCCTTTGAGGTTAAGTTTATTGAAAAGTGCACTTCTTTAAACATTTTAAATTGTCCATGCCTTTCCGGACAACTGAGGGCGCTGTTGATGTATGTCATTGCAGGAAAACACTGTTCAGTTTTATAGGGGTTTTCTGTACAAATTGTGAACCCAAATTTGTGCATTGTAAGCATTTGTCAGTGGAAAGGTGTTGCTCATTGGCTAAATACTGCCAAGATTTTACACAACTAATCACACACACAAAAAAGAGAAAATTTACGACCGCAAAATATCCAGATTTCTTGCAACTTTTTTTTCTGCTGAAAAAGCTGTAACATTGATGTGTCTGCACGGAATGACATCACAGTTTTGCTCATGAATATGGAAATTTGCATTAGCATAAAACCAAATAGGCACGGAAACGCTCTTTAAAATGGCGAAACAAAAATTGAAAATATGGTGAAATGGGTTATAAAGGTGCATTTGCAAGGATTGTATTAACTACATCACATTGCAAGGTCCCTTTAATGTATAACAAGTAGAGAATTTGACAGTAGGATTTGAAAAATATGGAACCTCGTATTTCCCATGATTTTTCTTTCTCGACTGCACCCTGGACATTTTTTTTATTTGCATTCTTTTGGGAAATAAAGAAAAAGGTTTCACATAAAGAACCATTAAAGTACATTCTATTGTCCTTTGTTTATAAGTTATTCACTTCTGTTTTCGTTATTGTGAATAATAGTAAGAAAATAATTAACTGAATCTGTGTCTTCAAGTAGTTCCAAGCTCCATGGATCATTCCTGTACGCTTTTGAAAACTAAGGCAAGATAGACCAATGTTGGTTAATTAACTTTCCCCCGGCCATTCGCATTGAAACTACATAGATATTATTGCCGTTGAGAAGTGTGTACATTGTACATCACATGCGATGTTTTGCTAGCCACTGTAAACAAATGAAAATCTCACCTGAACGAAAAAACAAAAAATGGGCAAAGAAAACCACCATTTTGTGGTATGGGAATGCTACTCGGTGACACAGCTGTGCTCTTGCCAAACGACTACATAGATTTGAGTTCATACTGCTGAATTCTAAAAACTCTGGTCATTTAATAGTTGTTTAAGATTGTCATTCCTCACCGCCACCAAAAAAATATAATAAAAAAGAAAAACACCAAAAATGCCCGCAAATAAACTGCAATCTTTAAATTAAGATCAAAATACATCCAGAGTTTTAAAGTACATAAACGTATAAAATTATAAAAGTTACAAAATCATGTACAGTGCTCTGAAAAATAGAAGTGCAATTTTTCGCCAGTGCACCATGATGAATGCAAGCAAAGCACCTCATCCATAATTTTGTGCAACATCACGAAAACATATATAATTCTCTAACAGAAATTCATTTCATTTTGTCAATAGGCCTAGCCTACATTCTTATACGTTAACTACTCTTTTATACTAACTGTACCCATTTTTCCAATTTTCCCAGCCTGGGATCTTTTCATTATGTTAATAATAATTATACAAAATAGTTCCTTTAGAAAATAAATTTCTTTCCACCATAACAATAATAAAGTTCTTTCTCCCTCAAGTAACAACTAAGTAACATAGATCATTATGGGGATAGAAACATATATAGAAAAAAAGAATGGTTTGCTTTTTAAATATAAAAGCTAAAAAAAACAAAACATTTATTAATAGAAAAAATGATACTTTTTCTTTCATTTTACTACATGAATATGTCAAGACCGCTGTCAACAATATTTTTTTGGTTTATGTTTTAATTTTTATAAATCACTTTGCTGCCCCACACACATTTTAATTAAATACATGAATAAACCAACAAAAATACACCATTGATATTCACTGTATATATAATGCTTACCTGTATGCTAAAGCTACACTATGAAGTCTACTACAAGACAACTGATAACTAATGCAATACAGAACCCCTCTTTCCAGATTTGAATCACTTTAGTTGGTGATTAATTAGACAACATGATAGATACCAAATATCAACAAAGAAGATGCATTATATTGCCAATGATTAATTGCAAAACAGATAGGCCTACTTCTGAAGAAAGGCTTGACGAAACTTCCACAGTCTACCAACTTAGCATCGCCAGTCTGATTGTGCGTCTTTATACGAAGTGAACTTGCCTTAAAATCGCCGTTTTAAAACAAGGTTGAAAGGGGCCACAGCCTTGGCGACCTTAACGTTCGGATCCTGCACGAGCAGATCGTTGTCCTCCTCCCCAGGGGCTCGGCAGAGGGAGTAGCGGTGGGTGAGCCAGCTGAGAATGAGGTAGATCATCTGGCGAGCCTCGGTCTGGGCCAGGCATGCGCGCGCCCCGTATCCGAACGGGTACATGTGCTCGTCCGATTTGAACTTTCCGTCCTCGTCGATGAAGCGTTCTGTGCGATGTGATAAAAGAAAATTACCTGGTTTTTTTTCAACCAAACACGAATCAGAAATGGCACTTTGGGGTGTTGTAATCAACGTTGAGAAGAGACGAAAGGACGTGATGCATTGTGAGTTTTGGAAATGGAAGTTGTATATTAGGGATAAAAGCCCAAATTGTGAAGTCTACCTGGTTTGAAGACGAACGGCTCAGGCCAATACTCTTCGTTGAAGTGAAGGCCATAGAAGTTGCAGAGGACTCCCGTGTTGGCTGGAACCTTGAAACCACCTTTAAGTTAAAAACAAAATATTTTTGAGTACAATTGTATGAATACTTGTATTCAAAGCTCACAAATCAAATCAACCTTTTAAGACAGGGTCCACGGTGCTTGTGTTCTTAGGCAAGACACTTTACTACGTTACCCCATCGACCCAGGCGTATATTTGGTATCTGTAAGGGTATATATTATACACACTATAGTTGCACTGATCTCGAACTGTTGCATAAAACTGATCTAATGGCCTGGTGATCAGGATAATGTTATGAAGCGTTTTGATACATCAGTATAAAGTACTTTAAAGTAAAATAAAATTATCGACGTCATTAAATGTCTGGCTGTCCAGAAAAGAATCTCACGGAAGGTGATATCCTGGGTGGTCTTGTGCGGCACGCTGATCGGAGCGATGCAGGCGTAGCGTAGAATCTCCTCAATGGTCGCCTTGACGTAGACCAACTCCTCCCGGTCGTCCAGCCCAGGAACCCGGTCCTCACCGACCGCCTTGGTGATCTCAGCCGAGAATTTCTCCTGCTGGTCTGAATTGCTGACGAGGAGGGCTGTGGCGGTCAGGGAGGACACCAAGAAACCGGCAGTAGCTGTTGGATAAAAGATATGGAAGGCCTCGGTGAGTATTTAGGATTAATATATACTCTTGGTACTCTGATCCCAAACTAGGCCTCTGGCTGACTGACTGGGAATATCCTTAGCTTACTAAAATAAAACATAAAGCACCTAAACTTACTGACCGGCAGTCCAATTACTTGCGGGTCGAACTCGGACGAGGCAAACCTAGTCTTGTATTTTTAGACTGTTTTCTAGAAGCTCATATTAATGGAGCTTTCGGAAGTTGGTGTGGCACATTACTTATACAGTCTAGACATTGGACCCCGGTTCCTAACGTCAAACACTGTTGGGGTAGACAAGTATCCAGCTCGTGGACACGAGTGCATTTTATCCTGAAGTCGGAGTCGTGATAGTCTATGGAGCATGCCCTTGCACAGCAAGGGTATAATAATTCTGATAATGATTCGGCGATTAATTATGCAAACTGCGTCTTGACCTCGATATTGTGGCCAATCAGCGGGCGCTTTCTACATCGGGTCTTCGGTAACCTGTATTGCAAAAACATGGCAGCCAAGTTGACCAACCAACAGCTTAGTCTACATTTCTGATCGAAATGACGTCCCAGTTTCTAAAGTTGATTCCGATTGGCTGGCGATAAATACGTTAGCGCGTGGCTAGGCTCTTCACACGTGAATGTATGATCCTCAGACTTGAGTCATGACCCATACCCGAAAAAACAACATCAATTATGAATCCAAAACGGTAACACCTTGGACCAAAACGTCCCACGTTTCAGTGGCTGTGGGTTTAAGATTTCATTGTAGGCTGAAATGTTGTTGTTTTGTTCTTGTGGAACTTAAAGGAATGGTACTTACTCCCGCCGAGGTAGTTGGATATGACCTGATACACGTGGGTGTCGGTCAGGAACTTGTACTTGTCCGGTTCCGTCTCACGGGCGTGGTTTCGACACTTGATGATTCCGTCCATCAAGTCGCGGGTCATGGCTGCAAACAAAAAAAGAAGAAACAAGAAGGGGAAAATGACGAATGGGGATCCCAACTCCTGATGTAGATATCCTAATGGCGTACCCAGAGGGGGGCGGCGCGGGCGGGGGGGGGGGGACACCTTGCCCTCCTGGCGGATTGTTTTGAAAAAAAAACCAACCAATTCAGTAAGTAGGCCTATTTGAATAAATGGTGAGAAATTTCTGACATCAACCAAATAAAGAAGAAAACCAGCTCCTAAACAATAACAATGCGCCGTGAAAATCGGCATATATTTTCCAGTAATGTATAATAATTGTCCGTTTTTGATTTTACGGAGGCCAAGTGTCCGGAGAAAAAAAAATGTCAACCATTCGGAGCGGATGTGCGGTTGCCCCCCCCCCCCACATCAAAAGCTGGATACGCTACTCAGACATCCTCAATGGAATGGTATTAATAGAAGGTTAACCCAGTTAACCCAGAGCCCCTACACATGGACAATGGGCACGACGACCAATACAATACATTTTCTTTTACAGTCCATCTCAACTATACAGTTGCAGCAACATCACAGGATTAATTAGAAGTGGTATGGTTGATAACTACCCCTCGTTTGTCTGAATGTCTACAAAATTAAAACAATTTTCTTCAATTAAAATAATAAGTATAATTCCGACGGAAATATTCTAAATTTACGTGTAAACATGGGATTTATGGTATGGAAACAGCCGCCAAATTTTGCCTGAAGAGAAAATGCTTTAGGAAAAACAAATCTCCAAGCATCTCTTTAACGAAATGTCCAGCAAATATCGCTCAAGACTGTCCGCAGGTTTAGAGTCATTTCTTATTCATAAATTCCCAATTGTACTCTCCCATTAAAAACTGTTAATACTAACGTTTAGCGCCGCCCACGTGCGAGTGCCGGGCATTGGGCTTAGAGTTTAATATGTGCCTGGATTTGGGTGGTTCGTAGTTTTTGTTTGTGTGTTGTAATAGTTTGTAAACCAAAACACACTTTTCAATCGAGTCTCCGGAAAAGGAAAGTAGGTGTCGGAAATAATTATGACCACCAGAAAGGCGTCGGATCAGATACACGCCTTTTTCAACGACAGTTTTGAGTAATTCATTTCCTGATTATAGTAAAGAAACAACAATAGTTGCAAACTTCCCCTTTGAAATTACAAGGCATCAAAGTATTATGCAGCTACCGTCATGCTCGTAATGTTCCTGTTTCACTTTTATTGAGGGAGATTTCCCCCATGTTTTCCCCTAAATTAACTGTGGAGCTATAATGCGTGGGCTCTGTCGCTTGGCTATAACTCAAGTTTTATTCTGAAAAACACACGGAATTAACAAAGTCAATGCATTTATATAAAGCCCTATTGTGCGTGGAGCCTTGCAGGGACACTTTCACTTTATATAGCTCTGGCACTATTGCACTAAATGCAAAACTAGATCCTAACAACAGGCCTGCTAAATTTATTTTTGGGTATATTCATATAATTTTATTCTCTTTTTTCTTGATAAAAGAATAATCTCAGGGAACTATAATTTGGAAATTATTGATCACTGGCTCACAGAAGTTCATTTACAAGACAGTGTGCATACGGACACCAACCAACCTGTGTCTAGACTCTCCTCGTGTCGTTTCATCTCCGACCGGAGCAATCCGTTCAGCTCGTTGACTGTGGCCTTGGCCTCCGAGAGGGCCCTGCTGGGGAAAAACCGCAGGCTGGGGATGACGTCTACGGGCAGACGCGGCCCCACGATGTACTTGTACAGACCGCCCCCAAACAGCCTAGCCACACGGTCATGGATAGAGGGATCAGCACTGGGGAATGAATTATTCATGAGATATTAATGGCATCTATTATGAATATGCAAGAGCAAGAGGTTAATTATAATCGTTTGCTAATGTACAGTGTTGTACTCAAACTCGTACTCGAGTACATTTGTTTTGGTACTCGTACACGTACGTATGGAAAAAAAGGCCTGGTACTCGTACTCATGACAAAGTACTCGTACTCATACTCGTATACTCATGGAAATGTACTCGACTACTCATAGGCCAAAATATTCATTTTACTGGTTCACTACCTTTGCTTTGCTTGCAAGGCACCCTCCCGGATGCACACAAGGTATATATTAAGTGCGAATGCGCATTTCTTACTTTGACTTTAGTAATACTTAAATAGGGAAGCCATCAAAAAAAAAAATAGTCCCACATGTAAAAAAAAAAATCAACTTGTTTCATTCAAATTAATAGGTTACATTTATATGTGACAGAACGATCAGATTGCATTCTACTAATTGTTTGCTCTTTACGGGAAGTCGTTGTTTCACTTTGTTTGCGGAAATCTGTGGAATTCAGTCGTGATCGTCAAGATGTATACTGTATACTCATAGAGATGACATGGAACATTGGCAGGCTTATACTGGGTTTGCCAACTGCAAACATGGTCATTACCCCTGAGGCCTATAGTGCGTGACAGAGCGAAGGAAATAGCTTTCCTTCTGGTCAATAAATCATAAAAACCGATGCAACCTTGCCAGCAACGCAGTGAGGTTTAGTTTAATGATGTGGGCATGAATCAACAACATCGTAAAGGTTAAATTCGTTGGCTCCTATTTACGACAACGTAAACCGTGCTTCTCTATAGAGACTGAAACGAACCCAACCACAGATTCGATTGCAAACATTCAACATGCAGTAACTTGTTAACGATGGAACGCCATGAAGGGCATACTAAGTTCCTGTTTTTTCCACGATTTCCAAAAGAATACGCATTGCAATAATGCGTTCCATAACTACATAACCTTGCTTTCGTGATTTCCACAAGTAATCGTGTACATTTCGCCTTGAGCCATTGTTGTACTAGTGACCTTTTCATGAATAGCCTTGGAGGTTTTATTCAAACCAAATGAATACTCGACCCTGTTGACGAGCATGTAGTAAACAGAACAAGGCAAACAATTCCGACTTCCTCGGGTAAATATAATATAAAATCCACTTAACCACAACCTGTGGACAAAAAGGTGTGCGGATCGAGATGACTTCGAACTTTTACACGGTATATTACAACATAAACTATACATGTTTAATATGTAAAGTCCTTTCTGTAAAGTACTTTTTCCAGAACACATCCACTTTTAAACTTCGGTTTGGATTATATCCGACTCAGTCATTATAAAACTTTCTGAAAACCAAAACTGAAATCTTGTATTTTAAAATTAACCCGGTCAGTTGTCGACTCGGTCAGTTTTTCCAATTAACTACACATGTTTAATATAGCCTATACAGTCTTTTCTGTAAAGTACTTTTTCCAAAACACATCCACTTTTAAACTTCGGTTTGGATTATATCTGACTCAGTCATTATAAAACTTTCTGAAAACCAAAACTGAAAACTTGTATTTTAAAATTAACCTGGTCAGTTGTCGACTCGGTCAGTTTGTCAGTCATTCAATCATGCCAGTCTGAAGACAGCAGGTTGGCCTTTACTGGTCCAGCAAGTAAGCTGGCACTTTGGGTCTAGCCATTTACTTACTCGAACCCGAAGCACAGGTGACTCAGGATACCAGCCACCGCTGGTACCATGATGTCCTTGACATTGACAGGTTGATTCTCCCTCTGGTCCAGGTCATCTCCAAGCTTCTTCAAGACGATGTGAGCTATCTCCTCCAGCTTCTTATTGGCCGTAAATTCTCTGCGATGTACAGGGGGGAAATGCGGTTGGACATATGCATGTCGACGAAGAGATGCGTGTAAAGCAGAGGCAAAACTAAGAGGAAACATAGAGCTCTTGGTTCCCCTTCCCCGATGACTGCGGGCATGTTCCCCCTTGTTACACCCCCCCCCCCCCGCGTTCAGACTTTGGGGAAAGCCAAACGATCTTTCTTTATATAGCTTCTGTAGTATTCCCCTCCAGAAAATAAGCCCCCAAATTTTCCCCAAGTTGGACCCCAGTTGCGAAATTGCAAGAACTTTAAATATCCTCAACTTGCTGGCATCAAACCCTCTAATTCACTCAAATATTTACTGAAAGTAGCTAGCCTGCTCTTCTTTCTCACGATCGCCTTTATTTTTGCAAAGTCCTATATATCCCTCCAATATCCACCACTATATTATGCAAATACCAGGCAGTGATTTTAACTTAAAGGGCCACCTTCTTGAGGCAGGTTTTGAAGGATTTTGATGGGTAATTCTGGATGTTGTTTTTTAATGAACATACATGTCCTAAGGCAAAGGAGCCAGTTATACATACCGGAGGTTTTTGATGCCCAATTCTCGCAGCAGGAGCCAGTCATGACTGTACTCCCCCAGGGAAATATCTTTCCCGTTCTCATTCAGTAAATTGCCTTCAAAAAAATTAATAATACAACTACGTTTGAGAAGGAAAAAAAAGGAAAAATAACCCCATCGTGACTTTTTGTTCAATTTACCACACAGTTTCATTACCACTTTTGGGAGTTTATAATTATATAATACTTACAAGTTTGATATTACATAAGGTATTCTGATATGTGCGCAAAAATTGTAAAAGGGGTGCGTTTAGTTAGAGTGACCTTGGAACGAAGACGGAAAATATTACTCTACACGACAGTAATTAAGAACCTTACAGGTAATTTTAGACTTGTATCAAGTCCAAACAAGACTAGACCATCACCATGCAGCTATGCTATATCTACCACCACTACAACCACTAGTCACCATCGTTATCCAAAGTCGACATGTTATCCAAAGTCGACATCGATATCCAAAAACGACGGACACATTTTGTTGTTGTGAAAACCCAAGACGAAATTGCATTGGGAGACCTAGAAAAGTTCCATCTGGTTGCTTTTGAGTTGTTGTACTTTCACATGGTAAATTTCGTGGAACGCCGGTAGCTTTAGATAATTCATTTCCTACAGCTCAAACATTTGCATACGAACGAACTTTCATGCTCGATTACATACATGTATTGAATTTGGGTTGGTGACATTTTCCCTGCTAGTTTCTTTGTGTGCTGATGGCAACTGAGTGCTAGTGATGTATGCCTTAAACCAACAAAGAATCGAATTCTATTCAGTGAAAATAACACGCATTTTTTTTTTTTTGGGGGGGGACTACTCAATGGAGTTAGCACGGCTGAACAACGGTTAGAAACTTGGTGCGCTAGCTATTATTAAATTTCTCACAATGGTAGTGAATGTATTTCCAAATATCTTCACGTTCCCCTCTTGTTTTGTTATTTAAACCGTGTTGAAACAAAAGATAACCCATTCCACAGAAAACAAAAACAAGTACGTGGGCGTCACTTTATCCGCAAGCCCTTTTTGTTTCTCATCTTTTCCTGAACTTTAAAGTAAACGACCGCTAAACCTGGTACCTTTTAAGGTCACGTATAATCTGTGCCAGGAACCTGCCATTTTTTTTTTTGGTTGCAATATTTCCTAATTGGAATATTGCAAAATACTCCAATATTGCAAAATATTCCTATTTTGGAATAATGCTCGGAACTTACCATTTACAAAAACAATTTTTTTTTTGCAGTATTTCCTTATTGGGATATTGCACAATCATGTTTTCTTCTCGCTTCTTGGAGAGGTTATAAAAAACTCATTGAACCAAACAAACTACTGACCACTATTATTATGCAGTATAATGAAAGTCTGCACGGGTCAAGGACTTGATAGGCAGGAAAGTGTGGGCTCATTACTAGAGGAAATTCTGATAAGGAAGACAAAATGCAGTACACAGATTCTCAGGGTTTTGATAACATATTCCTCAGTGACTGGTCATTTTACAGCAGTACAGAGTTCCTTAATTTCACATGAAAATAAGGTTCGGTGTTTAATTGTTTATCTCTCAAAATCGCATGAGTGATTCAACTAAAGTTTAGATAGATAGATAGTTTGGTTTATTGTAAAGTGTAAATTGTAAAGTGAAAACAAATATTGAGATATTGGAAAGGACAAGAGATTGGTATAAAACGGAACCAATGTCGAGTTACAATGTCCATATAACTAAAACCAAATGGGTAGCTTCAAAAGTGCCTGCAAATATTTCCAGATGACATCAGAGGGTCTGTTAATTTTGGTTTTAAAAATGGGACAATATTAAATGGAAAAACACTTGGTCAAACTCACTGGTGTAGTTCGTGGGCCTAGAACCCATCTCCTTAACGAAGTTCACGGCTGCATCTTTAATGGCGGCCAAGGTGTTTAGCATGATAACCCAATGGCCAAGTTTCAGGGACATGACGTCACCCTGCTCCTTCCCTATCTGATTAAGGATGATCCAGGGCGGCGTTTCTCCGGTCATGACTGTGGTATAGAGTTGCAGAAAGGAATAAGTTGAATTGGAAATGACTCATCCACTTATAACTACCCGTGTGTGAAACATCACGGGAAGAGTTCTATACATGGACATCACATATTTTTTCCCTGCACTGCAGTGACCAATCAGCCATCAGAAAGCGATAACATGCACGTCCTAAAAAGTCAAATTTAGCAGGGAAAATATTGAAACATTTACTGATAAAACACTTGGAAAACACAGTCTCATGGGACTTTGTGCACAGGGTGTCAAGTGATGTCCAGGACTGTTTCGGATAAAGGCTAATTGATTTGTTTTTAGGATTGCATTTTCACTATTACATATGTATTTACGATGCGCAAGTTTTTTTAAAATTATATTGACGCTGTTATTGTCACTCTAACTTATAGCAAACGATGCTAATTGCTATTTTAAACAGACAATTTTGTTTTTAAAAGAATGTAATATCCTGGTTCCACTGATAGCATGGATAGCGTGTAGAGTCTATCATGGAAAGTATAGTTGAACTTGAACTTGAGTACAGTACATGTAGTTTGAAACTGGAACTGTTTCTCCGTCGAAACTTCAGTTAAGTTCCAACATGTTTGTAGTGACTCATGCCATACTATGCCAATGTATATGGTGAAAGATAGACGGGTGTTTAAATTAAAGGATACTGCATTCCACCCATATCTGTTTATGCACAAAACAAAACAAAAGCACCGAAAGTTGTGCTGCCTCGTGTTTAGGTATTGTAAAATCCCACAGAGTTTTATCAACTGAGCCACGCCCCACACGTACAGGTCACCACTCTGTAAATTAAATTATACCAGCACAAATCCTTCAAAAAATGCCTATAAAATTTCCTATGGAACAATCACCTTTAATGACTGCATAGACCAACTAGCTACCAACTGCTATTTCATGAATTGTATTTCATTGTGAAAAACAATAGGCCTGATTACTTACTTTTTAGGTGGCCACCGATGCAGCTTGCACCGGGTGCTGGAGGGGGCGACTCGGCTCCCATCCCCCCACCGCCTCCAAGACACAATGCCAGGACCACGATCAAGACAACCACTGTCGCCGCTAGAGCGATAGTCGCGCCCGTCACCGTGAAGACACCGGTCACCGAACCACCTCCTACAGCTGCCGAGAGCACCATTTTGGGATCAAGTCGGGATACTCCAAACAGTATCTACGCAGATATTGGTAGTGACTATAAATACACAAACTCCACTCAAGGCCTACTCAACACTACAACTGTATAGTCTGCGGTGGTGAACTTTCGGTTGTGTAGCTAGCAGTGTAGACCGGCTCGGACGAATGGATTTCTATGAATGCCCTCAATACAATGGCATGGTATTAACATCGTACGAGGCCATTCAACGCTCTTTCCTTTCAACTGCAAGGACGTCAGTATCTAGTGTGCAAGTTTTACAACACTGTAACTGTATGGGTGAACGCGTACATGTACATAACTTGCAATACTTCTGTCACCCACGCACGGCTATAATTTAAACGCAAGGACTTTCGATCGGGTCCACTTTGTAAAGAACACTCCATGCAACAATTCACGTCAATAAATTATTGGTGGTCGGGCATGATCCAGTTCGGTGAGGTATGGGACTTAATAAACGGGCGTGTTTTGCAAGTAAGTAATTCGTGTCTTGCCGCCACATCCGCGACCCAATAACTGCGCAATATCTCAATCGAAAATGCCCCGCATAACAACAATGTTCATGTTGTGAGCTCTGGTGTTGCCACGGTAACCCAACCCACACATTCCCACTGATCTCATTCCAGACGAACCCCCGTGTTCAATTCCCCAAAGATTCGGGCGCGGAACCAGGATTTTTGGAAAGGATGAGGGGTCAAATCTGAAGTGCTAACGCCCCCAGAAATTCATGTATACAGGGTGAGTCAAAAAAAGCGGAACCCAAACCCAATTAAATGTATTTCATATTTTAAAAAAATATGTAGCACCAAATATAATAATGACTGAAAACGCAATTTCATGAGCTACTATACTGTAATTGCTCAACCCGTTCAACGTTTAAACTGAGATTTTATCGCTGGTGATGTTTAAAGACAATTGCGACGACGATTCTTGAAATCGCATTTTGTGGACGAGACGGATTTTAGGGTCATTGTGTTTAAATGGTGATATTTTCAGAACGGATTGACCAATTTCAGTCATTTTTTCATCTTATAGTACCTCATGAAATTGGCTTTCCAGTCGTTATTATTTTTGGTGCTACATATTTTTTTAAATATGAAATCAGTAATTTGGGGGGTTTGTGTTCCGCTTTTTTGACTCACCCTGTACTTTTATTTTTCAAAATAAGTGTAATTTTTTGATCTGTCGATTCCACATTTTGTGTACTACTGAAAAAACTTCCAGTTTGCCCATAATCAAGGAAACGGGGAGGAGGGGGGAACACGTGTGAACATTTAAAATGTCCAACACTGTTCCTAACAACTGAGGGCGCTGTTGCTGTGATGCCTTAATTAAGGTTGCAAACAAATTGCCTCGGAGTGGCTCAGACATCAGTGATAATTACGCCCACTTCCAAAAATTATGAAAAATACTCACAACTCTCCAAGGTATTTGAGACACTCATTACATTAAAGCTTACTTCATCATCTTTCATTGTCCATTCAATTTGTCATGGGTTAACCGATGACTTTTGGGAGAAAAATCCATCCAAAGATGACCACCCCTAAAAGTAGTCCTGAAGCCCATCGCTTTTTTTGAAAAAGGATGCCATGCTCCATTGTGAAACAGTCTGAGCCATTATAAACCCCCATTTCATCCGAATTTCACAGAAATATGAGCTCACCATCCTGTTCATGGCTTCATGTATTCCTTTTTACAAATCTCTCAAGTTCATGACTCGCAAAATGCTGCAATACCAGAGAATTTGAGAGCACGCAAATCGTGCTTTGGCCGGGGAAGGCAATTTCTGGCCTGCACCCATAAGGCACATTACGAACCCACCTATGTACCCAATGAAGTGTGTCATGTTTGTTCATATAACTGACGGCCATGAACTGATGTGGACTTCTAAAGTACGTGTATAATTGACCCCGAAAACCCCAAAATGTCCGGCAACTTTTGATGTTGAAACAACTCACAACATTGCGTGAAGCTTACTGCCTATGATTAGGCATACATGACGGTTTTGCTTTAGGCTCATAATATGTAAATTCGCTGCGTCATAAAATCCGATAAAGACCTTTAACTTGAACCCAAAAACAGCGATACGGAGATTGAAAATGATATTTTTGGACACGAGGGGGCAAGGCTATTTTCAAAAATTTCGTCAAACCATGCACTGGGTCTTTTAAAACTCCTGTTTCACGCATGTGTTAGAAAAAGGCACAGACTTAATATCGCTCTTTATTGGGTTTTCCCGTTTTATTGGATTTTATATATAAAATAAAATTTTCAACAAAAGCCAAATTCATATAGTCCGGTTTTATTTTGTGATTAACGCATTGAAAGACAGTTTCTGAAATGGAGCCAAAGTCCGTCGTACGAAATCAACTGCATGTCTATGACACAATTAAGTTAATTGACGCATGGACGATTTTATGAAATGATCGTTGGAATGTTATGGATTTGGGGGGAAAAAACAATCATCTATCTGATTATTTGTTCATAACATGCAGCCTATTTACATCATTGTTTAGTTTCGATTACAAAGTTCATCACTATAAGTTACATTGATCGCGTACAATTCATTAACATATTCCCTTATCGGCTTTCTTAGCAACCATGATAATAAAAATGTACCATGAAATCAAATAAACATATTTGTACATCCTTAACTCTCCCATCAATACAAATATACCAAACACTTATTAACTTCTAATAAATAACCACATATAAATACTTGAAGTGAATGGTTAATTCGCACTGACTTTAGGTTCCTAAACATTTTAACACAATAATCAAAAGTCTATAATAATTCTTTGTGCTATCTTCATAAATTCCTTTAAAAATCACGCCATTTCGTACTGATAATACCCACTTCAGTATGGAACAACTAACATAAATTAAAATGAGCACTTAAATAGTACATAAATATGTCACTAACAAAACACTCCTTGTGTAGAGCGCCTTCACCGACGGGTCTTTGCTGCTCCGTATACTTTCGTTGTCACTGAATCAAAATAACTCAACTGTCCCAACCACTGAGGGCGCTCTTACAAGGGTTTTCTGATTAAGTCTAACCAATACCTTGCATGCAAACTTTATAGTGGACTTAATGTACAAAGACATCCGTTGATTGAAATCATGCGATCAAGATACAAAAGCAGTATTCTCATTTACAAATTTACAAAAAAAAATTGGGTCGAGAACAAAATGGCCGCTTCTAATATCAAAAATCTAATATCAAAACGTGTCTTTAATGTGATTTACACTTCTCGGGTAGCAGTGACGTGAGTGATGTCACGATGACATCATCACCTAGTACCGCTTAGTGGCGATCACTTTGAAGGGTTTCGGGGAGCGAGCGGCCTGGATCATCGGGTTCTGTACCAGGAGATTCTCGTCTTGATGCTCGGGCACCTTGGTGAAGGTGTACCGGTGGAAGAGCCAGGAGTAGACCAGGAAACAGATGACCTCTCCCTGGGTCTTGCCCAAGCACTGGCGGTGGCCAATGTTGAAGGGGAGATAGCTCTGGGAGTGTTGAATGGATCCGTCCTCCTTCAAGAAGCGCTCTGGAAGAAGCAAAAGAGCAGAATGAAAACATCAGTTTTAATCAAAATAAGAGGGTCACTCGGTTTAAGAACTCCCAAAATGTTACAGTAACATTATGTCAGTAGATGCACTTAAAAACAACACTGCCAATGTTGTAGTCAAACACTAATTATGATGTTGGCTGCCGGTAGTATTTGCTGGGCGGTACGGAAGGCCAACCTACTTTGTTTTGACTGCCTCAATCACTGACTGACTGACTGAGTGAGTCACTGCGTATAAATCTTGCTCTAAACTGAGCTTTTCGGGTCCAGGTTGAATAAGCCAGCCTAGTATTGTTTTGAATCCAAAGGTTCAATGCCCGAATGGTTTCATTTTCATTCTAAGCCCATACGAATGGAAGAATAACCCCACTATTACTACATAGAAACTGCTCAGAATTAATAACCAACAATGGCAAAAAAACAGAACAGCTGGAGTAGAGAAAGGTTTGCAGATCATAAGAATAATGTAACATGAAATATTCTTCTAACCTGGTTTGAACTCGAAGGGTTCCTCAAAGTTCTTCTCATCAAAATGGACGGCGTACATGTTGTACAGCACCGGTGTCCCTTTGGGAATTCTGTACCCACCTACACATAAAGACAATGTTAAAATTATTGAGAAACGTATAGGTAACTAAATTTTTGTAATTTTACATGTGAATTCCAAAAAATCCTTTTTCTTTAGTCCTTGCCATTGTTTCCTGCTTCGAGCTAGCCAGGAAATGACCACAATATCCTGCTGAATTCCTGTTATCCTGTTGTGATTAAATTATCTTTCCGACATTGTGAAATAGTCACAGGGAACTTTCTTTTATCGAGAATGTCGGCACTTTAATATACTGAGGCTTTGTTGCTTGGCGAAGCAATTATATCTTCCGCTTTGCAGCTTCATGGAAGTGCGCCCTCTCTAACGATAAACTTAATCGAATTGTAATTCATTAATATTCATAGCAATCATTAATATTCATTACTAAATGCATACTTACGGAAGTTGACGTCACGCGTTGTCGTCCTTGGTACGCCAATGGGAGCAGCGGACGCGTATCTAAGCGCCTCCATCACCAACGCCTCCACGTACCTGATCGCACTGCGGTCGCTGAGGGCGGGCATGCGGTCATGGCCGACGGCGCCCTCTACGACCTCGGAGACTTTTTCCTGCAGGTGTGGGTTTTCAGTCATGCAGGCAAGGGCCCAGTAACTGCTCTGCCCGGTACCGATACCACCTAAAGACATTGAGAAACAAATAATTATAATACTTTTAAAAGCAACCAAAGTAACAGTTGTAAGAATTGTCGAAACGTTGAGAAAACCGGCTTTCTACGTATTTGGGAACCATTACATCTCATTACTTTTTAAATGTCTTAAAAAAACACTTGAAATTTCCAAAGAGATTCTTAAATTTGGGATTTATCAATCACGTGCGCCCTATATAATAATAAAGACAGCTAAAATTGTATCACGTGAATACACTTCACTTACGTATACAGAGATTTTTATATTATATTTTAAACATTGATGTAGAGTTTGCGTGGGTTCGTATCCCACCGCTGCCACCATGTAACAATATTATGTGTTTACTGCAACAACCACGACGCATGCGCGTCACTTTATTGGTGTGCAATTCCTGTTAATAGACATACTATTACAATTGATGAAGAGTTTCTTATCTTTAAAATCTACTACAGTAAAATTGCATTGCTCTTCTCATCCATATTATGACGTCATGCATATCAATCAGTCAACGATGGCCTGCAATGAACCTACCTCCAACGAGCACATTGGCGATGGTCTGTGAGATGTGCGTATCAGAGAAGAAGTCCAAATCTGTGTCGCCGTTGTCTCGGGCCTCTTGTTGCGACTTGATCAGCTCGTCGATCATGTCCCGGATGTTGCCTGTATTGATAAAACAAAACTTAATGAAGTCCAAGTTTTCCCATTTTGGGTTTTTCTTAAACTCTCGTCAACGTGGTTTCCGCTTGACCCAACTTTCGAGCATTCTAAGCTGTCTCGCCACATCCATTCACTGCTGCAGATATTCATCAAGTTTTCTCTCTGTTATCTTCTCTAACTAAAACCTTCTAACTAAAACCTTCACAATTGAACACAAATTTAAATGTGATCAGCTATAATTATGTCCCGTCATTAAAACTTTTTCCGATTGTTTCTGGGGTTTGCAACAAATAACCCATAGGCCTACTATAAGCGGCTTTCGGTTCTCAGCCTAGTGTTTGACGATAGTACTCGCTGCAAAAAAGTTAAGTCTGCTCCGAGCTCTGCTTGTTATACAGAAATCACACAATTCCAAAATTGTGGACTGCAGCAGTATCTCATAATTATGTTCAACTTTAAGTGCGAATTGTATTTGAGTAAAGTGCGCAGGTGAAACAACATGTCACGAATCAACTAGTCAACAAACAGTCCTCAATCGAGCCTATAGGGCTGTACTTACTTGGGTCGTAGGTTTCTTTGTGACGTTGCACCTCGGCGTTGATGAGTCCGTTGAATTCGTTGCTTACAGCTTTGATGAATTTCTTCTCTTTGTTCGAGAAGTGTTTCATCCAGTGGAACGCGTCCACAGCCATGCGCTTGCCGATGACCAACGTGGCGACGTCGCCAGGAATCAAGCGCATCATCTGCTCATGGATGTCGTCGTTTCTGATTGGTTGGAAACAAAGATGTGGGCGTTACCGTAGGCATTTTCTCGATTGATGATTGGCTGATTCTAGTTTCTCGATTGATGATTGGCTGATTCTAGTTTGGCGTTACCCTTGGTATTATTCTCGTATTGAAATTGGTTACTCCTAGATTGGGCGTTACCGTTGGGATTATTGTCGTATTGTGATTGGCCGATGCCATAGTTTGGGCGTTACATTTGGCATTTTCTCGTTTGCTGATTGGTTCTGGCTACTTTTATACTGAAGTGACTTTTATACTGAAAAATATGCAGTGGCCGTAAAACTTTCGGTACTTTCTGCATTGTTTATTTAACGGTTTGTCGGCGACGGGAACAAGCGAATCCTATTTCATACTTACTCGTATCCGAACGATAGACGTGTGAGAATGCCGAGGACAGCCAGGTCAATGATGTACGTCGCGTTGATCTCCTGACCCAGGCGGGCGTCTAGGTACTCTTCCAATGCCCCCAATCGCTCGTGTACAATAGATTCTAGTCGGGTGCCACCAGTGAAACTCCTGAATAATTTAGAGGGAAAACGGTTTTGATATCAAATTGTTCTACGACAAAAATGAATTTGACATTAGGATGAATTCAAGTTCAAAGTGTGAGATTTCGATTTGTAAAACAGTTACAATGAAAGCATTTGTATCATAGCTAGTCATATTTTTCGGCAAAACATGCAAGTTAAGGTGTTTTAATTGTATTGAAAGTTTGCATTTGTTCGTTCTTGATTTTTCTCTTACTTGAGTGATTTTGAGAACAGTCTTCGGTGATGTCTCCATTCCGGGGTGTAATCGGTGAAGGAGATGTCTTTATATCCCTCTGTAAGTTTCTCGGCTGTTGACAAAAGTCAAAATTTAAGATTGATAAATGAATGTACAAACACGCTTGTTTATCATCTTTTAATGACCAAAAATTCCAGCTTTTACAAATGTATTGAAGAGATACTTCAGCAGTGATCAAGGAAAAATAATGTACTTTAGACTCTTTTAAAACCTTAATTTCTTAGTGATTTTTCATCTTTTTTCGCAGGTGCAAAAACATTTATTCTGCGAGTAGATCTGCTTTCCCTTGGCAACAATATTGTCTCAAATCCACGCAGTTAGTAAATAATTAGTCAGTAATTTTCGAAAGATTTTTTTTTGTTCATTGTCGAAACAAACGGTGGAGATTGATTTGGAAGTTACTGTGCGCAGTCATGCATTCTGATATCATCTCTGCCGTTTATTTTGACCTATGGTGGTCGTTGAGGCTAAAATTCTGACCTCTATACACATCTCAAATATTTTCAATAGGACAAAAATTGTCCTAACAACAGTGCTTTTCTATTCTGCGTTTGCTGCTGGTATAACAGAAAACCTTGACCTACTTGTACATCTGCATGCCAACTTGTTTGCATGTAATACTAATAGTACTGCACCCACTGCCGAGTGTCCACACGCAAGTGGTTAATATTTGTTGTCTATTCTAACGTTTACTATGGGGCTCGTGGCGTACTTATTTGATTAGAAGTTGAAGGGATTTCATGGTTATACCATGGATGTGGAAGTTGAAAGAACTCGTGTGAATGTGAGGGGCACACGCATGCGACTATACCCTGCTTTGGCACCCATGCTATTCCACCTGTGTAAACAAAGCAGTATGGCTCAACTTTTTCTGAGCGGGCCTTCCTCTTATAAAAGAAACAAACCGCGCAGTAACACTCAGTTGACAAAATAAATCCTCATTTTCTTCTTTAGGGCACAGAAGATAGTGAAGGCGAAGCATTGGCTCTGAGGAGTGTGTCAAAGTAGGTGGTCCCATATGAAACTCTTTGGGTTTTTTTTAATTGGTTTGTCGTATAGAGATGGATAGTGAGACATCTTGGATTGTTTTTGACAAGAGAGCACAAAGACACAAGTAGTTTATTCTCCAATAAGAATTGCAGTTCATGATTTTTTTGTTGGACTGAACATCTGAGTTCAGGATCAAGCCGAACCAGTTGCCACCGGAGGTGAAAGCCAGCAACTTCCGTTGAACTACAGCCCTGTTCCGGTTTGGCCGGAAAAACCTCCACCACAGCGGACAGAACAAACAATTGAATTGTTTTATTGGTTCAGCCAAAACAAAATTGATGGTAGAAAATGAAAGTACATGTACTCAAAAAAATCTCGCTGTACGGCTGATTGCTGTCGGCAAACCCCAACATACTTGCTTCGTCATTCCGATATAACGACGAAATTCCTAAGAACACTTTCACCTTTTCTTTTTGTATCGAAAAAGTTAAATCACTTCCGGATGGGGAAAAGATAATAACCATGATTCATTGTGACACAATCGTTACATTGTTAACCAAATTATCGAACGAGAATTGGCGAGATATCTTGAATATTTTAGCCATTGTATCCACGATCTGCCCACGTAACATATAACAAAGATCCAAAGCTTTCCCAAGGCCACCGCGTGTTATTGTCCATATTAGATAGATTTTTTTCTATGGCGTTATCCTACGCACGACGATGACTGGCTTCTATTTAGGATTAAAGACTTCGACCACAGAGGGCATTGACGCAATAGACGAATTTCAAATTTCAAACTGAAACCGCTGAAATGTTAGGTCGTTGTATGAATTGAGGACCTTTTGTTTTATTAATCCTCTCAACAAAAGAGATTTGGCCCTCGGTTTATCTGCCAATTTGAAATTCGTGTTCAGAAACATGGCAACAATTTACTTATCGGCCCAAGAAGTTATCTCAAGACTTGACGTCCTGCCGACCCCGGAAACACCTTGAATTATTCCTGCGTCTGGCTGCGTATCACGGCCAGGGAAAAACGTACCAATCAGCACAACTATGCGCGAAGCCTGACTGCCATATTCTGTAAACGCATTTTCAGTCCATCTTGCGTCCGTTTCAATAATTATGCCTATAAGAGGTCATATCTTAATATTAAGGGACAAACTGACTGCAAACGCGATTAAAGGCTTTTTTGCGACAACAGTAGTGACTACATCATAATGAACGGATAGCCCTATGTTTTTACTAGTATCTTCCTCGTCCTTCCTTGCTCCATGTTCCATCGAATTTAAATTTTGTTTCTGGTAATGTAACCTAAGGATTCTTTAAAAGTAAATAAGATTGAAGACGAAGACAAAATGTTCAGTTTTAGAAGTGGGAATGGAACAGTGGGAAAACCTGAATCTGGACTGGAAACCTAATCGACGTGGTCTGGGCGGGACTCGAACCCGGGTCACAACGGTGGTAGTCGAGGAAAGTACCACTAGTCCCAACCAGACTCTCTCCTGAAAAGAAATCTTGAAATACTCACTTGAAAAGAGCGAAGGTCTCCCCGCAAACTCCTCAGCCATATCCACAAAAGCTGCCCGGATCAACTCGGTGCTGTTCAGGACCAGGAACCAATCGTCGCCCAGCTTGAGCGAGTAGATGTCGCCGTGTTTCTTGGCTAGCTCGGTGCATGCTACGTACGGCTTATCGGTGCCCGTCAAAACTGAAGAAGAAAAAAAATGAAAAATTGGAAACAAAATGTTTAAATACAGAAGTCGCAGTGAAATTCACGAACATAAAAAAAACCTAAAAAACGAAATGCACAATCTTTTCAAATAATGTTGGAAAACACCCAGTTTTCATATAATTTCCGGAGAAAGTTTATAATCTTTTTGGTCTCAAAATATCCTAAAAATTACATAGAATTTACACGGCTGCATGAGAATACCCATCCCCCAATGTTAGTGTCATACTTACTGGGGATGTTTCCGAGCAGAGGGACCCGGTGCGGACCCCCGGGGAAGTTGGGCAATCTCCGGTGGTGTCGTCGGTGCTGGTGGGTCATTGACACCACGGCGGCCACCAGGCACACCGTGGCGAAGAACAGAGCTAGCGTGGTGCCTGTCACGGCCGCTCCTGCTGCCACGGCCCCGGCCGAGGCTGCTGCTCCTATGATAACCATGGCTGGTGAGCTGAGATGTCCTGGAAATCTGTTGGGAAGAGAAGAGACGAGATGATAACTTTCAACCAGAAGCTAATGCGTTCCGGCTTAGCAAAGAAATCTGTTAAGCACAGAAACTACTTGCTCAGCCAAATCAGGTTACCAGTCAAGATGTTACAATGTGCATACAACTTATCACTGGTACTCCGTTGATTTTTACTTGGCATTGAATGTGCTGTACTATACAAGTTGCGTCAGCTACAGGTCATGTGAAGGATCATTATCAATCTCTTAAGCTGTAGGCCTACTCCTCGCGCACACACACAAAAAAAGGAGGAAATTCAAGAGGGGGATATTACAACTCACACTCGGTTTTGCTGTTTGGAAGTGGCATTCATTTCGTACTTTTGAATTCTTGTCAAATTATCAGTTACATGCAGGCCTGCCTCAGCACGATAGTAAAAAATTCGTATTCCCCTTAAAAACAGAGTACTTCTTGGCCGAAGTAAGCACGTTTGCACGGACGGGGAAGAAAGCAACACAGCTATATGAGAATGCTTACGTTAAAGTGACTCGTCTCGTTTGGCTAAAATCGAAAGGATGGTTCGGTTTTATGGCACTTTAACAAACACAAGAATTCACCTGAACCATGGAGTGAAGACTCCCTTTGATTTTTATGGGGCATTTGGCGCCCATTAGAGAGTCTAATTGTAAAACTCCACCAAACTTTAAAAGCTTTCTCAGTATATTCAACACTTGCTTTCACTTCCACGCTCCATCTCCTTACTTTATCTCCTCTTTTGTACTATCCAAGGACGTCGAACGCATTTCCATCTATTCTACAAGCAGCAAGATCCAGGAAAACTTCTTTTTGAGTAAGCCACCGCGGGAGAACACAATTACCCAAGACCCCTTGACTATCATTAAAGTGGGGCTTTCTATATCCCTCTACGCGGAAATAGAGGCACATCAAAGGTGGATTAAACTGCCGACAGCCAAGACATTCCTTTCTCTTCTTGAATCACGTCTATGCGGAAGAAGGAAACAACTTTCCCCTTACTTTAAGACTTCAGATCAGTGCTTTAATTGAACTTATTCAACCCATTTCCAAAGGTTTACAGAACAAAATATTTTGTTACCGATGACGTCACATTGAGAAAGGGGAACTTTTGTGGGCGGGGTAAAGGGAAAGATATTTCTGTCTCAAGTTTTGACAAATTGTACTGGAACCCAAAACTCCCAAATCTTTATTTCTCATGGTATTCATCATCGTTTCGGAACAATTTGTAGATTTTCCATCGTTCTATTACTGCAAGCCTTTAATCGTAAATGCTGTATATAAATTATGTACAAAGTGCGGTGAAAACCCTATGGGCCTACAGTGACCAGGGTATGCAATATGTTTGATGCCTATCGAAACCGGATTTTGGGTCGAAACTGAAAGTCCAATATCAGCTATCGTATGGCATTTGGGAAACTTGTAAACTGCAACAAATATGGCCTAATTACTATAACTTAAAGCGACATACATACTTTTAGGACAGCACTTACACAACTATAGACACGGGTGGAATTGTTTCATGTGAAAATTTAGGCCACAAGCATTGCAGTTGAATGAAAAAAAAAATGACTGCAAGAAGCGCTGCTTGTAATCATTCATGAAATTAATGCTATTCATCTGTAAACCGTAGGAAATCCACGCACTAGAGCATTAACAACGAATTTTAAACAGTGTTGCGGGGTTGATATGACAAAATCCACACGTTTTCAACTGGCTGCGTAGCGTACATAACCACTGGGTGTTTTTTACACAGTCACAGTCATTGTTAAAAAAATAACTCCACGGTAAGGTCACACGCTAGGAGTTTCGGCAAAATTCTCTGCCAAACGGAACTGCCGTCACAAAAACAAGCATCCGTTTGCTGCACTCGACCGTAAACTATCAAAAGTAAAGTTCACACGACCCGTAACTATACAGGAAGAAAAACCCACGTGATAAAATGCCTAGATACGAGTGGTAACTGTTCAAAGTTCAATTCCACTTATAATGCTGAAATACAAATGGGTATTTCCCCCCTAGTTTCGACTTACTAGGCCAACTCTTTAAAATTTAACTCAATATCTCCTGTACATAGTTTTCCTGACAGTTGTGACAAGGCTTTTTTTAAGCCTTACAAACATATCTTATATCACATGATAAATTATTACAATCACGTGATAGGTTTCACGCATGCGTATTATATTTTTATAGAGTGAGTTATAGGTCAGGTCAGCTAGGTCAGGGCCTGCATCCGGTGATGAGGACACGGGAGAGGACAGCCAATCTTCCTTCCTGAGGAACTCTGAAAAAACACCGAAAGTACACATCCCCTTACTTGTAGTAGTACCACTAAGTACGCCGTGATGGCACTAAATCCTAAAAGATACCGACATTTCAAACATCCTAAAAGGTACCGACATTGTTGAATTTGATCAATTCCCAACTCTCAGTTTGGTTTTGAATCTCTAATTGGGCGCGTGGTATTATATCTAAGTCACATTCTCTTCTCTTAATCTGTGTTGCTGACCTCTATTGGTCTCAACTTAAATTGACTCTGCATAACTGCAACCTTTCTTTGAAGGCAAGCGGTTTGTATTTAACAAAAAAAATCATTTAAGAATTAGGAATGTCTCAGGTTTTAATGTCGAAATAGTAACAAAACAGGTGCTGAATTAACTTTGAGTAGGCCTATACAGCGCTCGATGTGGTGCCTCTGTTTGGCCATAAGCAGTCAATAAATCCACCTGTGAACATTGAACTGACAACTCCGCATTGTGTTCTAAAAGTAATGCCTTGCACTTATTTATAGTACAGTAACCCTTACGAAAATTCACGCAACCAGAACGAAAAATACACAAACAAATTTCTAAACAGAATGTGACGATAATGGTGATTGTGATTGAACAAAATGACAGTTCGCTAAATTTACTCGGCAGTCTACACTGTCTACACATTGTTCTGTACAAACAGCCTTGAAAAAGTTCTTCCGGCCGGGGTTTTCCCACATTAATTTTTCGCTGGGATGGGAGAGAACTTTTATGACATGGGCTCCACACTATATACTTATACATACCAAGGGCAAGGGACAGGAAATTGAAGGTTTACCTTTTAAGCAATAGGGTATAGGTACGGGATAAGATGAACAGCTCATTTTTTGTGGATTTGAAAATATTGGACAGGATTGTAATTCAACCGAATCAAGGTAGAAGCTCAAACAATTACGGGCACAGGGACTAGCTGTACTTTTAACTGTTGTTAGGCTCGTTTCCCAGTGTAGCACTTATACAGAGTGGTATCATTGATACGACTGCAACATTTATAGATGCATTATGTGCCCAGAATTGTTTACTTCCAATCCGTCATTCTCATATAATGATTATATGAGAATCAATCCGTCATTCTCATATAATGATTATATGAGAATGACGGATTGGAAGTCGTCCCTGAATTGACAAGCCTGCACTGCATCATAGTACAGCACAGTAGATCCGGCATATCGAAACGCCGGTCCATAAACGATTTTGAGCCTCCATTTTAAAACCACCAGGATTGAACACTACTTACCAATACAGTTGTCTTCAATAAGTTCGTGTGCAGTGTAGGTGAGGTTGTTTTGACAAGTTGCACCACTACAGTTCTTCTCAGTTGTCGGTCGAAGTTCTGAGGATTCGTGATTTTGTTTGTGTGTACCTTCTTCGTTGTTCGCTCAAGTCTGACACTGGTTCCCAGCGCAGCGTTTTTATACACTTTCCCCACGGACCAGTCCGTGCTTTCCCACAGGCGGCGATATGCACGTGGATGACGTATGACCTCAGGTGGATATAAATAGAACACTCGACCTGCGCACTAGGGTCAGGTAAGTCTCACCCCTTGTGTCACTGATTGATGGTCGAACCTCATGTAGTAGAGCGGTGCGGGAAATCTAAGTCCGGCTTCGGGGAACTTCACGTGAGCGTAGTGCCGACAAGAAACTGAGTTCTTCTAATGATGTTTAACGGAAACGGATCATCATTGCGAATGAGAACATGATATACAGGATTTGGCGTTAGGCCTACATGTCAGTTGGCAGAAATCTCAGCGGCCGGGGTGGTTAATTAACTAATATACGACGTCATGATTAGGTTGGCCAAATCCGTGTTTAGTAATGACGGTGGTAGGGAAATCACTTCTCGGTATATCGTTTCCATGAATTTACTACCGTTCCTTACTGTTTAGGCTAGTATGCAGATTATTTAATTTAAATCACACGCAAGTCCCAAACTAATTAGTCACGTCGTGAATTACTTAGCCTTATTACTTTTAATGCCTAACGTAACATATCTTTCTTTGCTATCGACTGTGCTATTTTTTGAAAACTGTGCTTATATAATCTGCTATATTTAGACTTACTCGTTCCTTTGACTCTTTCAGTCATAATGCTGTGTTTGTTTCGTTCCCAGAAGGGACACAATTAATAAGTCCATATAGCTGGCCTGGGCGCTCAATCCCCAAACGTGAATTATCATGTCTCTATCCCTGACACCGATAGACCGTGCAGGCAATAGGCCTAAAGAACGTTCCGGGGTTTCCCCCCAAAAAATTATCAATAATGAACAAAACAAAATGTGATATTTCTTTGGGTCATGGTCTCGCGACTTATATATATATAGCACCCGTTTCATGGAATTGTGAATTAAGGTCTGTCACTGACAGGCAGTCTTATAGTCAACTTCACCCGTCATGTGAACTATTCGAAGTTCAATATTTCTATTTTGACGATCGGGAAAAAACAACCGATAGTCATATTTGACTAGAAACCAGTTAAATTTGACTATATAGGGTCAGCTGGGTGCAACTTCATATCAGTCAATCTGACTAGATTATTCCTGTCAGTATTATTGACTGTAGGAAAAATATTTATGCAAATAACTAAAGTTGAAGTCAAATCCAACTACAATTGTTCTAGTCATAGTGGGAAACTTTGCATGTTTAACTAAATTCCAATAAAAAAAACAGTCAATATTTTGACTCAGTTGTTTTTAGAGTGTAATATTACCTAACTTCAATACCTCGTACATTGCCGTCGTTAATGATTCATGAACGGATTAAGCCCTGTTTTCCTTGCCCGCAACTTCTTGTCGAACCCGAACTGAATACTTAAGTGCAAAATGAATATATAATAAAAAAAGGTCACAAAGTACGTTACAGTCGAAAGTTCAAGCACATTTCGAATCCATTATGAGCGAGTTTAATACCGTGAAGACTTGATTCACTTCTATCAGTAACCACAAAACCGAGTCACAGCCTGGTAGTTTTTTTCATACGGTAAAAATCAGTAACAAAACAGACCAAATTAAGTTATCTGCATGTAGTTATAGGTATATAGAGAAACCCGATTGATTGCGACCATGAGCCTTTATCATGAAATAAACATTTGTTTCCTTTTTTCCCGTTGTCATCTGTACACCCGGACTTGAACTTTCGGTTTCCCAGTAAAGTAAATACATTGTTTTTATTCATGTGGCCTATAGTTCCTCTCTCTACAGGGATGCGGTATATACTATAAGGTTAATAAATTAAATAATGGTTTGACGATCCTGATGAATTTACCGTTAAAAAAACAATCCCAAGCAAAAACATTATTTGATTGGTTCATTGTGGAGTCACTAAATACTTCATTTTTGATCGAAGTACGGTTTTGATTTGTAACCCTTCAGTCATTCTTTTTTCACTTAATCAATCTTGCGTGTGTCTCTATCAATAGTACTTGATACTCACAATCTATCTAGGGCAATGGATACTCATTAATCTACGTAGGTCAATGTGGCCTTGTGGGTAGAATGTGTAACTCATATGATGAGGGTAGGGGTTGGAATCATGCTGCACATAGAGCCTGGACTTGGCAGACCCAGTGAGCCATAATATTGACTCGAGACAGAATTCATTAACATCACTTTCTTACTGCGACAACAATTTAACACACATGTTTGCCGGCGTAGATAACGTTTACCTGCCAAATACCAGAGTCAACAAGTATTATAGAAAGTGAAAAGAACGGTAATACCTATATGGTAATACAAATGGTCCTTCGAAGCTATCCGGCCGTGTGCAAGACGCAATCATTCATGGAAGGATGACAATCGTCACGGCTGACGTCAGAACTTTCCATTTTTTTGGGTCTGCGATAAGAGACCCAAGGTCGTTGCTTGTTATGTGTATATATTTCTGGCTATACAATTTACAAGACCACCTCGAAGACTGACCCTTGCCCTATATCTTCCAACTGTAAAATTGCGGGGGAAAGTGATAATATTCTGAACGGAAGAATAATTATCATAGTCGCATTTTGTATAATCAAATGTCTATCACTTGTGTATTAGTGTCATCACGTGTGTAGGCCTATTGATCCTCATGTACACGCATCCTTGGGAAACAAATGTCTTTCCCACAAGTATACTATGTGTGTATTAAGGCTAAATCATCGTATTTAAAGTATGAATAATATTTTTAGATTAGTTTTAAGGTAAGCCAGGTAAAGGAACTTAAAGTCCCATAGCCATTACTGGCTGTAGGGGCAGTGGGATGTTAGAGGTCCACTGTGTCTTGGTGCGGCATATCAGTGGCGGGGCCCAGTCCTCTCCTCTCGCCGTCTATCTTCCCTGAACGAATCAGGTAGGCCTACCCATTTTACTGTTGGGTCGTCATAGAGAGTTTTCCAGTTTTTGGTCCAAATGGGAATCTAACCACCAACCTTCCACTCCATAGCCCCACGCTCTAACCGCTCGGCTACGAGGCCCCTCTAGAGTAGTTTAATTTACATCAATTTTTAATCTATACAAGTAGTTTGTGATTGTTTTAAAAATTTGATGTATATTTATTTGACGTGTAATTTACTTTTTGTGTTTAGCTGTCCAAAAATATGTAATTGCCTTTTTAAGGATAAAAAAGTATTTCGAATTGAATTGAATTGAATTGAAATAAATAAATAAATAAATAAATAGAAAACTCATTCTTGAGATCGATTAACGGCTACAACTGACGCAACAACGCTCTTTATTTATCTTCCGGCTATACATATCGACATCTAGCAGTGGGTGCAATATACGCGAACTGCTACTTAGTGCATGTACAGGTGCAAATATCCAACAAGCTAGGCGGCTTCATATCATACAATATACATTATGCACCACAAATTTCTATAGTTTGATTAAATAGAGCCACACACTGAACTCCACTGCTTACTGAAAAATTATTCTCTAAACACGATTCACCAATTCATATCACGATAACAAGATTAACATTTAAAAGTGAATAATGAATTTACAAGTGAAGATCATCCACAATGTTTCAGGTAAAAAATAACCGAGAATTTATAAGAAAATAACGCAAATAATATACATTCGGTCCTTATGTACAAAACATGCATTTCGGTGAGATAATGGAAAAAGGAATTAATCGTGAACAGCTGAATACAAATAATTAGTCATAAAAATGGAATTATAAAACATAAAGCCTAATGCTAGAAGTTAACGTTTCTTTGTTTATTTCGGAAAAGGGAATGTGCCAATGGATTGATATGCATGCAAGCAGGAAACGTATACGAAAGTCACGTGGACCAGGACACATGACAAATAATGCATGTGAGAGACTTCAACTTTTCACCTACAGGATATCCATACAATGTTTCTGCTATTAAATATTTTTGCTCATATCAAATATGGTGAGTCGAAGACCGGCACATTAGGAAAGAAAATAGTTAGGAAAGAAAATAGTTAGGAAGGTGGTTAAATAAAAAGAGACTCCTCAATTCCGCACTTAGGCATAAACGTTACTGTGCATGGGCAGCACGCTATAGAGGCATAACTAGGGGGTGTCACCATTAAAGAAAACCCCAATATTTCACTACACTTCGGCGAGAAATTACGATTAGAACAACTGACTTTACAAGTTGAAGAGCATATTTCCAAAAAACGCGATATACGCCATTGTGTTCCCTTTTAGAATTCTGCTCTCTCCTGGCTGCCCAAAATCCATGTCGACGGCTGTTTTATACACAAACACATCTTAAGACTACAATAAAGCGAAAAATGAAGTTTAGAAACAGATGTTTTTGTTGAAGTTTCGTAACCGTGCAAATGAGTATGTCGCGTTTTGGAAATTGACTCTTCAATTCACTTTCTAAGTATTTTCTTCTGTACCTACACGTTTAGAATTAGCTCTCGGACTAACATCGTTATTTTAAGAGCTATTATCATTACTATTTTTTTTTTTAGCTTTCACGACTATCTACTACTGGCTATTTTCCCAACGTTTCGATTATAACACCGCTATAGTCCGCGCTATCGACCTTATTTCCTTCAGAATCCACGAAGGGCGGTACAAAACTCTTCACCTTTTCTTTAAAACGTATTTACGTAAAGTTGCTGACGTTTTCCCGATCTCAGCAAGTTTTTCTTGATAATCACGAAGCCTTTTTTTCAGACACTAGACGCCAACATCTATAACCACAATACAAAATGCACATCATAAGCATTATGCTTGGTCATATACATTTGTCATAAGCTTGTGATACATTATTACTTTCCCCACGGAGTCACGACTTTTGCACCCCAGCACATTTTAACGACCGGTACCATTAAACATAGAAGCTAACGCGGACAAAAACCCACGGTTTTTTTTTGACATCGTATAATTCTCTTTAAGTTTTATAACCACATCCTTTTGAAATCAAAGAACCGAATGACTACTGACTGTACTTGAACTTTGAAGATCCGTAAGGGCCTTTACCATCAGAAGGTCATATCCGCGCGTCACAAATGCATTTCCAGAAGGAAAATGTACTTGCGAATTGTCTGGATATTCCATTTATACTGTTCATAAAGTACTGGCAATGCAGTGATGTAATATTTCCTATATCATTGTTGATAGTTGCAGAACATTTGTTAAACAGACAGGTCAACGGACTTAATTTTATTCATAATGGCAAAGCTTGACAATTTCAAGAATGATTTATGAATGTTGCGGCACTACATAACTTCATCGATACTTATAGTACATACCTTTATTATTATTTTGTTTTGTTTAAAATATTTCCTAAGAAGTGAGCTACCATGAAAATAACGCTAACGCTTTGTTTAAGTACTCGATTATTTTACTGTCTGCACTAAATCAACAAAAATACGTTTGCACGAACGCCACGCAAAGTTGTCGAGCGATAATCACACACAAATTTACGTCCGTGAAAAGGGGCGCGGGTAAAGTTATTTGCATGAATTTGAATAAATGAATGCCAATTAGTAGCAGTCCCCAACCCACACGATCACGTTGCTCTGCGAGACATCGTCAATGTCGCACTGAACGGACTTCTTCTTGCCGTCAATCAGCACCACGTGATCGGCGGCGGGCGTGGCCAGGTGGGGACCGAACACGCCGCTGTTGACGATGTGCCGGTTGTGCTCGTTCCAGGGCCAGCTCTCGGCGCTGATTGGATGAAAGACGCCCGGGATCATCTTGACCTTGCTTGTTTCCAGGTCGACGAAGAGGACATCGGGGCGATCTCGGGAGGTCACCATGATGTCATAGGTGTGCGTGCTTGCCTTGGTGGGGAAGAAGCCGACATCACTGACTCCTAGATTAGTGCTGACCTCAAACAAGGACTTGACCTTTCCAGACAGGGTGACCTTCTGGACGTAGATCAAGCCGTGTTGGTTATCAGCACTGATGATGTACCGCCCGTCGGGTGATGTGTACGGTGTCCCCCGTATGCCCTCATTCACATGCAGCACAGTGTCGGTCAGGTAATCCAGAAACAGCTGCTTGGATGGGCGAGACTCGCGGCCGTCTGCGCAACTCACGATGACGTAACCGCCCGTTGCCAGGAAGGCCACTGAATCAGGATAACACTGGTGCTGGCTAAGGACGATGGTAGAGGACAACGTGGTGGTCTCGAGGTTGATCTTAGTGATTGCCATCTGCTGGCTGTGGACCACGTATCCGAACTTGTAATTACCCTGATTGGGGATCTGGACCTGTGGGATAAAAAGCCCTTTAACGACATCGAAATGATGCCCGATCGGGGTAGTGTGGATCGGGGTATGGGTTTCCCGTTGGCTGACGTACTTGATGACCTGGATTGATCGTTGGCCTTCCTCGGCATCCGTAGACTGCCAGCAGACAACCCATAGAGTGTCAAGGTGAGGAATGTAATGAAGAGAGACGGGAATCCGATCGGTTGGAATAACCTGCAAACAAACAAGGAAAACGATAACTTCCCATTGCATAAAAGCTACAAATTCAGTTTGTAACTACCTAAGAATACGAATATTATGTTCTGACTAACAGTGTTTGTTACTAACAAACTTTTTACGAATTGGAAACGGTGACGGGGTTTCAGAAACGGCAACAATACCTCAATGATGAGCTGAGTGCGGACATCAATAGCGATGATGCGGTTGTTCTCTGGCTGCGTCACGTACACGAACTGGTTCTTCACGTTGACCGCCTCGCCCCACGAGCAGGCGATCTCACCGGACGGGCCCGGAGGGCACAGCAGGCCGTGCGGCTTGGGCAGGACGTGCAGGGCGGGAATGTTCAGTCGGTACCCGCAGGTGTCTGGCTCGATGACTCGGACGCCGTCCGAGTGGAACAAGTAGTAGACGTGCATGGGACCCAAATCTAGAGCTGGAAATTTTCGGTAACAAAAATGACACAGCACAATAAATGGGAGGTTTGAGGTAACACCATGTGAATGATATCTCTTTGTGAGTTGTGTGGTTCTCAGAAGAACCAGTTCGTTTAACTCCACGTTTCGAACAATATGCTCATTCAACTGCACGGTTCTTCTCAAAACCACACAACTCACAAAAATAAAATTTTGAGTTTTCCCATTTTGAGATGTCAAGACCTTATTTTGCCGCCACAATCACTCCAGTAAACCTATCAGCTTCCACAATCCACATGTATGCATACCTCGCAGTCTTAGACAGGCGTGCACTGATGCGATTTTGAGCAAGTCAACGTTTTATACCTTTAGTGTTTTCTTGAATGAAGACAGATGAGACGGATTGCACGCTGCCTACGGGGTTACTGGCTCTGCACAGGTACTTGCCGGTGTCTGGGTAGTCCAGGGATTCAATACAAACGGTGGTGTTGCAATCTGTCGGGGACAAAAAGGTGTGTTCACAGCCGGTGTTAAGTTTAAAACACATTGTAGGCCTATGCATTTCAAAACCTAATGTGTTTTCATAACGGTGAATGCGTTTATTTCATAACGTGAATAACGGTGAATGCGTTTATTTCATGATGACGGTGAACGCTTTTTCTTTTGACCGTACAGTGTTACAATACACGCGTAGAGGTGTGTTTGCGAAAAAACGACTATCTGTGTTCTTTTCAAGTATCATAATTTCGAAGTGACAACCTCTCATATGACCCATACCTTTTATGGAACTGTCTTTGCTGTCAACCGGAAAGTGCACATCAGACCAATTGGATCACGACTTTTCAGTCAGGTGACCACGCTAGCTCGTTCAAACTTAGTGACGTGTATTGTTAAGATGAACACAAACCAAAGGAAGGCAGGGCTTTGTAGTCAGTTGACAACGTTAACTCGTTCAAACTTGGTCACGTGCGCTGTGAGAACTGTACACAAACCAAAAGTGGGCGGGGCTGATGGCCAAATAGGGAGGGGTCCATTTTGTTCATGCAGCTTACCTTCAAGTCTCAGTCCTGGTCGGTCGCTCAGCGTGAGTCCCTTCTTGCTCCATAGCTTCTCGGGCTCGGGCACGCCCTGTGCGTAGCACTGTACTTTGGCAGTCTTGCCCTTGGACTGGAACCTGGACTGGGGGCAGGTGTGCACCGAGGGCGGAACTGGGGGGAAAAGGTGACAAGAACACGGTGCAGTTAGGGGTAGAGAGTTGACTCACACACTTACCCTGGTACCTCCGGTTTAGACTTGCGTTCCGTAGTCACTCCTAAACACTGACCTAACGAGGTAGGGGATGGCATGTATTTGGTGCACGGGCCTCCCGCGTGAGGCCTAGGCTCCCTTTTCGTCCACGCTCAGAATTTGGGTGAAGGCAAGTAGCGTTTTATTGTTAAGAACCCAATGACACCCCAAAGTTCCCCATTCCTGCAAACTGCCCTCGAATTGAAAAATAGTGTACTCTGAATATGTGTATTAAGTTTTACCTCTAAAACACAGATGAGCCACTCTACATTCGCATTACGTCGAAAGAGCGACTGCAAAGTATCTTAATTTCATATGAAAAAAAAAATGCATGAGGTTCGCCCGTCTGCATCTGAAATCTGAAGCCTATTTGGGCCGAATAGTCGTTCCTATACATTCCACGGTTCGGCACGACTGTGGAAATTCAATCTGGAAACTGAGGTCAATATTTTTAGACAATCCAGATAGAAAATATGTACGCTTTTGCGTACGATATTTTGTTGCACTTGAATAAATTTCTCTATGAAATTACGGTGTCCGCGTGGTACCATACCTCGGACCTCCACGGTGTAAGTCTGCTTGACTGATCTGTACCCTTCCACGTAGCACGTGTAGATCCCCATGTGCATCAAGGTGAGTTTGTTGAAATACAAGGTTCCATCATCGTACGTCTGGAAAAAAAGTAAGTTCACAAAAATATTTCAAGCACAAGAAAACACAGTCTATACATTAAAATGTAGCGAAATCCTCAATCTGATGCTTATGGGTCTAAAAACCGCTTAGTAAATCCAATTGAAATACAATTTTTGGTTCGCACATTCTATCAAAATGGCCGCCATAGCTACCATTACAACCGTTGCCCTAGCAACCAACCTTCATCCCGTCCATGAGCTGGACGTCAATGAGATCCACGCCGTTGCGCTGCCAGATGACGTTCGACTTGTCTTCAACCTCGATCCTGCAGACCAGCACGACGTTGTCGCCGGCCGTGGCCACTTTGACCTGCTGGCGAAGGTCCTCTGAAATGGTGACTATCTGCACGTCTGAAATGGACAACATAATACAAGAGAATCATTTTAGGATTTGATGGGTGAAGAGTTCAATTTACAAAAGTTACAAAAGTTGCTGTCTCCTCTTATCCATACAATATTTTTAGTTCCAAGAGCTGGTACGATGATGCACTATTCAAGTTCCGCCTTCGTACAGCCTGACGGTGGAACTCTTTGGCAAGATCTTGCGAAAAGTCTGTGGAATGTTCCCAAAACAATGCTTCGCTGACTCCACTGATAATTTTGATTCTGATCTATACTACTCACCGAAGGCGTCATACATCTCATACGGGTCCAGTTTTTTGTCCCCGTTTTTGTCGTAGATGCGCAGAACGTCCAACAGCGAGCACTGCGCAGACAGTCCCTCGATATTGTCTCGCGAGATCACGGAGGAAATTTCGTCCCCGGTGAGCAGGCTGTCACGTGACGAGTCGAAGTGGTTCGTCATCAGACTGACAAGGAACTTCTTGTCCACTGCAGACGTAATGAATTACAAATTATCATTTTGAAAACATGTTTTTTTTGTACTTAAATGCAATTAATTTTCTTGTCTGCGATTGTCACACTTACGCTCAGGGAGGACGGGGTCATCACGTGGGTTGTTGAATTGCGTCCGGTAGTGGTCCAGAAGATTGGTCTTGAATTCGGCTAGGCCCTCCTCGGAGCAGACAACTTCGGTGGGGATTTCTGAGAGAATGGGAAAATCTAACTATTAACTTAAGGATTCTCTCCTTCATTTTCAAAAAACTTTGTGATTTGCAAAATATAATGCCGACATCCAATCATTATGTTCCTCTTGCTGGCCAGGCCCTGAATTCATTGTATTTAATGTATACATTGTACAGGGCAATATCTTCTAAAAAAAAGTGTTTTGAGGATCAATATGCTCCTATGAAATTTGGTGAAGCACATACGAACCTTCGAGGACAGGTTTTTCAGTGTCAACAACTGGCTCCTCTTCGACCATTTCTGTGTCGTTCTCCACAACCTCCGGTTTCTCTTCCGCAACTTCCGGTTCTTCTTCATCTACTTCCGGGTCATCCTTTTCATCGTCATCAGCATCATCGTCAGCAGCAGCAGCATCGTCCTCCTCGTCCTCGATAGTTTCATCGATGTGTTGGTCCACAATTTCGTCGTGCGTATCCGGTTTTTGGTCTCCGAACACCTCCGGGTTGCCTCCGATCAGCTCCGGTGCGGTCGTAGGCTTCTCGCAGACCGCGTCCGGAACCACTGCGATGCGGGTCCGCTTGACGCACGCGGCCCGGTGCAGCTCGCAGTGGTTGTCGTACAGCACGCCATCCGAGCCGCAAACAGGCCGCTGGTGGGGCTTGCACTCCCGGATGCACACGCAGATCGGATCGGCCAGGCTGGAGTTAAAGGTGCACTCGCTGCCTTTTGGGCACACCATGAAATTGCACGGGTTGACTGTTAGGTAAAGAGTCAAGACAAAATGACCGATTAAAGCGACCGTATGGTCCTGTGACGATACTCAACCCGTAGCGTTTGCTTTTGTATGTGGTGTCTGGGGTAAAAACATGCAGAATCAATTCGTCGCGGCGCGGCGTGAGTTACGAAAACACGATATTTTTTAAGTTAAAATGTTGCAATCTTATCCAGTCAATATGCAGTATCACCGTATAAATATGAGCAAATTGGAAAGGGAAGGATTATTTCTGAGAAGGTGTGGACATAATAATTACAAATGTGAAAACACGACAAATACACGTTGGAAATAACAACACCAAGTACACGATATAATTCAATTTCTTGCTAATTGCGGTATCGAATCAGGATACAGGAAGCAAGTCCCCATCCCAGGGCTTACTGTTGGAAACGAGGTTGAAAATAAAGTAAGCCCTGGGACGAGGTTGATTAGCGCGGCGTTTGGAACCATTGGCTCAGCAAACTGAGCTCGGCACCGTCCTTTGGCTCGACAGAGTCTGCCGTGCTATCATCGTTCCAAACGGCAGTGACACGACACTATGATTGTATAAAAACGCCGTGCCATTGCGGTGCAGAGCTCAATTCTATACAGTTTCCCACCTAAGGATTCAAAGTAGAGTGGGTACAAAGTCTGGTTTCGGGATTGTTTAAACTGACACTTCCACTACTCGAAAGGAGAGGGGCAACACCATGTTAAGTACATGTTTGACTGTCTGGTGTCGTTCTTCTCGTGTCAGTGAAGTCAGTGTATACTTGACTGGTATAAACTTAAGGTCCAATACTGTTTGTCATTTGCACTGTTTCTGCACGGAACCATTAAAAAACTTCATGTTATGGTATCTGCACCAAACTTCACAATGGCTTTAGCGAGCAGTTCTTTTGCGAAGATAGCAGTAGTGCTTCTGACTTTTTCTCTGGCAATTTTTACCGCGTATCTCTTGTGGTCGGACTCGACCAGTGTTGTCGGGGAGATCAGGGGTGTCGATCAAGCCAGCAATGGCAGAATCCAGGGGCGAGTTCGCGGGTCAGACAGTATGCCAACGATGTCACCGAGTCCAAGTGATGCAACTGGCTGCAAGAAAAGGCTACCAGGCGCCATTGTGATCGGCGTCATGAAGTGCGGCACATTCGCCTTCAAGACTTTCTTGAGCAGCCACCCAGGCATCGCCTTGCGTTTCGACAAGCAGGTGAATTTCTTCAGTTCCTCGAATCGCCACCCGGAGAACTTGGAGGCCTACAGGGACATGATGGCCTGCTCGACTCCACGCCAACTGACCATGGAGGGCTCGCCTGGATACTTTCCAGAAAGATTCGCTCCAGGACGAATCAAAGCAGCCCTGCCCGATGTCAAGTTGATACTCCTCTTACGGGATCCCGTCAATAGATCACTGTCGGAGTATGTCCACTTGATGGATTTGGAGGCGAAACGCGGTCCACGCCCAAACGTATACGTGGAGATGCCTGCAATAAAGGATGGTTTTCGGCGCGAAATAGGACCTTCTTTTGAAGAAGCCGTGTCGTACCCTAACGGGAGTCTGAAGACGTACAATCTTATCCTGGCAAAGAGTCGCTACGCGGACTTCCTCCCGAGATGGTTTAAGTTGTTCTCCCGCCAGAGAATCTTGATTCTGGACGGTGACGCCTTCGCTAAGGACCCGCTGCCGCAGCTCAAGAAAGCGGAGAAATTCCTCGGCGTCCGACCTTTCTTCACCCGTCGCCATTTCGTCTACAACCGACACAAGGGATTTTACTGTTTCAATGCAAAGGGGCTCGAAAACAAGGAGTGCTTAGGCAAGACAAAAGGACGCCCCCATCCGCCCATCGACGCAGCTCTTCTGAAGCGTTTGAACAGATACTTTGCACCGTCAGTTCAGGAGCTTCATGTATTGTTGAATCGAACTTTCAGTTGGTCTGTGAACTACCAAGATGAACATGTATTTTGAACATAGATGTCTCCATGTTTGTAAATGTTTGTGAAGATATATCAAATAAGCCAATTGCCACATTCCAATTGCCACATTCTATGCGCTATAATATGCTCACATGATATATTTAAGATTGGATTTAATATAATCCTTCATGATCTCATTTTCTTAATTCCGTATATCATCCACAGAAACATGAATGTCTCATGCAAGTCTTAGCCGAGACATTAGTAATACCTGGACAGACATGACACATTAAGGTGGCAATTGGCTTATGGACCATTCCAGAGATGCATATAGGATTGTCTGCATACAGCTTGCTCCAAGGCCGAGCCGCTCGATCCTATAGGTCGTAATTCGATGGCAATTCTGACTCATCCGTCATCATCAAATTGCGCAGCCAGCGATGCGGTAAAAAAAAATTAAAGGTACTGGCAAATACCTGCTTCTGGTAGGTGCGATTAACCACACATTGCCTGAATGAAGTACTTTCGCGATCTTCAATTTTGCTGGAGATCACAAGCTGAGGGTATACCTTTAAGCCCCCGGCACTTTCGTTTTCTGTTTGCGAACATTTTTCAACTAGCCAAGGCATGACAAGTAATATTGAATGACGAGTAATCTTAAAATGTCAAATGAAATTTGAGCATTAGGCCATCACTTTCTATTACATATTTTGATTTAGGAAGATGACTACAGGATGCATAGGAAGGTATTATACATGTACTACCGGCACCAAGTACAAAGCTGGAAACATCCAACTTAAAGCGCTGAATTAGCGCCCTTAATAGTCGATAATCGACGGTGAATTTGATTAACCGATATTACCCTTTAATGTTAGTACTGGAGCTACGTACATGATTAGCCGTTAGCTGACCTTTTTAAGTTATTAAAATGAGACATATTTAACACCCCTTTCATGTTGATGAGCTTGACACGCCCATAAAATGAAAGGCTTTTTCAAAATGGCCGGCATAACGCATAACACACAATGCATAAGGTATTGTTTCTAGATAAATTATCGATGTCATACATCCTTGCCTTTTCCCAATGTCATTTCCCAACGTTTCTTTCAGCCAAGCCTGGTTGTCATTCTGTGATAAGGAATGACACAGGTCTAGCGTGAAGGCATTTTCGAGTCGATCGGTTCTTTTCACGGCCAAACCGTCCGCCGCTCCCGCCGAAATGAAAAATGAAAGCGAGACGTCGAAAGGGCGAAGGCTTCAGTGCCGCGCTTGGTAAAGCGACCGGTGATCTGCGGGCGGGCCAGACGTGTTATTCTTCAAAATAAATGTGACAGAACATTCTGTGTGTAAGGAGAAGGCTTTCGAGTTTTGAATGAAAACAAAATTAGTCTGGACATTGCCAGCAAGGAAGCTGTGCGCAGAGTGAAGGGAATTCCTGGCCTGAATATTGCAGACTTCGTTTGGTTTATAATGTCGAAATTTTGTTGATGCTTGCAATTTTCTCAATATCGATATTAGAATGTACTCTATGGATTATTCTCGTCCTGAATGCATTCTAATTAAATTTTCGACCAATTAAGTTTTTTCCCTTGATATATCTAGTTATCAACTTTAAGATTTTCCAGTGTGAAAAGATAATGTTTTCAAGAATTAGCTTTTTTTCTAAACACATTTTCTGGTGCAGTGCTAAGATTTTTAAGTGCTAAAAAACGATGGTTTCATGTCCTCTTTGTGTGTATTTTTAACCATACATTATTTTTTCCCCGTCTTTTGATGATATATCGTATATGTTAATGTTTACTGTTTTAATTGCAAATTTTGTCTAAATGTTGTGATGTTAATTTTAATTTCAACTACCGCAATTCGGCCGTGATAGTAGATTTTTAAATAAACCAAAATGAATGAATGAACGCATTTGGATCCGTTCACGAAGCTGTTATGTCTGTGAAGGATTACTTTTTTGTTTGAATAATTATAATATTATGCATGTAAAATGTATACATTACCTCCTTTTGTACATGAACGTGCACATGAAAATCAGTCCGAAGCGGTCGCTAAAAATACTTCTTTGTTTGTTAAATATTCAGATTTTCACCACCGGTTGATAAATATAATTATGTCACCCATTCCGTAACATTAAGACAAGTTAATCGACAGAGTGTCTCGCTAAATCTCAGATTTTACGTAAAAATACATCGGTATTCCAGTCACAATCGTCAGCGACTATATCTTTATTATTCGCGACTAAATCCCCAATATCTGCGAATACATGCCTTACACAATGGCCCCTATCTATGTATCAAGCAACGGGCCTCAAAACAATTGAGGCTCGTCTGTCTTAATGCAAAACTGATGCACAAACGGTTCATTTGAAATGCGAGATGTACTCTCAAAGGAATACAGGGCATAGGAATATACAGTGATAATCAGATAGAAGAATCGTGAAATATTCCGAGTCGACAGCTACGTACAGCTGCAATTTCTCCTTGGGTGCGTCTGTTATCGATCAAAGGAGGACGAAATCGTATAACGAAGGTGTGACTTCGCTGATGTCACATTCCGCGCATTTGTTCTGAAGCAGAACTCTAGCTATACACGACTATCTCCTTGAAAAAAAAATGTCAAAGAAAGTATTGCAATTTCCGTTCGGAGCACTAGGCCTGAGCTATTCAGACTTTAAATGGATTGCAGTGGCTATTATTATAGCCTGAAGTTAACATATTCAAAATCGCTGTCCCGATAAATTCACAGCGATGTTACAAAATACATTTTCCATCTCCAGGCAAGTCATTTTTCGGCGTCTTTATAGGAGAGTGCTCTTCTCTAGTCTCTGCTGAGGGGAAACATCTCCATTCCATCCCCAAGAGAAATCAGGACAGGAACCCTCGATTTGCAGAAGCAGCGAGCCTTCCTTGACCAAACAACCGATGCTAGCGCAGATAACACGGGGGAGACATCCCTGAGGCCCGTTCGGTAGAGGTGTGATGAGAGCCACCCGGTGGACTCTCTCAATTAATGGATGTCAATATTCGGGGAAAAAATTTCAGTTTTTCTCATCGATGAGAGGGTTGTTCTTGCCCCCAAGCAAATTGAAGTTAAACACTGTGATATTTCACAGTATTTGCTTTTTTGGTGTCGCTGTAGATTGAGTTCATCTTCTGATCCGTCTTAATTGCTAGTCCAGCATGTCAATTAGGAAGATGATATCTTGTAGTAACAAGTGCGTCCTGAGGCTTTACACGGGGTTAAGTTATCCCCTCCTTTTGTAAATGTATGTCGACTCTACACCAGCTACAATGTATTTGTTAAATCTGCACTTTTAAAGTACCGACACCAATTCAGGTTCACATATATCATAAACGCAAGCATGAATGTTGCATGATTAACGTTTGACATGAAATGACATGAAACTCAAACAAAAACATCGGGTGAAATACAGCTATGGCAGTGACCTACCCACAATGCGTTGCGATGTCTCCTATTTCCTTTACAATATCTTGCCCCCCCCCCAAAAAAAAAATACCACCCATGGTTATGACAGAGCAAGGCATGATTTTTCAATGTTCTGGATTTTTAATGGCACCACATTTCATTTAATTACATCACACCAAATCAGAAAAGAAATGCCTACCTTGATCGTCCTTGTAATCGTCATCACCATGGTGATGCCTCTGTATTCAGACAAAAGGAGAACAACAAATGACACCCATTAACATGTCATTTCTCACTTTACATTAATATTTCAAATCCTCGTTGGTGATGGCTTTCGACAAAGCACCTGTAGCTGTAGACGAATACTGAACGTTCAGGCGAGATTTTAAATGCACTATAATAGTATATAGGCTACATTACCAGAGCAAACCAAAACCATACCAATATGACCAAACCAAACCGAATCAAACCGAACATGACCAAACCAGACCAAGCCAAAACAAACCCAACCAAACTAAGCCAAACCAAAACAAACCAAACCAAACCGATCAAAAGTTACCAAATCAAATCAAACGATAGTTATACCAAAGCAAACCAATCTAAACCAAACCAAACCAAACCAAACCAAACGGTTTACCAAAATTATTACCAAGCCAAACAAAACCAACATTATACCTAAACCAAACCAAACCAAAGCAAATAAAACCGAGCTAAGGTTATTACCAAGCCAAAATTATACCAAAGACATTACCAAACAAAACAAAAGTAAGTAATTAAAGTGAGTAAATGAAGTTTTATGGTATAGCAAATACCTTATGGCCCTTTGGTCTTGCATCCACCATACACATTGCCGCGAAGAGAACGGCCAAAGAGATTGCAACAGCCCGCATGATGATGTCCTGTTGATAGTCAGATCTCCCAAAAACCTGTAAAAAATATATTAATAATAATGTTTACTGCAATTAATAAAACGTTGACTTAGGTTTTGACGACTTCAATCTCTACATGCATTTCTAAAACAATATAGCCCTGCAATACTTACGGGGTTCTATAGGTTATTAGAAATTGAGCAATATTCTCCAGTTTATAATAGGGACTGACTAACATTATATAGTTTTTAGACTGATTGTCAGTCGCTTCCAGTCGTCCCTATAATATATTAGCCAAAAGCAAATTTTATTGTGCCTAAGCAAAATAGAATGTCTTAATCTTGAAACTATTGTAAATGTACGCAGGCAGAATGGGTTTCCCTGTGAAATTCACACTGCAGAAGGGCTGCATCATTAATTGGGGGGGGGGGGGGAACGGTTTTCGGATATTAGGGTGGCGCATAAAGAAGCAGGGGCACGTCCGTACATACAGCGCACAGGGCAGTATCTTTGACGACACCTGTCTCGAAATTGTAGGTACCTGGATAAATCCACGGAGCACAGGAACCTAGTCAAATCGAAGCCGTTGCCAGCCCTGCAGCCAAGACAGTATCGCAGTATTCAATGAGCTGGGTGGCGCGAAAATCACCTGGCACTCCCTCGTCATCTTTAGTCAAACACTTGTTCAGAAGGTGGGAAATCATGGTAGTAGATGCGTGCGTTCTCGTCCAAATATGACACTTCACATGACATCGCATTTCGCTCTCATATAGCAAAATTTAATATCCTTGCAATTTTGCGAATATGGCGACAAATCCGTGCATTTCACATAATAATTGGGATGTGTTACGTAGCGGAACATGGCGTTCCCGTTATTGTTTGCACAAAATCATGCTTTTCATCTCACTTAATTGTAATCACATGAAGACAGCTGCCAAAAAAACCAACAATTCTTATTGGAGATTTGAAAATTGGAAACGGTCATGGGTACGCGGGTGCGCTGAAGAAGAAATCGTTCTTGAAATCATTCTTGCTTAATTGGGTTGAATGCATTACGTTGGGACGAGTTAAATAATGAATCAGACAAACGATCTCATAATGTATTGACAAGACAAGAATTTCCATCACTAATATATGGAGAAATTTAAATGTCTTCTTTTCGAAAATTCCCCATGAAAAAAGGACGTTGCCGACATAAATTAAATATCACGCAACAATGTATTGATTCCATATTCTCGCAATCATCATTGGACTTAAAAGGAGAAAACAGGCGTTTTGCACGTTTTATAGAATGACATAATTTTATCTTTCACTTTTGTATTTTTTCGACATATTTCACCATATTAGGTACATGTGTACGTTTGCAAAAAACAACAACAGCTTGACCCGTGTCGTTCACACTGAGAGAATCCGAAAACGTGCCATCAAAATTTGTGGGGAAAAAATCAGTTTAATTCAAAAGGATAAATTCTACAGAGGGCAAGTATACTTCGTAAGCCACATCAATACGCCGTGCTTCATAAACACTAGCCTCTGGTTGTTTATAATAAAACTGTGTGATAATATCAAGCAACGAGACCTCGTAAAACGGACTGGATATTTCAGACTACAGCCTGTTATTGCGATCTCGTATTATTGCTACTGTATAGGTTAAGGCACTTTACAATAAGCTTTATGCACACAATATGAACACTAAAATGTCAAATCCGGCTTCCTAAATGTCACTGGTCATCTGTCAAAATATTTGTCACTTAGCTCGTCAGCACGGGTCATTGTTTGTGTTTTTTGATAAACGAAGCCCAAATGCTGTCGGGCACGATGACTTTATTGCCACTTCAATATTCCCTGAAAACAGACATCTATGATTCACTGCACGAAACTCCTTTAACTCATACCTGTACAGCAAGGTGAATTCGCAACGAAACATACCATTATGATAATGATGAAGATGTCAGTATATAGACAATCACCTGTAGACTGTGCATATATTCTTGCTAGACATTAACCCTATACCTAACGGTTGTCTGTGTTTCAAAATGGAGATCGCTTTCACGAGCGAAGATTCCTGCAGGTACATCGATTCCCGTGTGTACGGAGCCGCAATAATCAATTTGTTATCATCGAGCGTAATGTTGTCTCTTTTAGAATGTAAATTTGTATTTTGTAGTATGCAGTGGGTGTCCACGTCTATTAGCACACTAAGTGCATCAGGCGACGGAGGGCGTAATTTATTCAGTGAGTTTAAAGTCTTAGCAATTTTGGTTTAGGCCTATAATTGTAGTATTTTGTACATAAAGTGACTACAATTCGTGATAGTAAATCATCAGATTTATCGCAGACTTAATTGCTGAGCCAAGATTTGCCACAATCAGAGTTGCAATCGAGTGAATCATAAGTCTGTACCAACTTTGTCGTCAACATACCAACATCATCGATATTTAGAGCACTCAACAAATGCGGTTCAGTATATAACAAAATTCATGAAAATATCTAAACTCACCAGTCTCTGTCGGTTCAAATGTTAACAAACGAAATCAATATCTCATGAAATATCGTCTTTTCTCATTAAACATTGGAAAGTATGTGAATATGGTTGTAGAGGAATGCCAGTCCGTGATATTTATAATATCCGAGTCCAAGTCAGGCTTCGGGGCTACAAGCCACACGTAGTGATGATTGTATACTGAGTCACGGTCCAGACAATACAGCAAGCCAGCAGGCGCGTATGTAAACACATGTTTAATTTAACCTTTTCGAGCCGCGGAATGAACATAAATTACATCAGTTTTCCTATACCACTGTCTCCAATTAAAATCCCTTAGGCCTCACATTCGAGTTTTGAAAGAGTCGGTTTAGATGGAAATATGAAAATTATACCATTCCAATTCCCTTGTAAGCAGAAATATTTGCGAGAACATAAATCTCACTTCCATTCTGATTCATGCTTTGTCATAAAGAAATCTAATGGGATGGCGAATTTTACCAAAAGATTGACACGTCATCAATGACATGTTTTTTAAACCTCGATTTCGTCTCCATTTCGACTACAGGATGCTTTTAATATTAACTTATTCTTACAGCAAGACTAAACAGTAACAAGACGAACGAGTAACATTCGTATAGTTGTATACATCACTGTACTACCGTGTTTGCACTAAATCACCTAGCTTACCTTTCTTCTCAAAATTTTCTGTCAAAACATTTCACCAAATGAGAACATTAATAATTTTTAAGATCTAAATCAGGTCTTTAAGATCCAAATATATAAAGAACTAATGTTGAATATCACCAAACTGCAGCGTAGTTTGATAGTTTTACATAAATCTAGATTGAGATTAGTTTTTACATATTAATTTTGTATTCTGTTGCAAACTGATACCTAAAAGAATCGTCCAAAATGGAAATGCACCTACGTATGGGTTTCGTTTCTTTTTATTTCTTCTGCTCCATTTCTTTTTTATTTTCAATTTTATTTTCTGTAGCAAACTGATACCTAATTGTATCGACCGTCGCAGCAGCCCTTTCCCGGCCCCAGCACTGAGCTGTCTATGCATCCGTGTTGTGTCAGCTATAGACGCCCGAAGCAAAGCCAGCATGTTAATGTCCCATCATATGCGAGCAAGCAAGCATGCATTATGTCCTATCCCTAATTCCTTGCTCGCGACACACGAGTCGTTGTTTCAGCCTCTTTACTAACAGTCAATTAAAAAACGCCATATCGCGCTCACAAGCCCTATATTGATCCAGCGAACGTTGTGGCATTTTCCCTTAATAACGACTCATTTGCATTTTTAATCAGCAATTTCCATTTTGTGTTTAACAGACTTCGGATTTTGCTTTCCAAGAATATGATGTCGAAGAGCGAAGTGTTTGTGTTTTGCGGAGGGGCACGATAATTTATGTAAACAGCTCCGGTTTATGAATACAAATTGCAAAATAAATCTTCTCCTTGGGCAGTCTGGGTGTTACATAATGCATCAATGTCTAATACCAGCTTAATTGATTCTTTAGTTCTGCATGGTCGACTTTTTTTTCTTGTGATGATTGTTTGGTTTTAAAGAAATAAATTCCTGATCACTTTCTAATCATATATTCAATCAGATCTTTCGTTGTAAATTAGAGGTTTACTTTGTTATTTATGTTACGATTAAAAGTAATTTTGACATGAGTGATCATGGTTATTTTTTTTATTGTAAACTACGTCCATTCTCATTTGTTAAAAAATGTTACCGATTTTATTAAAGAATATACAAAGGAGCAATATGATTTTATGGTAAACAAATATAATAAAACTTTCAGCAAATAAATTTACAGAATATGCTGACCGGGACATTACATGTTTGTCATTTAAGCAAAATGTAACCGTCAGGCAACCTCCGGATAAATGAACATTTATCAAATCAATTTATCTCAGAAAATATCAATAACGAGGTTGTTTATGCCACAACTAAAAAAATGGCGTTATTTTGGGCCGCTGGAAAGACGGGAAATGAAAAATACCCCAAACCAAACCCGAGAACTGCATAGTGAATTAGAAACACGAAAACATATGTCGGCACAGGGTTGGTACCCCAAACGAGATATCTCAGAAACTACCTCGAGCGGACCCTTCCCCCTGCATTCGGCCTCAAGACAAACTGCAAGCATAGCCTTCTTCGGGTGTGTTTGCGAGTGCGCGGTTTTTATTCATGCAATTCGATCGCACGGCAAAAATCCAATATGGATTCGATTCACCGTGTGCCTATCAGCTGAATATAATTTTGGAGGCAATATACAGCGTGTGATAATTGGCATATATTGACCTGTGTGATATAGTAATAAATATTATTTACGGATAGTTGATGACTTGATAGTTTTGTATATTAACATTAATTTGTTTCCGAAAGGAATATTGACGAAATCACGAAATTTAAATATCAACTACTAAAGCTGTTTAACAGGCTCCGAATATTTAATGTGCACGCTGAATTTAGTGCCCTCACCCTGATAAATACGAAGACATCTTTCATTTCAAATGAAGACTTCACTTTCCTTTCGACAGCCGAGGGACTTCGGTCTCCGATGTCATGATGGCTTCTGTAAATATTTGATCTCAAAGCGATCTCAATTTTGCCAGCTTATAGCAAAGAATATTGAACCGACCAATATTATCTTAAAGGCTACAACACGGTGTGCGAGGTTTTTTTTTTTTTTTTTTTTGTATTGTACAAAAATCCGCTTGTGTTATGCCATGAATGATTATTGTGATTACAAAAACCATCCCGGTTTTACAGGACCAATACATTTCAGTTTACCTCAGGAAACTAAAGCTGATCGTCGCGTATAGCTCTACAGCTCGAGCAGGTTTGTAAATCTTGGAAGCTTAAACCTTAATGGACAGCATTGGCACGGCTCTAGTTTTAACTTCTGAGCTTTGACAATTTGACATACATGTACAAGCATGCTCCAAAGCAGACGAGAGTACGTTATAAGCTTCAAACCATGTAGCCAGCTAGAGCCAGATGCTACGGTTCGACAAATCAAATGGAGACAGGCACTTTGTCTAATGGTCACGCACGGAAGAAAGTCGTGCTCATTCTATTCCCGTGCTGAATTCGTGCTGTCTCTTCTTTAATGTTATTTGCATGTTTCAAATTCACAATGTTTTCTTTAAGAGAGAATTCATCGTTCACATGTTCTTGTTGGTTTGGTTTCACATGATTACGATCATTATAATGTCCCGTTGCCGTGTAATGATAACGCGACGATTGATTTCCTATGTGGCTAATGTTTCCAGTATACAATGGCTCCTTTGAAGTTGCCGCATTACGTGTTTTAGTGCATATAGACGGAGACATCCATAACATGTTGTTTGCAGAATGATGAATGCTAAGGGAGTAATTTTTCATCGGGGTTTCATTGGTCGGAGTAGCCAGCGCAAAAGGAAGTGATATAGATCGGGAGATTGGCTGATTTATAGAACTGTCAAAACAACGTCTGGGCTCAGGGTTTTGTAGCCTAGCTGTACTTAAAAATCTGTGATATCGATTTTGAAGATTATACCTTTTTCGTAATATCTTTGTATTTGAGCCCCTTTCATTCACACAGGTTGCATAATCTACTACATTAAGCCCCCCCCCCCCCCCAAAAAAGTTAATGAGTTTCTTTCGGGAATCTGATAGCATGTTTTTCCCCACCTCATATTGCAAAAGAGAATTAGGTGATGATGAACTGAATGCAGCTCATGACTGTATACCACACCCCACCACATAGGCGAGCTGGGTGCGTAATTTTTATTCCTAGGAGGGTTAGGGGCAATGTCATGAATAATTCATGTTTATCCATGAGAACGGACAATGACATCAACAGCATTGTTGTTAGTTACTCAACTAGTTACAATACATTAAAGCATTTTAAAGAACGGTTGTCGTCGAGCTACCACACAGTAGCCTAGTGGATAGCGAGATGAGCTATGGATACAAAGATCCATGGTTCGAATCCACGTCGTCGCTGCTCATTTTCATCAGCTATTTTTCTTCTCCAAATTTAGCTATTTTTCTTCTCCACTGAGATAATTTTAAATTAAGGGGAAAATAGAACGAGAACCCAAGTCTTGCAATGATTCAAAGGAAAAACTGAATTATTCATGACATTGCCCCTAACCCTCCTAGGAAAAAAAAATACGCGAGATGGGTGCATACCTATGTTCCCCAACCCTAACCCTTACCCTAATTCTAAGGATTTCGGGGAACATCGGCGGTATTGGGGAACATAGGTATTGGGGAACATCAGGTAGACCCCGGTGAGCTATATCAAACCAATAAACATTCGTCTTCGAGGAGTTTCTCAGTAAGCAACCTCCGCTTTATAGGATACATCACACGTCACGTGACTTTTAAGTGGAGCCCAACCTGTAACATTATCGGTGAATACAAGGATGCTACATCTTTTAAATCTAACTGTTGGATGGAAAGGGTCCATTATTCACTTAGCTATACTGGAACATTAACCCACGGAGCTCTCATTGTGATCAAACTCGCGCTCGGGCTATGACAAATCATCACTTATATATGCCCAAGTGAGCTGATATCTTTATAAAAGCAGGAACACTTAATTGAAGACTCGCTTGTTAAAGGAACAATCCCTTATTGGACACAAAATGTATAGGCTACAAAAACAGATCAGCTGTGTATTGAAAGGGATGATGTATTGCAGAAGAAAAAAAACTGTAGGCTAGATATGTTGGGAAAAGCATCGGTAATCGTTTGGGTTTTCGCCCAAAATTTGAAAACTGAAATATGTAATTTCATCGATCTCTAAATCTTATTGTACTTATCACTGCAATAAGTGAAATATCAAATTAGGCCGCGCCTTCGTATAGGCCTTTAACATTTCAATACAGATGAAACAATATAAATTAATTCACATGTACATATTTGGCGTTTTTCTATGATTTGGACGCAAATTTGGCAATATCTTCGGAAATTGAGATATTGCAAATGAACCTCAAACCAAGTTGTCATTAAAAATTAAATCAGTTAAATATAAATCGAGTTTCTGACATTATGACTTCATCGAAATTTGATGTATTATAATTTGGTTAGAAAATGCATTATTCTAATTAGCATCATCATCGGCAGCCGTACAGTGACAGCATCCACACAATCATACACTCACGAAGTGAATCGACTGAAGATAACGTGTGAAATGCAATTCACTCTTCGCGAGTGGGCCCGCGCCCTAATCACATCACGCACAGGGACGTATCGGACGAGACTCCGCGCCGTATACTCCTAGGCATGACATTATCATGAAAAGATGCTCATTTCATAAACGAACAGGATTGTACATTAGCGTCTGCGATGGGTAGTAGGCCTATACTGTGCGTACTCACCAATGATGTCAACGCAGACACTGGGCGGAAAGGATGACTGAATCCCGGTGGGTTTTCACCACGGAGTCACAGATGAAGGTGGTTGTTTCTGACGATGTTGTTGGTCCTGAAGATGGTTAGCGAGTCTTCAAGATGGCGGAAAACCGGGGGAGATTTCTTCCAGACTATGAGAAGCCGGCTAGGGCGTGTTATTTGCTCACTCCCAGGCCGCTCTTTTCATCAATCGCTGCATCCAGTTCGGCTCCTGTCTAGATGATGCAGTCTGAGCTGTGCGGGTACGGGTTGGGAGGGGAGATGCTAATTTTCTGCGTTGTGAGGTGATTACTGTTTCATGTCGTAAACGCTCACATTTTGGCTCCCTCTGGCAAAATTTGAGCCATCACTGGAAAACAGTTGTGAAATGAACCATCTATTCAAATTGCTCCAATTTGTAGTTACGTTACAGCAATGGCGGCCACAAAGGGGCAGTTTTTTAACATGTTTGACTGGTGGCGGAAACTTTAGAAACATACAATAGTCGTCAGACGCGGTGAACGTTACTGAAACATGAGAATGGTTTATGGTAGCCTCGGCTCGAGACGGCATGATGCCGACGGTGAATCACCTCGATAATGATGTTTGGTGATGTCAGGTATCCTGCCCGCCAGTCATTGATATTCAAAACATTTTCTTGGCCGTCTATTGTTGTAAAAACACCGAAATAGAGGGTGGCACATTTTTGGATTAATTCAAAATATGACGTTTTCCTTTAACCGCATCGAATAAGAGCATTTTCAATTATGCGTAATACGATCAAAGGTTTTTATTTTGCGAGGTCTAAATTCTATGTGACCCCAATCGAGCCCTGCAGAATCGTGACGTCATGAATAAGAATCCATGCACATGTAAAAACACAGGGCGCTATCTATCGCATGTGGTTGTGAGTTTTGGACAAGTTGATTCGTCCGCTACAGAAGTGTTTTATGTATGTGGGTACACCATGTCGAGAGGAAAACCGACATTTGATGTTTACGTGACCAATCTGCCAGATGACATTGACGATGTAAGAAAAACCAGAGTTTTTAACAAGCACCGCTCAAATTTTGACAGGCACGAAAATGTATTGGAAATAGTCTGGCTCCTTAATTGATGCGCGCTGTTAGCTCGTGTGATGAGGTTGGATACCTGTATGCTTGACATGTGGCTTGGCGGCAGGGTTGTTTATTGCACGTGTTTATTGGCATAGGGGGGGGGGAATGCATGGGTGAATGTGAATTAAATGTAGGTTGGGAAATCTTGAACATGAATTTTGATGTTTTTTGTATTAGTACGTAAACATCACACCTACACTACAGCCCCAGACAATGCCAGAAAGACAAAATGCCGTGATTTTTTTCTTCAACTTCAACTAGTTCAAGTTCAAGACTTCAACTTAAGTGAATTTCAAGTTCAAACTGATAAAATGTCACCTCACCTTGTGTCATATTTTTAATTGAACACAAATCCATTAGTCTTGGGTGGACTTAGCCCCGTAAATGTGGCCAGTTTACTGGACTACCTCCGTAAATAAAGGCCACACTTGCACTTCCACCATTTGTACAAAAACATGTTGAACATTTGGGCTTAGTATGTATTTCTTTTTTTGCCTTAGAACCATACTCACCCTCTTTATACTTATAGGCTAATCAGAAAGTGCTGCCTTTTTTATATGTCTAATTTTCGTGAAATTTCATGTTGAAATTTTGATACGCAAACGTGTGCAAACGAATCTGGAAATTTCACGATAAAATAGACATCAGTGATGTCCGTATACGGAAATCTTTCCGTTATTTTTTATTTGCAGCTAGACACTTTTTATTTCCACCTTTTAAATATTTCCCATCCTTTGCCTTTCAAACTGAAGGAATTTTTGAAGCAAGAGTTTTCTCGAGGCGGAAGTGTGCAGTCAGTGACAATAAAAGACGGAAAGAACAATGCTGCCAAATTTGGGTAAGAAAAGTTATACAAAAAGGAAATGCATGGCTGGAGCAGAAGTCTTATGCACGTTATGTGGCCTTTCAGTTTTTGAAAGGACCAACTCTGCCCCTTAAACGTACACGTCTTTGATCGTAGGAAGTTAAACAGATAAGTGATTGCAGGAAAGTACCTTGCCTGAGGACACAAACCCATCTGCCCATGTGATCTCCCTTTAAAAATATTGCCTTCAGTCCCTTACCACAGTGTGTGATTCTGACTGTGCTTGGGTGAGCAAAAATTGTCAAAATTGAATGGGATTTGAACTGTGTCTTGCATGGCCATAATGTGTTTGTCTGTCACCCAGGCGTCATTCATTTGATTGTTTGTTTGTTGTTTCTGTGTAGATTTGTGCGTTATTTGAAAGAGGAGGCACAGGATTCAGCAGTCACTCAGTTGAACGGGAAATACATCAAAGGAAATGTGGTGGTCGTCCAGAAGGCAAACTACAAGAAAAAGTAACGTTTCTCTTGCTTTGTGGGACTAGGTTTATAAGATGGTGACGTTGAAAAAAAAAGAAGCAATTACAAGAAAACCTTTCAAGTTTGCTTATAAATATGATCTTGTTTGTGTATGGACTGATCAAATTTGTTTTGCATTTCTTTTTTGTTCCAGGGGAAATACAGACACCAATGCACAGAATGGAGAGAACAGACGACAGCCGAGAGGTAACCTCAGTCTTCTGTAGTTGTCTGCTTTGATGTGGTCCATGGCAGTTTATGCACCTCCTGAAAGGGTGGGGGAGTTGAATGTTTGCCAGGGGTGCAGTTTGTTCCCCCCCCCCCCCACCCACCCACCCCCTCGACCACCCATGGGTGGACAAAACCCATTGACCAAATCACAACAGACACCAGTTGTTATGTTATACCGTGGTAGATTTTCCAACTGTACTAAATCTGTAAGATGTAATCAATAAGATAATGAAAAAGGTCACTTGTGAAAGGAGACTTTACCATTACAAATTGAAATACTCTGCTTTGGTGTAGTAATTCTGTCGTTTGATCTACCACTTGTGTGAATTTTAGGTAACTATCAAGCTAATGGTGTCAGGCAGCAAGAACCAGTGGATACATCTCCAGAGTACATAGAGGTTTGCAATAATTTTGTTTAAAGATATTTGCATTATTTTCAGCTTGGCAAGCTGCACGATCAGTATTTTTTTATTGTAGACATCTTTAAAGCTGTAAAAATCTTTGCAGACTATTATAATATCCTTTTATTCAGACATGCAGCAATTTGTTTTCCATCTCTTTCCTTACATCTTGTGGGTATCTTTGAATGCTGAAAGAATGGCAAAAAAAGTTAAGCCCAGGGAGGTTTTGGAAGATTTTGAAGTCAAGATCTCTGTTTTTTAACCATTAATCCTAACTCCGTAAGATGATTTACTAGGAACCTTCCTCATCCTTGCAAATTCCAACACCCTGTGCTATTAAATTGTGCACTAAACAGCTGGATTCCACCAAACCCTTGTGTTGGCGTTTGGCTGGTTGGAGATCGTGGGTTTACTTTTGCATGCAGTCTGTAACTGTACACGGGGCATTTTCACTTGAAAAAGCTCCTTGAGTGCACAGAACTTATGCTGATTTTTCTTGTAATGTTCTTGCAGCAAGCCATCCTGATAACATACGTGATAGACGCATGCACTGTTTTTGGCCAGCTAGCCCACCAGGACATGGCAGAAGTCAGTGCCAAGCTAATGATGGAGATCAACCAGTACTGTCCCGTGGCGCAGCAGATAGGCCCAGAGCAGCCAGATCTTAACAAGGTGGGTGGAAACTTAACGGGTGGGAATCCATATTTGAACTGGTAAATGTTTAGAGGAATCCTTTAAATACCATGGAAATATTTTAAGAACACTTCCTTGATTAGGTCTGCTGCCTGCTCCTTTTGAAAAAAACTGCGGTTCGGACATGAATTTTTTGAATAGTTTCCCCTAATTGATTGGTCTTGACAGGTGTATGGGGCTCTCTTCTCAGAGGATGGGATGTGGTATCGGTGCAAAGTCTCGCCGAATCTGGATGGGTCCGGTCAACAGGGCTCCAAGGTATGGCAATATGAAATAGATTTTAATCTAATATCAATGTGCCATCAGTGAAACTGTAGTGATGTAATTCCCTTATAAACTTTAAAATATCAAATTTGACAATCGAAAATATGCCTGTACCGTTTCCATTGCAGGTGCGTGTTCACTATCTTGACTATGGCAATGACGAGGTCGTTGATAGCAGCTCATTGGTAGAGCTGCCCATGTCGCTTGCCTCGCTACCCCCTCAAGCCCACATGCTAGTCTTCCGAGGGATCAAGCCCACAGCTCAGACTACAGAGGACAACAGAAAGGTACAAACTATCTTAGACAAGTAAACTTCACATTATTATCTCTTAAAGTCCTTCACTCGAACTATTCTCAACCCTCTACTTCTCTGCTCAGAGCCTTACTGATGTCCTTTTAATCCCTTCATACTCTTCCTAATCCCTTTTTATATTCCCCTCCCAGGCTGTAGAGTTTCTGCAAGCCGCCACCGACGGCAAGTCCGTCATGGCCCGCCTCTACCGCCCTCTACAGACCACCTCCAGCAGCACACCAGTTGAGATTTACGACGGCCCCAGCGGGCTGAACGACGTCTTGATCCAGAAGGGATTTGTTGTCAGGGTCCTGCCCCCCTCCCCGAAGCCACTCCTGGGCAACAGCCCTGTCACCGCTAACGCATCTTCTCCAAATACTTCCAGGGGGAGTCCCACCCCTGGAAATTCATCAGCCAAAAATGCAGGGAGGGGCTTGTTGGAGATGCCCCCTATGCAGCCCGACAAAAGGTTTGTTTAAGTCTGATTTTATTGGGGGGGGGGGGTTGAATATAAGTTTTAGCAAAGATATTGAATATAGCAACATTTTAACCTGCAACCCGGGAATCTATACATTTGTCCCACCAGGCATTGGTCTCAAAATTGCCATGTTTCAACTCGACAGCCTTCAAATATGCTGCAAGTTACTCACTTGGCCTCCCATTGTTTTGTTTAGTACCACACAAACACATGTACATTTGGAAGCCTTCTAACTAAACTCATTGAAAAAACTTAATCATGCGCACAAAAGACACATTAAAACGAATAGGACTGCCAACAAATGAACGTCCAAATCCCGTGTGCAAAAAGAGTACAGTTTTGAAGACCATTGTCAACTCTTTTACCAAAAAATGGCCAGTCCAAAATATTTCCTGTCCTAATGATCACACTCTGCACTGTGAGTCATTCTGTCCAACCCTTTCAGGAGCCCTAACACGGCTAAATCCCCGAGCTACCAGAAGACTGGATCCGCAGGGGCGACCACAGACAGACAAGGTGAAGTACAGTCGTTGAAGAAGGAGATCACTCACCTCAAGACAGACAAGGCCGAGCTGGTCAAGAAATGCCACGAAAGTGTGCGCGAGATCACCAAGCTAGAGGGGGAGAAAAAGGAGCTGCAGACCGAGTACCAGTCAGTCAAGGTACACCAGCCAAATCTTATTTTTATACCCTGGAACTAAATTGTGAAATTTCATTGGTTGAGAGCTAGTCATGTGACGTATTCAAAAAGAAATATAGAGTGCCATGGTCCAGTAGTTATGATGTCAGACTCGTGCGTGGTGGTGTGTGAGTTTGAACCCCAATGGGTTTGTCGTGCTTGTGTTCTCGGGGAAGACACTTTACCACAATTGCCTCTCTTCATCCAGGAGTGAAAATGGGTACCTGTGAGGGTAGAGACTGCACAAGACCATTGTTCATACACAACAAAGCGAGGGGGTTCAAATATAAACTATGTGACGCAGACCAAAAATTTAGATGAGGAAATGAAATTTGATTGGAATGTATCCTCTTCTCTTCTTTCTAACATCGACAGGAGGCAGCCACAAACACACTTTCATGCCTGAAGAAATTTGAAGACAAATACGAGACCGCAATGCAGACTAAAGCTGCGAGCTTGCTGGAAACACTTGCGGCCCTGAAGCAAATAAGGTAAATGAGAAGTCTACACTGCCTCACAAGTGCATCACTAGTACTTCACAAGTCTTATCGCAACTCAGTTCACAATTCCAGTCGCTAGTAGCAGAGGATGAACTATAACATAGAAATGCCTTTGCCACAGTAAATGTATATACCTCGTTACTTTTGGGGCTGGTGATGACTTGTAATGACTTGTAATGACTTGTGATGACTTGTGATGACTTGTGATGGACTTGTGATGACTTGTGATGGACTTGTGATGACTCGTGATGACTTATGATGGACTTGTGATTGACTTGTGTTGGACTTGTGATGACTTGTGATGAACTTGTGATGACTTGTGATGACTTATGATAGGACTTGTGATAGGACTTGTGGTAGGACTTGTGATGGACTTGTGATGACTTGTGATGGACTTGTGATGGACTTGTGATGACTTGTGATGACTTGTGATGACTTGTGATGAACTTGTGATGACTTGTGATGACTTGTGATGGACTTGTGATCCACCTAGCCTATAACACTTGTCAAAATGTGCACAAGACCTCATCTATAAAGCTCACAAGGGCTCAGTGTAAAACAAAATAGCTACGTATTTCTTTCAGGAAACAAGTTGTGATTGACCCCGACATGCCGGACCCAGTAGAGAACGCCATCACGCTGTTGACCAACTCCACCGACACATTTGTGAGTCTGACAGACGGAATCAATGAGGAAGCGGTGCAAGCAGCTCAGAGTGAGCTCAGTAAACACCAAGCCAAATTCTACCTACCAGAAGCAAAGGTAACCTTTTTTATATTTCGCAAATTATTTTTCATGGTTTTTCTGGATGTTTATCCTTGTCCAGTAACCGAGCATAGTTGTAAATAGTCAGCGGTCCTGAGTACTGTATCTTGTGCTGAAAAGTTGTCCAGTTTTGCCAACTTTTTTTTTAAAATTCTGTGTGGACAATGGGCAATTTATCTCTTCCCTCTTCTTGTTTATAAAATGCTCAGGATCAGTTAGATGAGCTGATATCGTCCCGAGACCAAGCCCGACAGAGGACGTATGAGGCCATATCAACGTTCCTGGATGTGGTTAACAATCTGCCAATGGCAGAAAGGAGAGCCAAGATCGAGGTAAAGATGCTAGACTTCTGTCTTGCTTCCGAAACTTCCACAGTATTAACGCTAACCCTGCCAGATGCAACACAGTGCAAGAGGTGTACAGTCTGTGGGACCTTCTTTTATCAAATGCAAAGACTGCCAATTCAGAGACAACATGAGACAACATGAGCTTGAACAATGCCTGTGCTGTCTCCTGATATAGTTGGCAACCAGGCTTTCCAAGGCAGTTTGACCTTGGGGAATTTTAACCTGTCAGATTTGGCAGGCTTGTCACTTTGACAACGGTTGCCTGCTGCGTTGGGAAGGGTTCCTGGAAGTAAAGGGTTAAGTCGCACGACATCAATTGCAAATTTATATTATTGTATTAAACATGGCGTGATTGTGATGTGATGTGTGACATGGTCAAGAAACCGGAACTGCCGTTTGTCCCTCAATTTTAATTTTGTCACACTTGAGGGACAAACAGCAGTTCCGGTTTCATGGAATTTTTACCAGCGTAACGTTTCAATTTCTGTCTTTTATCATATTGTTTTTCTAGAGTTCTTTGGGGGAGCTAGAGGAGACCTACCAGCACATGCTGGATGGCCCCACAGACGAATCGCTGACAGGACGTGGGGACGGAGACCGGGATCAAATCAACATCTGCATCAATTACAAAGAATGGAAGGTTAGGAAATATATATGACAACTGAAATAAAAATAAGATTTTCTTCTTTGGGTTTGGGGGGGGGGGGAACGAATTATTTTGAACTTCCTGTGGCGAGTTTTCACCAGTAATGTTTTGTGCCGTCATTATTGCTCTTACACTTACATTGACATGATGAATGAACAGTCCCTATGGCTGAAATTAGGTTTGCATTGACTGCTAATTTTTTACATGCTCTGTCTGACAGTTTGTGTTCCTTTTTCTTGTGTTAGGAGAAGAAGAGTAAGCAGTTGAAGACGCTACGTGAGACGACTGATCAACTGGCTGGAGTCTGGCGTGAGACTGTTCGACAGAACATGCTTGATGTAAGAGGAAAGTTTTGTTTTTGCCTTGCATCCCTGTTACAAGAATAAGAAAGTTTCCCCTTATGTGGAGTTAAATTTGGCACATTGCTGTTCAGAGAAATACAACAAAACACATCTGACAATTTACTTTATATTCACTCCACTATCAGCCATTTGACATGACCTCTGACCTCGCCAACCCGTCTGTTCCCCCATTGGACGACCTGGCCCAGTGCCTCATCGTTGCCATGGAAACAGAGATTGCCATGACGGGCCAGGACTCTACAGACCTGAAGGTTGATCCGGCTTTACTGCAGAAAAAAAAGGTATGAGAAATTGTCTTAGCACTACATCATTATTTCCCCTACTCATTGGGCCCACAAAACATTCCAAATATGATCTCACTCCCTGGGGAGTAGCTCGATGCTGCCCTTTTAACACAAAGCATAGTGACTATCTCTTCCCTCACATGTACCCATTTACTCCCGTGTTTGGAGAAGCAAGTTGTGACAAAGTGGCTTGCCCAAGGACGCATAAACCACAACCCCTGAGGCTGGACTCGAACCCCCAACCTGCGGAATAATCACAAAGCTTAAGCTACTCCAGACCACGAGCCTATAACTCCAAAATACTTGCAAATATAAACGCAGCTTCCCATCCTTAACTCCTTTACCTCTGACTTTTTAATCTTAGGAAGAGAAAGGTCAAGAGACTGCCATTCTCAACAACACAGTGCGCGTCGTCGTCAAGCAACTGGGCCTGGAACTAGACGCCATAGACTACATCATCAGGCAGAAGGATTCTTACACGGCAGCTAGGAATGACTTTGAGAAGTGGCTTCAAGACAAGCCTGATGTGTCCTGCTTGCAGTCCATCCAGAAAGAGATCAAGACGTTGAAGTCTAAGCTGCGTCACAAGCTGGCTGATAAAGATGACTTGGAAGAGGTGATAAGAGCTAAAGTAGCTTTTGTATAGAACTTGAAAAATTTCCTAAGTCATAAGTCGATGTCTAAAGTTATAAAAATCTTGAGTTTCGTTATAAGCTTATTATTGTGACAGAGGCACTCCGTTGACATTTCTATTGATCCTGTTGTGACTTGTGATCTGATTACAACACTGCAAAGGAATCTGCTTTGAGATCTGAAGACATATGAAATTCATCAAACACACGTCAATCACATGTCAATCACATGTCAATTACCTGTCAATCACATGTCAATCACGAGTCATTCACAAGTTAATCACATGTTAATCAGAAGACAGGCACATGTTAAATACAAGCCAATCATAAATCAGTCAAGACTTAATTTACATGTATATTTTTTTTCCTTGTGAAGGATCCAGATTTAAACAGTGGCGGAGAACTCCAGAAAATTGAGAAAGAACTTACCCGCATCCGTGCTGACTTACAGAGGGCATACGCCGAAGAGGACATACTATTGGTGAGTTATCAATCAAAAATTTGCACACATTAAGATGCAAAGTGGTTGTGGCATATGCATCAAAATCATCAAAGTAGTTGTATGACTCTGGCTTGAATGATACAATTTTTTTTTCTTGTGTAGGAGGAAGTTTCTGAGTTGAGTCGAGTCCATTTCCCCGAGCTTGTGCATCAGTATCCGACTTTTGACATCGAAAACTACCTGGTAAGTGCACATGTACTATCCAGTATAAGCTTTCAAACCATAATCTTGGACTTTTCTTCCATCATAAACAGGGATTCTTGCTGACAAAAATATTTGTTGAGCAAAGATAGAATACCAGCCAAAATGTATGCAATGTGTATACTATTCAGTAAACCAAGATAAAAAACGTATTTTTTTTTCATCTGTAGGATACGCTGGGTCTTGTGAAGCGAGGTCGTGACCTTCAACAGTTTGACCTCAAACCGTTGCCAGGGTGCAACAAGAAGATGATTCATCTGAGCCAGTGCAACGGCAAACCCATCCTCATTAAGGTAATATTTCCCTGTTATGGCAACGAATAGAAATATTTAATAAAAGAGGCGAAATAAGGACAAAAACTGCTTGGATAAGTTGAGTTAGTAAGGTGAGGCCTTCCTTTATGGGAAACTTGAGGATTGTTGCGTAATGTAGCCCCACTGTCATACTTTCTAAGCTTGCAGGACGTACCTGAAATTTCTCATTTCTAGATACATATAAATGCATGAACGCTTATGGCTTGCTTGTCTTCTCCTGCAGTCCTTCTTCATTCCGGATGATGCAGCACGGAAGGAGTTCCTCGTTCAAACCGTAAAAGCCATGACAACAGGCTGCGAGGGCCGACTGATCGCCAACGCCGTTTACTCGCTGTCCAATCTTGGGGAGGTCCACCTCCTGCTACCCTACATCGAGATGGGCTCACTGGAAGCGGCTGTGGCTAAAGGTAGATTGGCTTCCTTGCATTGTCTGTTAGTCGTAGTCATAGACAAGACTTGGATTGGTTCCCCTTTCACAGCCTTTCCCGATCCAAACAAGCACGGGCATTCTGCCGCAGCGGTAGAGAGCCTCCTTTGACACATTTGCGCAAAGCACGCATGACTTATTTTTGGATGGTCTGAAATGTGACATAAACAACTAACAATTTGCCATCAGAAAAAAAATGGTTATTTCTATCACAACCCTCTGACTACCTACCCTGTTCCATCACAAAACACAGAAGGTTGCTTTGCTGCCAAACCACTGACCGCCAAAGAGCTGCAGTCCATCTTCCGTGATGTCTTGACTGGTATTGACCAGTTGCAAGAGCTCAGTCAATCCACTGTCCACGGTGCCGTCCACCCAAGGAATGTCCTGCTGACCAGCCGCAGCTCGGCCGTGCTTGCCGAGTATGACATCACCAAAACACCCGTGAGTAGATTTAAAATGGACTGTCTGTGCTCTTCAACAAATTTGATCTTTCTCTGTAGACAAGATTTTCAACTTGTGTGATCAATTTTATCCTAAAATATACTACTTTTTCCATTTTGGGCGTCTGAAACCCTCTAAAAATTCTTTTATTTTGGGTGCGTTTGTGCACTGTGAGTAAACTGGTTCCCGGTCCACACATTATCAAATCTGATAGGGGACAGGAGCCAGTCTACCTTGGGAGAAATGAATTATTCACGGGTAACAAATAATTTGAAATTTGTAAAGTAATTATCCCATAACTAATCTTGGGCTGATTTGTTTTTTGTCTTAGACTCAGCGTGCCCAGCAGGCCTATAAGAGTGATAACGGACTGACTTTCTCTCCGCCTGAAGTCACCAGCGGTCTGCCAGCGACACCTGCCTGGGATATGTACAGCTATGGCATGCTACTGCTCTGGGTAGGTCATTTGCTAGTCTCAATTTACAAGTCCATCAGAAGTCAGTCACAAGTCCATGCAAGTCAGTCACAAGTCCATCACAAGTCGGTCACAAGTCCACGCGAGTCAGTCACAAGTCATCAAGTCCCAAGGACACAAGCTAATCAGATGAACCATGACAAAAGCTTTCCTTCGTTACTGTTCCTTCCCTGTTACTTGTGTCGGACTGGACTTGTGAGTGGACTTGAAATTATGGATGCAGATGGTATTGGCATATCCAGCAGACTGACCAAAGATTGCAAAAGCAAGGTTTAACTATGGCAGATGGAAAATTTTGGAAATTGTTTGTAGCACTCACTGTCTTCTTTGTTTATTCCTTGTGACAGGCCCACTGCCCAGATGAACAGTTTTCAACCCTCCCAAATGGCACACCGGATCTGTCCTCGGCTGAAATGAACCAACCTCTGAAGGAAATCATCTGCTCGCTCCTAAGCCACGCCCCTGAGAAACGCCCAAATCCAGAAGAGGTCATGGCAATGGACTACTGTACCAAATCTTTGCCAACTGAGGATACTGATGAAGTGACGGAAGATGTTTTGGAAGAAGAGAATGGGAACAAGGTGGAAGTCGAATCGGGGGATCCTAGCATGGATGAGATACCCGAAGTTGAAGCTAGTGTTCCAAAAGACAGCAATGCCGTCACAAGTGACGGAGATCTCGTAGAGGACAAGGCGTCTCCTCTCGAAACACTCCAAGATGAAAAGATCGACACAGAAGAGTGTGGCAAGGAAACGAAGGGGGCGACACCTGAGGAGCGGGAAGAAGCGAAGACAGATGATGCAGGGAAGGTTGATGAAGACGAGAAAACTAGAGACGATGCAAAAACAACTCCACAAGGTAATTGTATTGTACGATTTGCTCACTGGCATGTTATAAACGTTGCTCTTTTACGCCATCCAGCTTGCCATAAAAGTTTAAAGAAAATGTTTACTGCATGGATATTTCTTGAGAAATGAGCAGCCACATACGCCAAGGAAACCTCCCCCAAAGAGATGTTTGTAATGTAGCCCTCTTTGAGGTACATGCTTTTGTTTTGCAAGCCTCGGTCTGACAGAATGCTAGGTTCAATAAGACCCTATCTGATTTGAAATTCCACTTTTTGGATTTTCAGCGAGTGCTCCATCCTCAGGATCCATCCTCCTGAAGAAGATGGTGGCTGCCATGGCAACCACTGGAGAGATGGGCAAAACAGACGCCGCAAAGACAGTGGATGGGTCGGAAATCTAACAGACGGAGATGTGGAAGGAAGGCCACAGAAGCATTAGTTCAAGAGCTTTCATTTTGTTGTATTCAAAATTGTTTGAGAAGAAAGCAAACAATTCTGCATTGGATAAAAGCCATGGCGATTCAAGGTTAAAAAAAAAGTGTTCCTAGATCATTATTTTAGCGGTTTCCTCAGAACAGATGTTTGGAGATTATTGCTTTAAGTTTTATTTCAGAAATCAGCTTTTAAAACTTTTTCCCTGAAGTGTATGGGAGGACACAAGGGTAAGATTTACAAGTGTTATGAAGAATGTATTGAATGATTCGAATGGCAAATGTGATTGCAATGTTTTGTCCAATTGAACTAAAAATTTCAAACCTTTAAAAGGAACATTTCTCAAAGCTAGACAAGCATGTGTTATTTGGGGAAAATGTGTTAAAATATCAAGGAAAACCAGTAAACGTGGGTACTTCGATAATTGTAATGGACTTTGTGCATGAACAGATGGTGCTTCATCCAAGCGACAAGGCAACTTAGGTTTTTGAATTTTTATGCCTCCAGTGCCCATGTAAGATATGTTACATTCCAGTTTTTTCGATATTTGTATTCGATTCGCCCCACTGCTTTACTCTAAAACTATTTTTCTTAAGAAAAAGCAAACATTCAAGTTCAAATTTGTAAAGTTTAAGATGCCTAACATTTTTTTCAGCAATTTCTTTCTTTATGACGTAGATGTTCCTTAAGGAAACTTTTCTTGTTTTACGCTGTTTACCCAAATGTATATTCACTACTAACTTTGTCTGTCTTTTTCTTGTACTTTTTTAGAATTTAGACTAAACCACAGACCAATTAGTTTGATCGTTTTGAGTCGTATAACCTTTCCTTTTTAAAATGTTAATTTTTTTTCTCAGGTTTCGAAAAATAACACAGGTTAGTGTTATCTTAGGCTGAATGAAAAGAAAATAACGAGAAATACAAACTCTTTGTTTTCATTTTCATTCATTTTTCTTCTTTCTGAGATATTTATATAAAGTCGTCAGGATATGTCGGCAGAACACAAACATTTATTAGTTTTTTTCCGCCTAAGAAATTAATCAGTTACAACTTAACAAGTATCTCTAGGATTTTCCTGAGCAAAATTATGCATTGAATACATCTCATTGGGTTAGTCAATTTAAATCTTTAATAGGCAGATCCGGCCGTGATTATTTTGATTTCAGGTCTTTAACTTTTCACAGATATGAAAAAAAGACACAAATATCATCATGCTACATGTTGAACACTTCTATTTTAGAAAGCTCCGTGTTATAAATTAACAGTTGCCAAAATATTTGCCAATGTGCTATGTTCTGTTAATATAAAAGTAACATTTACATATATACGAAAGAAAAACTAAAGTTCATTTAAGCAAAGTTATTTGTATTGTTCGTTTTGAATTCAACATTCACGGCAGTGTCGTAGGTGCAACAATGCTTCGTCCCCAAATGTGGCAGTCAAAGTTTATATCCTGAGTTTATCGAGCAACGTTTGCAAGAACTTGGTGGCATTAGCCGGTTTGAAACGCTCTGAGGCGATACAATATTGCCTGTCCACAGAAATGTACTGGTACAAAATCTACCATTACGGCAGGAGCAAAAAAAAAAACGATTTTGATTTTACCATGTGCCTTGTGAAAAGCCTTGAGTTTTATATTTATTTTGTTATATAACTAAATTGCCAAGTAATAAAAAAAAGTACGTTTTGTTATGAAATCTACTGGTACCTGTTGCTTTATTTTACTACGAAGCTTTGCTGAGTGTTTTCAAGGTAATGCAGGCGCGTACGTGAGGTTCTTAAGACTGTAGTGATGCTTCTTGTTAATTAATAACGACCTCCACTGCCGCTGGACTTGCCCGCTCTTTTCAGAGACTTGTACCAGGGGAATAAAATCGAAAGCCACGCAATTCTGTTTGTAGCGTGGATCGTTGAACGAATGTTTGTTTGGTGCAAACTGATTCACACATATCGATGGAGCACTCTGGAGGTCAATATTTACTGAAGGCCATAGTTAAGAGCGTTCACTGTGTTTCGATAAATACACATGGAAAGCTAGTTGTTGAATGTAATTCCGTCAGTCTTTTCCGAGAGTGCACTTTGGACAATAGGAAGTCGAGAACCACTTTATTGCAGCGCACACACTGTTAAGGTTACGTCAAGTTGTGTTTTATTTTCTCAATTGTGAAATGATTACAGCTTGACAGCAACTATTTATCCGTTGGAAGGTAAGTTTTCTGAACTATGAAAATTACTGGGGTTTATAAAATGCTAGAGTCTTAATTGCCTTTATGATTCTTTTGTTAAGCATTTGTATCCACTGTCACGACAATGCTGATACGCATGGCAAGAGAAATAGGCCCAGTTGCTATACTGACTTGAGTTCAGTGAATAATGTACCCATATACATGTTCATGTATATGAGGGATACTTCCGAGTAGAAACCGTGTACAAAACCAACCATGAGACCAACACAATATGTTGGCTACATACACATGATATGGTACGTACGGGTGACCTTCACTGTGCTTCTGTTGCCAACACTTATGACAATTATTTTGATTTTACTGTGCATGTAAATGTATGTACATCATTCCTCCATGCTTTTATCGGTTTTGACAGCCAAAAGTATTATCGTACATCTATCGCCCATATGCTTGCATGATTGAGTTGGTACGTGGTATGTAGCCAACTTGCGGTGAACTCAACGGCACAGTGACCTTTATACTGTCCGTCGAGAATTTTTCCAGTTTCCACACCATGTACATGTTGGTGGGCCGAATCAGGCCTCGACTACTTTGGACGGGTTTGCTCAACTTTGAACGCAATGTACAACACGTTATTAGGTTAAGTGGTCTATTTTATGTCTTCCGCCATGCAAAGCTTCAAGTCACATATGATGTGCCGCAATAATTGAGACGTACGATATAGATCCCAAGCTCAGAAAGAGCTATGCACGAGCAATTTTCATCCGCCCTGATATAAGTTTATGTGGGTGACTTGCGCGGAATCTCAATTAACTCCGACATATTTGTGATGATTAAAGTTGGCGAGTCTTCTCACCGCAAACTTCAGGCTTATCTATCAATCAAGATTAGCCGCGCACTGCTGTGTGACATGCTGGAGGGACGAAGTCCGTTCGCGTGGTGTAATCAGCAGTGTATCATCGTGGTTACGATAGAGTGGGGCATATATCACAGCACACTGCAGGGGCTTTAATTCAATTAATGTGCAACAGTTATCCGAATGCACAGATGCGAAAAATTACTATCCTCGGCAGTCTCCCGTGATGCAAGGTAAGCCGAATGGTGAAGGATCCTGCGAGACGGAGGCTTGATGAGGGTACGCTTCCTAGTGATTGGATGTATGCTGTTGCACAAACGCGGATTTATTGGATAATGTGCGTGTTCCACATGTCAATACATGTAATATCATTCGGGGAAGGACTGCGTGTTGCAAGATTTTTGTATTGAACTAATACGTAACATTAGTTGTCTGTTGTGACCCCTTGTCAGCGCCTGATATACTTGCAACCTTGCTGTCTATATGCTTCCAAGGAGTGATTTTCTTCTCAGATCGTCAGTATCTTCAAGTTGTCGAGTGGTTGTGTTGCTTCCAGAATCGCCTCTTGGTACTGCCGTAGTCTAGTCTCGGGCTCGTGGGTTGTTATGCGGGTTTGTTTGTTGGGTCGCCTGTTTGTTTTCGAATAATTATTTTACCGGTCAAGTTGTGTCCGATTTTTTTCCCGATGGACGAGCTGCATGTTTGTTGCCTGATCTACAGATGTGTCCGTGCGGGATGTGAGGGAGTGTTTAATGACCTGATTGCTTTTCATTTAGACTTAGTTCACCAACCTCCCGATTTTCTGAGTTTGCCCTTTTGTATCTTCTAATCTATACACGTAGATCAAGATGACCTCTGAAGACAAGGCCCCGGAGACCTCGACGGAGGATGGCAACCACAAAGCCGAGAACGGAGGCAGGGAGCATCTGGAGATGAGAGGGGCTGGTGAGGACGTAGATGAAGATGGGGAAGGGTCGGACAGAGAATCAAGCAGAGGACATCGGTTCATGCCGATTGATAGGCTTAACATCTTCAGCGACGCAGTGTTTGCTACTATTACTACGTTTATGGTAAGGATAATACCGAGTCAAGAGATGCCCAAAACAGAATTAGCTTCAGTGAATGTGGCTACTTTTCGTAGAACATTTTCAGCAGATTTTTGTTGTGACAATGTTAGGTAGTCGTTAATTAATCAATAGTATAGTATCCATTCTTCATTGACTGAGCTATAAAAAAGGTATTGTTTGCTTTGCCTCTGAAATGGGAGTTGTAACATTAGGGATGATTAAAATGTCTCCCAAATGTCCGGTGTCTCCCTAAGGCATACTTATGACGAACAAATATTCTCCTTAAGGGTACATTTACAGGAATTTAGAAAATCTGTAACTTTTTCAGTGGATTTTTTTTCCAGGTTGTCCCTTTGAAGGAGGAAGTACAATCTTATGACGTAACTGAGGTATGCGACATCTTTTCATTATTATTATTTTTTTGTAACAAATAGGACTTAAAACCTTTAGAGCATTATAAATATAACATGTGCCTTTATTTTGGTTGTGAATGATAATGGAATGCACATTTTTATTCCCAGTTTTAAAAAGTGCATTTTAATGTTTGCTACTCATTTTCAGATAAACATAATTATGAAGAAAAACATGATATGTGTACACATTCACAAAATATGTGGGTACACGAATTGAAACTAAACATACACATCGCAGTATCAAATGAAAGGGATAATATTTTATGCAGGATCTATGGACCAGCTTGGTCGCCGATTGGTATCGATTCCTGGTCTTCGTTATATCGTTCCTTATAGTATCGACTCTTTGGCAAGACCACGTGTGGTAAGTGTTTGGATCATGCTGGATGAAAGGTCCCCGATTAATTATTTTTTATAATGTTTTATAAAATCGAGTTTGTTTAATTTTCTGTTAGTTTTTCAAAGCTGGAGTAATTTGCACGGATAAAAAGTGCATTTGAACTTTTTTTATATCAATACATGTTTGCTACAATAATGTACTGAATTAAAACGGCAAATATAGCGAAGACGTGTGACATGCAACGGCAGGGATTCATACATTAATATACAACGAGGGTGGCAGTCATGTTCAATGAGTGTCTCTGCTAGTACTTATCAAGATGGATGGCGATACAAGATGCTCATTATCAGACTAGCCACGGCATCTTTGTTGGATACCATTCTGTCTCGATTAATATAGCTTAGCTCGTGTTGTTGCATATATATCTTGACTAGTGTGTTCTCGGCTCCCAAAGGAACGGAATACATTAATATTCTCTGTTTAGGGCGAGCAATGGAAGTATATAGGCCTTATTCTCCATAGGTGTCTTCCTAATATTTTGGTCATCTTTGTTGTGTGCCAGATTCCTCTCTCTACTCACCTCACTGACTGACTGACTGACTGACTGACTGACTCCCCGACTCCCCGACTATCACTTGTTACTTAGACTATACAGCGTGTGTCAATAAAAACGCAGGATTTAAAGCGATTTTTTTTCTGAGAAAATTATGCTACTGGTGTGCCTAATTTGATAAGGATTTGATTGTCCATAATTTCATCTTTGACAAGATTTTTGTTTGGTGGAATTTAGACTTTTGGTTCAAAAGTTATGACAAGTTTTGTGAAGCCCTTCTGAAGCGGGTTGGTCTGATTCAATGACCTTAACACAACGACCAGTTATGTACAATGCAGGTATGCATTGAAGACAATTAAACCAGAACAAAACTTTCTTTGAAACAACTGATGATAAGTATCACTTAAATTTAATAACTGGACTATCATTGTTTCAAAGCATCATGAATTATTGACTAATAACATTGATGTGGACTAAAGGATTATGTAAGCCTAATCCTGCCACACATGTCCTTCTTTGTGATCCACAAATACTTTCACCTGTACTGAATTCAAACCTTTCATTAGGTATGTGTGATTTCACAAATCAGACCAGCTTGGAATTTATAACCCTTCTTCAATGTACTCTATCTCTGGACAGGATTGTCCAAATGAGATGGGATAAAAAGCATAGTGAAGAGAAGGAAAGGTACTTTGAAAAGAGGGTTAACATTATGATGAATAGGGGTGGTTTATATTCTTAATATTTTTGTTTCTAATCCTGCGTTTTTATTGACACACGCTGTAGTTGTAAGCTGTTGAAGAGAGTTGGGCAGTGCTATTGCATTGGATTACCCCGCAACGCCATGAATGGGCTATAACTCCTGCCAATTGTGTTGACATTTTGCATGCAAAGAATCCCAGTGAATAGAAATTATGAGGCAGAATTTTGTGCGGTCCGATTTTGGCCTAACTGGGACCAGCTATACTAGGGTTGCCTATCCCTCCCCTCCCCCTCCCCCAAAACCCACACTGAGTAAGCTAACCGTCTCCTTTGCGTTCTGATACGTACTAGTGGTAAAAATCTATATGAACAAAAATATGCGGCATTAGCTATAATCAACGAAGTACAATTTATACAAAGCTTCGTTTTTGGCGCCAGAATAAAACAAATGCTCATGTAAGTCGATCAGCAGTGAAACTATCTGAACATGGCGGAACTTCCTCGGCACACTGTGATCATGTTGCCATAGAAACACAACGATTAGGGGATATAAGATAATCCATTCTGTTCAAAATTATATTACGTTGATTTCAGCCATTTCAAGTATATGCAAAAACCATAAAATGCTAAGTCAAATATCGTCCAGTGCAAATTGCTTTGAGGGTAGGTTTTTTACGTTCGCGTAACCAACAAAAGACGCACTGAATGGATGAAGAAATAGGCTATGAAAATAACCTCATGATATTGTTCCGGCTATTTTTATCATTTGGTCGATGTAGGCTCATCAACTCGCCAAAATTGTCTTTTTTTTTCTTTTACAGTATCATTTTTTTAGTGATATACCGACGGTTATTTTTTTATCATTTTTCTCTGAACAAATAGGATCTTACAAAAAGTCGAGCACGTTGGAGACGTCGGACTGATTCTGAACGTGGTACGTATAAATTAAAAAGACCAAATAATTTTGTGTAGATACATATAAAAACAACATGCGTGTATGTGGCATTTCAAGCTTTCACACCTGAACGGCCCACTTCTGCTTAAATCTCCCAAACCGATACAAAAAACACCTCTTCTCCATTTAGATTCATGAGCTTTAGCTCGCTCGAAACTAAGGCTAATTTACCATATACACTTGTGAATTTTTAAGAGGTTTGGCGGGTGCTTCCATCAATAATTAAAAGCATGGAATATTGTATACGTTGGAACTAGACTTAATGACAAGTCGTTAGATAGTCGTATTTTGTCTGTGAACTTCAGTCGAACTCCGTCGGCGCGGCTGGTATAAGACTAGTACGTAATCGGCCGGGTTGCAACATATCTAACGACTTGACGATTATGTTCTCACACCGTTATTCATGTATGCAAGCAGCGCAATACATACATGCAGTGCACCGCGCACTGCTATGCAAATGAGGACTCATTCATTCCGTTACATGGGGAGTTCTTCTCAATACGTCAGGGACATGTTTGCAGATCTGGCGACGTTTTAACTACCAATTCACTCAGCGTGGTCAATTGTGTATAGAAATAAAAATGTGATTACTTGATTTATTTGAGTCGTGTATGCCCTATGATGAATTTTGTGATGTTACACAACACAAAGTACAAACCCTCGAAGTAATAAGAACGATCTTCCGTGGCGGCCTAGAATACGCTCTGGAATCTGAACCAATCAGAGTTCTCGCATAGGATTCGCTAGCGATTCAAAATACTCTAATATGTTGTGTACAAAATTGAAACGTATTCGCCAAGTCGGTGACTGAACATCAATAGTCAGCATCATTTGGTCTGGGAACCAGACTACGCGCTTTGCAGCGATATTTTGCGTGCATGGAGTCAGTAACCGGTACTGTACGCAAACCAATTACCAACTTGACACCAAGTCTAGTCGGACACGGGCGTAGGTACATGCTCCGCCAATGATGATAGAAATCCTGTAAATTAATGTTTATTCGGAACGAGTGTTTGGAATTTTCTTTTTCCTTCTCCTGAGGATGATGGATTGTTTATCTTAGGCTCACATTTCCAACGCTGCTCCATCTATGCCTAAATACTCTCCAAAATGTTCTTATCGACAACCTGTTATGTACACGCGCGCACATAGAACCGTTGCCAGGTAACCGAGCAATCTAACTTGACAGGTATGCAAGGCATTATTAGCTTCACTGAGCAGTAAAAACAGACTTGCCCGACTAAGTTATTAAACCTTGCCATCTTGTAATCATCTGACCGACTTTGCTTCACTCAGCATTCCAGTTTATGCTTATTTCCTTGGAGAGCTAAATTTTACCAATTTTGGTCTCAGAAAACCCAATTGAATTGGAACATTGTAGGCCTTCGTTCATAGTCAATCTGTAACTGTAAAGATCAGTTACATATTAATGAAGACATATAATATCCACAGGCCCAATCCTCTTGTGATTTGTACAAGGCCATAAAGTTAATTGGTTGATTCAACAGTAAACCAAGCCAGACATATAGACCTACATGCACACTACATATCTAATCAATAAACCACATTCAATTAAGATCCCTTTGTATCATGGACCCATAGGTATTCGTCTGCGCAAATAATAGACGTCGAAGTCATTTTACGCTACGGTGAATTTGGGTCGTTTTTCTTTCAAACGAAACCCGTAATCGAATATAATGCTCCCTTCTATTCAAACATTGTGAAAGGGACGCAATAAAATCAATATTTTTGAAGGACCGAATAGAGTGTAAAACGAGGCATTGTTTTTCAAAAATACGTTTTACAATTATTCAGTATTCAGCAGGAGATATATATATGGAGTGAAATTTAAAGCAATAATGAGCATTACAAATCTTCAATTTAGAAACAACCAATACACTCAAAATAATAAATGTTACTGAAAACAATTTCAAATAATTTGGTAAATGTTAATATTATATTGTATATACAATGTATTATCTGATCGATTATTTTCGTGCTCTTTTGTTGACAGCTTTTGCTGCTTGTCGCTTCCGTTATTCCATTCTTGGTAAGTCCATGGAGGCCGAACATAAGTTTAATATAGATCATTTGCAATGACGTCATCTTTGAGGTTCGTGCTTTTACAATGGGGACACTCATGAGAAGACCTTGTTCATTCAGTGTTACTAAATCAGAAGAACAAAGACATCTCAAAGATGGCTGCTTAATGCAGCTGGTGTATTGGAAACAATATAACGCAGAGTAATGTAAGTACATAGGTATATGCAGTATGATTCTTGCATGCATCACCAAGATGATGCAGCGAGCCTGCTGCCTCATTTAACAATTTTTGATGTACAGTAAAACTGAGAGGTCATAAGAAAACCCACGGGTCTAATTTGATCGATGTCAGTGACATAGGCTAAACAGTTTATTGTTTGGCTACAAATGTCTTTCGGAATCGAACCCCGACGTTTGTAACACAGTGTTATCATGACTGGCTACACGCCCCAGTCAGAGCGAACGTTAGGGCTAGGCAGACTAGGGCTAGGCGTAGCTTATGATTTTGTGCTGTCAATATTCACGAGTCACTGCAAAACATGTGAACAGACAACCCCCAGCACGAATATACTATATATCAGTATAAAAAAAATAGAGATTAAGGAATATACTTACAGAGGTTAACAGAAACTCGGGTACGTGAAGGTTTCGTTCCGAGCAAACATAGAACATGTACGCCGCCATTTTTTCTGACAACATTGAAGACTGGTACTGAGTTCAAGTGAAGTGACATGTAGCGCGCATTACGTTCGGGTACCAGACTGTATAAGTCACTTCGTTGGAACATGAGAGTGTGTTTACGCGGCACCTATAGCTTTTCGTCAGTTCGTGAAATGATAGGCCTAATTTTTTAAGATATGTCAGCATTGTTAATGACCTACTTTGTTAATTAGCTTATTTAGCTATTTGACCACCGTATAAGTTAGAAATGTTTAGAAAATGAAAATTTCACTATGCAAAACTAGCCGGGTGCTAATTGCTCAAATTCATCAAAAATAATCTTGCACGTCGTGGTACACGACCGACGATTTACCCATAATTGGAGACAAATAATTATAGGCGTTAATGGTGATTGCATGCAAAAAGCAAAGGTGATTGTTTGCTTGATTTTTGTGGGTGTTTTTATTTTTTTATTTTTTGGTGGTTTTTCGTAAACATGACCTGGTTTTGACAATCACAGGCTGCTCTGATGGGTGACTTCTACCGCTACCCGCTGACGTCACGACTTTTTGGTGGATGTATTCTAACTCTCTCCGTGGTACAAGTATGTATAGATTTGTCATTCTGTCGTTGAATCCTGTCGTTGGATCAATTTGGGTTTCCTCAAAAACTCTATGATGCAATTTTGCGGCTTTTTTTGTCTCCCATCTGAAACAAGCTTCGTATTTCAGATCATGATGTGCGAGCATTATTTCATTTCGACAGGGTATAATGATCGCTCTGGCGTTCCGTCGAAGCAAGATGTTGTCGGATCATCTAGAAGGAGACAAAACAAAGGTAAAACAATCATGATTGTTTCAGGTATGTGTAGAGAGGCCTCGTAGCCCAGCGGTTAGAGCGTGTTACGGAGTGGAAGGTTGGCGGTTCGAATCCCATTCGGACCAAAACAGTGAAAAGAATGGGTACCTGATTCGCTCAGGGAGGGTAAGACGGCGAGAGGAGAGGAGATGGGAACCCACTCAAATGTCGCGCCCAAGACACAGTGGATCTCCAACATCCCAATGCCCCTACGGCTAGTAATGGCTATGGAACCTTTACCTTTTACCTTCTTAGCCAGGCCTATGTGAAGTTAAAAGTGTTATTCGTGTGAACAAAGATGGTTTCATCCATACAAGGAAAAGTCAGTTTTTGGTGGCGTTATTTGTTTTTTTCCGGACGCCGATATTTGTTGGATTTTTTTCTTTCATGAAATGGCAGAAGTGGATGAGTGTGGAGTTTCTCTCGACAGCTGGACTGAAGATTGTTCTGTCGGCCTTGTCCATCGGAATTGCGGGCGCCAGCGTTCCTGCGGTAAGACATCTCTTTTTAAACCTTTCATGGCATAAGAAGGGCCTACCGGTATGTTTTATTAAGTTGCAATAATTGTTTTTGGTTAGGTAGAAAATGATATGGGAAATCAGTTTAATTTGAGGAATATTTGATTTGTGTGGTTTGTTTTTTTACAGTCACTTGTGCTTCTGGCTGTGGCCATGTTCACTGATTGGATCTGCATAATAGTAATCGCCGTTTACAGAAGCAGGAAAGGTACGAAATTCAACACTAGGCCTATATACATGTACTGTGTAGCTAATTATGTGTATTTATCGAGCCGGGGAGAATTCGTGACTGTTTACACGCCCCTCGATCGAGCCTCTGTACAGGCTCCACGTTTCTTGGGTGTCAATTACAAACAGGGGAAACGTGACTTGTTTTTGTTGGCTTGTGCTAATATCCTACCCCGAAATAAAAAAAATAAAAAAATTGCACTTGTAGTTTATAAGCCCTTTAGTTATCCGTAGTTTTTCAGTGACATTTAGATGTTTCTTGTTTTTCTTTGTTAGATCAGTCATTTAGCACTGGGATACGAACACATCTATGTCGTCGCTTTGTTTTCGAAGATGTAGACATAGACCGAACACAAAGTAAGCATTTGCATTTCTCAGTACGCAGCTTTTAATAAATTATTCAGTAATCAATTTATTCTCAAAAACATTTCATGGATTAACCGATCAGTGATCGATTGACCAATCGGTCAATCGATCGATCAACTGTAGTCAAACTTTAATCATGGTAAGTTCAAGATGATCAGTCAGTCAGTCGACCAATCGACCAACTCCCGTCTTTTTATATATAAATCACTATTCTATCAAAGCTGCCATTTCAATCGTGATAATGAGTATGAATTGTGTATGTTTACTTGTTTATATTTTTGTTTGTGTTACTTCCAGCTTTTACCGACGGTGTCTTCATCATTGTGGCTACTTTGATCATCCTTGACATCACGTGAGTATAGGTTTTCTTTGGCTGCGACAAATTCTTCGTGAACAAGATAATGTGAAGCTTACTCACAAAACATCACAATTTAAAAAAAACAAACAAACAGCGATGTTCCAACCGATGAAAAATAGCATGTCATTTTTGTTTCTTATGAGACACAATGACTTTTATGACAGTGACATTTGAGACGGCAATGATGACAATCTGACATGAGATGACACTGATGACGATACAAATGGTAAATAAATGGCGATGTCATAGTTTTCAAGATGAGGATAACGAGGACAACTGACGATGCATGTCATTGATATAACGACGATGACAACAATGACCCCATTGAAATCATCATGCCACATTGTCATTTATTTGACAGAGCCGATTCTCTGGTGCCATTGAATGGAAAAATGACGGAGGAAGCATTGTATGAAGCTCTGCTAGACAAGAAGGAGGCTCTATTGGCGTATATATCCACCTTTGTAACTATCGGTAAGAAAGCAGCATTGGCATGACAGACTCGCCTGATTTTAGTGTGCCACATTATTGACACATCTAGCGGATAAAAAAAAATGGTGAGATGTTTTTGTTTTTTGGTGCATTTTGCCAGTACATTGTGTATTTTTGTCTTCTATTCAGGTATGATCTGGTACATCAATTACTCCATGGTCTACGTGAGTATAAACAAATTCATGCGTGTGTTTTGTATGTTTGTTAGGTTTCATAATACGTTGTTGTTTGTTTGTTTTTTTGTTGGGTTGTTGAGGCTGTTTGTTTGTTTGTTTGTTTGTTGGGGGTGTTGGGGTGTTGGGGCATTTGTTAGTTTGTATATTTTGGATTTTGGGGGTGTTGATCTTTTAATACTGTCTCAGTGGTTTCATCTCAAGTACTGGCCTTTAATTCAGAGAACAATAAACATGAACAAAAAAACCGCTTTGATATCTATATGTCTGTGCTGATGTCTGTGCCTGCTTGTGGTCAGTCGGTTAGTGTCTGTGATTGAGTTCTCAACCAAATTTGCTGTTAGTACGACTGATTTGGTATCACTGCACTCTTTGGCTAACTTACAATCTCGCAAATGTCTTGAATAAGTATTTTTAAATGGTAACTTGAACAGGTGTTGGACACGATTTGTAACCTAAATCTAATTTCGGTTTCTCACCTCTTTCCTGATTCACGAGGTAGTATATACAGAGGCTCAGTCGTCTGTTGTTGCTGTTCAACCGATTGGTAAGCTTACCTTTTTATTTCAAGAAATCTGTCTTTGTTTTGAAATCATCCACTGTCAACAGTTTTCATTTAAGTAGACCATGCAAAGGATCATTTCCGTATATCTGGAAAAAATTGATAGTTAGGTACAAAATATTACATAGGAATATCTCATTCTAGGACTGCTATATTTCCCCCCTTTTTTTAGACTCTGTTGTTCGTCAGCATAGTTCCGCTTGGCTTCCAGTTAGTGTCATTGTTTTCAGTGGAGGTAAGAAAAAAGTTTGGTTAATTTTTTCTTCCTAGAACAGCTAGAATAATCAAAAACAGTGATTTAAAGTGTCATTTAATAGATACTTTTGGTTGTGGTAGGGCCTTTACGTCTTTTTTTTGTTAACATGATCAACGTGACCCGCTTAACATCGCAGATTATTTTAATTTGTTTTATTCATTCGAAAAAGGAAAAATATTTAAAATTCACTTCACAAATCCTATTCTTAATTTTTGGAAATACTTATAACCTTCAGGTCTTTTAGCTCACAGTTACTCTGGTAATAAATGATTTTTTTTGATAGTTTAGGCTAAAAGGGTTCTTTTTGAGGTATCTTTGATATTCCGATGTGTCGTACTGTCGTTCTTTACTCGTAGGAAGCAGGCACGAATGAGAACATCGCCGTCCAGTTTCACTGTATCCTCATCCTCTTCACATCTGTCTTCCAGTTGCTGTTCTGGGTGGCAGCCCACTGGAAAAGGTGAGACAACGACAGTGACAGGCTCTCCCAGTCACACAGGTCACAAAGAGATTGTGTCACATTGTGTCACTGCAAACGTCCTCTTCAGTAATTGTCGTGGTTCTTTGTTTTCGCAGAGACAAGCATATCGCATCAAGTCTGGGCGGGTTGCACAGGAAACGTATATTCTGTCTTCTGCTTGTGTATCCCATCGCAAGGTAGGGCTTGAGGCTATGACGAGTGACGATCGTTGGTGGGGTGATGGTGATGATACGGCCATGACAATGACACTCACGTCGGGAATGACTGAGCTGACAGTTACAAAGGTGACACGACGACATGTCATTAAAATAATGAATTAATGGTGAGGGTACGAAGGTGGTAATGGTGATAGTGGCCAAGACGACAATTATCACAAAAGTGACGACTGAAACGACAGTAACAAAGGTGACACGATGACATGTCATTAAAGTAATGTATTGGTGGTGAGGGTCGTAACTTAGGAGGGTGGTGATGGTAGGCTTAATGGTGGTCAAGACGACGACAATTATCACGACTTTGGTGACTGATACGACGATGACGAGGATGACAGGACATGTCATTTCCATCCTAAATTTAATGTTTTTTCCTCGTTTCAGTTTGGTCATATTCTGTGCTGCATTTTCGACTTCCGTTTTCAAAGTAAACACCATCCATGCTGTAAGTAAAGCATACCGAGATTTGTAAATTATGTCAAATTTCCGTGTAAAACGCACCCCTCCCTTTACATTCTTCTGAAGCTGCAAGAACCATTTAATGTTGTTGTTATATTTATAAAGACTTGAATGATTGAAACTTTTTAATTCACATCCAAGACCTACACTTTGATTTGTTCATAGTTTACTTTGCTGACATTGAATTCTTTTTTCTTTTGTGGACTTTTTAGGTGGAGTTATCGATTCCTTTTATTTTCTTATTGATCAAGCTGATTATCGAATTGGTGCTGGTAAGTATCGATTATGTAGTCTCATGCCTCTGTGAATATTCTGAAAAAGTATTTTAATCTATATTTTCGGTGTTTATCTGTTAAAATAATAATATAGTTTTGGACTAAAATAATAATATAGTTTTGGACTCTAATATGTGCATCAATGTAGGGGTCGTCTTAACAATTCATTGGATTCTTGATATTAAAATTGGTCCTCACTTAAAATGTGGGTCCTTTCGCACTATAGACGTACTGTTAAGCAAAAATATAAAGCAGGCAAATCAAGTCTGTATTTGCAAAAGGTCTCATTCTGTGGACCATTTTATCATTGAAGATTGCAAACCCTTTCCTGCTTCTCAAGATTATTATTTTTTTTTTATTGCTAATTCACAGCACAAACGGGACAGCCAAAGCGTCACCCGCGGCAACTGTGTTCCCGTGGAAATTGCCTCTCCGCAGGTTGACAACACAGACACGATGCTGTGGCATGCTGGCGAATCAGAAGAACAGAAACGTTAAGGGCGCCGCCATTGACTGTGCTGTAGTCTCCGTTCGTCTTAATAGAGGGCGCTATATTGCCTAAGCTGAGTGACAATTGGTTTCGTGCAAAGGTTATCAGGTTCCAGGTTTCGTAAAATGAATTGACTGCATAAAACCATAGAGAAATGCAGTTTTTGTATCTAAACTATAATGACAAAAAATATCTATTTTAGGCCAAGTACCGTTTGCCCTTCCAGGAATGCAGTGATGTGTGTGATATCTTATATTTCAGTTATTTTTGGATGCAAAAAATTATTGTACATATTATAAGATGTTTGTAAGTAATAAGCAGTCGTATTTTTGGACTATACAACAATGATGTAAAAGAACAATGCCAGGTTTTAAGCAGTGTATTTTGTCCTTTTTTTACACTGCAGATATAACTTTAAAAATCGTTTCATTTCAAAGTGATGTTTATTAGCTTCTTGTATTTACAGAAATCCGTCAACCACAAATGTTAAGAATAAACCTTTCGTATATTACATGGAAGATACTGTAAAATGTACAGAAGGAAATTTAGGCAAAAAAGGTGACTTTTTGTTGTTTCCATTATTGAACATGGAGAACAATCGAAGACTGAAGGGGTACGCAGTGAGCGGAAGTAATCATTCACAGGCTTTTTATAAGATTCCATTGAAGTTTTGTAATTATTTTTTTTATGATTTCCAAGTTTATCATAAAAGAGCTGATTCTTGTTTTGCGTACAAGAGGGAATTTGATCTGTTTGCCATTCACCTTCAAACCCACCGCAACCTCCTCGGAGTAAATTGAAGTTAATCGGCGCCACATTTTGGAAAGTTCAGTTAATACTCCAAGAGTCAAAATAAAATCGGATTATTCATGCATGATTTCCTCGTACCTTTGGTCCAACTTGTTTGTCACGAAAGTACCAAATACTGACCCTTAATGTCATAGGCTTTGTACAGCGAGTGGTTTTACCCTTTTTGAACAAAAAAATACAGTTGTAGTTAAAGCTAGCTTTCGGCAACTCACAAAGTTTAATCGAATCAATTACGTTTTTATGGGTGTGGAGTTTGAGGTTCTGACATCAGTAGTTTATGTTGGTGACCCGAAGGGTCGTTATAAAAAGGACGATTGTTGGACCAGAGTCGTTCACTTATGCCTCGTTTTGTATTGGGTCATTTTGCCACGTTAGCCGTGGTTTAGGAACTCACGTAGACGATAACAGAGGTACTGCAAACCCGGTAAGATGTGTTTTTGTTTTCAAAGTTACCATGGATCATTTTTTAATTTAAGTTTCCATTTTCATTGCATTCCAGACGAATCAATTGAACGAAATGCTTGCGTACTTCTTAAAGTTCGAGACCTTAAAATGTGCAACCGTGGTCGAAAGTTACACAACCGCGTACCGTATAACATTACCACACATGCGTAAAAGTACCACGTGAATGAAGTTGAATACCACGTGACTCTGAGTAGGTAAACCGACGTCATTGATAGCTCAATGTAGGTTTAATTAGGTCGAGTGTTTGTGTTGGTTTTGTTCAGTTCGACAGGGCGCCTCCTACTTTACGAAACGGTTCAGCCTACGTACCACCCACACTGAAAACAAAAGCCTACAAAACATAATAAAGAAGCTCACCATATCTTCTGAAAACAAAACACTCTTTCCTTGAAACCTGTCAATAGTACACTATAGTAGCCTAGTAGGAGTTTGTATCGATTGTGACTTGCTTTTATTAACGATAGAAGTCTTGAGACCTTGTAATTATCGCGTCGTGGGAAAAGACAATCACGTACCGTATGATGGCGCTCTTCTAATCAAAATAACCTCACAAGCAGACTCGAAGGACATCAGTGCTGGCAGACGGCCACTGCAACAGGTGAATGAGAAAGCTGTCAATTAGGGTGTATACATTGAATTCTTTTTTCTTTTGTGGACTTTTTAGGTGGAGTTATCGATTCCTTTTATTTTCTTATTGATCAAGCTGATTATCGAATTGGTGCTGGTAAGTATCGATTATGTAGTCTCATGCCTCTGTGAATATTCTGAAAAAGTATTTTAATCTATATTTTCGGTGTTTATCTGTTAAAATAATAATATAGTTTTGGACTCTAATATGTGCATCAATGTAGGGGTCGTCTTAACAATTCATTGGATTCTTGATATTAAAATTGGTCCTCACTTAAAATGTGGGTCCTTTCGCATTATAGACGTACTGTTAAGCGCAAATATAAAGCAGGCAAATCAAGTCTGTATTTGCAAAAGGTCTCATTCTGTGGACCATTTTATCATTGAAGATTGCAAACCCTTTCCTGCTTCTCAAGATTATTATTTTTTTTTATTGCTAATTCACAGCACAAACGGGACAGCCAAAGCGTCACCCGCGGCAACTGTGTTCCCGTGGAAATTGCCTCTCCGCAGGTTGACAACACAGACACGATGCTGTGGCATGCTGGCGAATCAGAAGAACAGAAACGTTAAGGGCGCCGCCATTGACTGTGCTGTAGTCTCCGTTCGTCTTAATAGAGGGCGCTATATTGCCTAAGCTGAGTGACAATTGGTTTCGTGCAAAGGTTATCAGGTTCCAGGTTTCGTAAAATGAATTGATTGCATAAAACCATAGAGAAATGCAGTTTTTGTATCTAAACTATAATGACAAAAAATATCTATTTTAGGCCAAGTACCGTTTGCCCTTCCAGGAATGCAGTGATGTGTGTGATATCTTATATTTCAGTTATTTTTGGATGCAAAAAATTATTGTACATATTATAAGATGTTTGTAAGTAATAAGCAGTCATATTTTTAGACTATACAACAATGATGTAAAAGAACAATGCCAGGTTTTAAGCAGTGTATTTTGTCCTTTTTTTACACTGCAGATATAACTTAAAAAATCGTTTCATTTCAAAGTGATGTTTATTAGCTTCTTGCATTTACAGAAATCCATCAACCACAAATGTTAAGAATAAACCTTTCGTATATTACATGGAAGATACTGTAAAATGTACAGAAGGAAATTTAGGCAAAAAAGGTGACTTTTTGTTGTTTCCATTATTGAACATGGAGAACAATCGAAGACTGAAGGGGTACGCAGTGAGCGGAAGTAATCATTCACAGGCTTTTTATAAGATTCCATTGAAGTTTTGTAATTATTTTTTTTATGATTTCCAAGTTTATCATAAAAGAGCTGATTCTTGTTTTGCGTACAAGAGGGAATTTGATCTGTTTGCCATTCACCTTCAAACCCACCGCAACCTCCTCGGAGTAAATTGAAGTTAATCGGCGCCACATTTTGGAAAGTTCAGTTAATACTCCAAGAGTCAAAATAAAATCGGATTATTCATGCATGATTTCCTCGTACCTTTGGTCCAACTTGTTTGTCACGAAAGTACCAAATACTGACCCTTAATGTCATAGGCTTTGTACAGCGAGTGGTTTTACCCTTTTTGAACAAAAAAATACAGTTGTAGTTAAAGCTAGCTTTCGGCAACTCACAAAGTTTAATCGAATCAATTACGTTTTTATGGGTGTGGAGTTTGAGGTTCTGACATCAGTAGTTTATGTTGGTGACCCGAAGGGTCGTTATAAAAAGGACGATTGTTAGACCAGAGTCGTTCACTTATGCCTCGTTTTGTATTGGGTCATTTTGCCACGTAAGCCGTGGTTTAGGAACTGGGAACGTAGACGATAACAGAGGTACTGCAAACCCGGTAAGATTTATTTTTTTTTTTCAAAGTTACCGTGGATCGTTTTTAATTTAAGTTTCCATTTTCATTGCATTCCAGACGAATCAATTGAACGAAATGCTTGCGTACTTCTTAAAGTTTGAGACCTTAAAATGTGCAACCGTGATCGAAAGTTACACAACCGAGTACCGTATAACATTACCACACATGCGTAAAAGTATCACGTGAATGAAGTTGAATACCACGTGACTCTGGGTAGGTAAACCGACGTCATTGATAACTCAATGTAGGTTTAATTAGGCCGAGTGTTTGTGTTGGTTTTGTTCAGTTCGACAGGGCGCTTCCTACAGTACGAAACGGTTCAGCCTACGTACCACCCACACTGAAAACAAAAGCCTACAAAACATAATAAAGAAGCTCACCATATCTTCTGAAAACAAAACACTCTTTTCCTTGAAACCTGTCAATAGTACACTATAGTAGCCTAGTAAGAGTTTGTATCGATTGTGACTTGCTTTTATTAACGATAGAAGTCTTGAGACCTTGTAATTATCGCGACGTGGGAAAAGACAATCACGTACCGTATGATGGCGCTCTTCTAATCAAAATAACCTCACAAGCAGACTCGAAGGACATCAGTGCTGGCAGACGGCCACTGCAACAGGTGAATAAGAAAGCTGTCAATTAGGGTGTATTTTTCCCGATGTGACCTCGATAAAAAACTGTTGATATAAGACTCGAGAGCAATCCCTCGGGGTTGTTTTAAATTCGCATACAAACATATTTTGTTGAGTTATAGACGCTGTCTTGGAAGTAAAGGTAATATACGTCTTGTCTTCAAAACATTGAAAAGTTGGGCTACTGATGAGGGAAACATTTTGACATGGGTTCATTCAGTTCCTGAAGCTCGAGCAAACCACAGATTGTGCGATTTAAAACCAATTATGCTGCATTCTCATTTACCGAATTTCCCTATCCTCTTCAATATAAACAAAATATACAATACATGCAATGGTAATGTAGACACCATCACCATGCGGTTCATGGATTATCCTGGATTACATAATTATGTACATGATATTTTCATTTTTCAGATTGTTCTGCAGTTCAGGTTCAAACTGATTTTCAGAGAAATGTCTGATATTCACTGTTTTATTAAAAAATAAAAGATATGTTTTCCCGACATGTGCAAAAGTGATTAGCATTCGAGAGCATGCATGTTTCCGGTCACGCTTGCAATGGATTTAGAATTTCCGATTCATTTGATGCCGGTTCATTTCCTCGTCTACGTACGTATACATATTGCAGGTTATTGACACAAAAGGGTTCAACTGCCGTGTCCCGCTTCCTAACTCAGGGTTCGAGGTCATTTCAAACCAACAATAGCATTTGAAAAAGTATCATTGGAAATGTACCACGGCTCTCTTCTAATCTAATGGTTTCGCAGGGCGATTTCTACGGTAGACTCGACTGAATATCTCCTCCAGACATCTGAAGAAAAAGTTGCAGGAACAAAATTATGCAAAAATGCATTTAATATATCGGTCTATTCCTTCCCCCATAGGCAAAGCGGCTACTGTAATGAATCCCGGCTTAACCCGTCTGGACGAATATCTCAAATCGCCGAGCTTTGGGGAATTGGGGACTGACAGAGGACTAACGACGTAGGGGCAAGAAAACTTTGTTAGAAAAAAGGTGTTTTCATTTTCCCCTGTCGCAAATGATGTTGATTTAGTCTTTTCTTAGCAGTTACTGACTTGCTTCTTCAGTAAGCAGTCAATAAAAAGCTCAAGGCAAGGTAGAGGAATCGATCAGAATGGATTACTTAGAAACGATACACGTGGGCAGCAATTACCTCCTTGCATTTGCATAACCTTGGGCATATCGCCCACCCCCACATCACCACCACTACCATTGGTTACTGAACGCATCACTGCATTCCCTTATCCACGGATGACTGTGATGCACACAGACCTATGCAGCTCGCAGCGAGGCCCACACAGGCAACGTGGTATCCTGCATGATCTACAGGCATTTCCATGTAGAAATTATCCAGGCGTTCACTGCGCAGATTTCTGTGCTAGTGCATGGATTCAGAACACTTATGTTAGAAGTGGTACATGGTAACTTATAATACTGGTACTTGGTAGTGCGAAATTGAGGATTGAAGATTTGGCTTTCTTGGGAAAACCACTGAAATTGGGAGCCAGACCTTAGCAGTCCATCACCTGACTGAACTCCGGAAGCTAAAGGTTTGTGTACACATATTGCACTTTTCTGTTACAGATGCTGTGGACATAAATATTTGATCAGTTGTATGTAACTGGTATTGGAAACTTGTATACGCTTCATATTGTGCATGTATGGGCAGCCTGAGAGTGCCGTGACACGCGGAGGTCCGTGCAGTAATAACCATAAGTCATATGAATCGTGACCGGCCCGTCTGTATATGCTGCGTGTTTTATTGTGTATCTGCCCGAAGGCTCACGATTTGCTCTCAAGTGAGGCTAGACTTGCAAACTTCTCATGTCGCATCGGTACTTGTAGAATGCTAATGAGAACCAATTCAAGTTGGTGGGCGTGCCAATAGAATACAGCCTCCCTTTCAACTGTAAACCATGCAAAGGGCCCACGGTATAGCGCTGGGGCTGACATAATTATGATAGAATTATCCCGTCACGAAGTGCAGAGCATAATAGAACGGTAACCCTGGACCGGCTTTACAATTGAAGCCGATGTAGTCTATTATTGATATGATGAAATTATGCAGGTCAACCCCGCACGATTGTATTTCAAATGCATTGATCTGCAAATCAAAACCAAATCAATCCGTATTCATGGTATTCTTCATGGAGCTATAGCTCCATGTTCTTACCGTGTTGTACGGCGGGCGTAATTTTTATTCCTAGGAGGGTTAGGGGCAATGTCATGAATAATTCATGTTTATCCATGAGAACAGACAATGACATCAACAGCATTGTTGTTAGTTACTCAACTAGTTACAATAATTAAAGCATTTTAAAGAACGGTTGTCGTCGAGCTACCACACAGTAGCCTAGTGGATAGCGAGATGAGCTATGGATACAAAGATCCCTGGTTCGAATCCACGTCGTCGCTGCTCATTTTCATCAGCTATTTTTCTTCTCCAAATTTATCACTGAGATCATTTTAAATTAAGGGGAAAATAAAACGAGAACCTAAGTCTTGCAATGATTGAAAGGAAAAACTGAATTATTCATGACATTGCCCCTAACCCTCCTAGGGAAAAAAATTACGCGTACGGCGGGTCAACTTTGAAATTACAGTTACACTGTAACCTCTAACTCTGTTGAGTTTGTGTCACGTTATGCAGTACACACTGGTATATCTCAGGGTTTTACTACAGAAATAAATTGTGCAGTTTGCAGTATTATAAATTGATTTATAAACCAGCATATTCTCCGTTACACAATACGCATCTTCAGCAGGATTTACAGGTAGGCTTACATGCATTATCAGATTGTATAAAATGATAAACAAATTCTACATCCTAGATTAAAATATCCTATACCTTGTCTGTCTGAGTATCACGTTTTGCCTGAGGACTCGTAGGAGTGTGCACGAAATGCAACGGTTAATTAATGGAGAGGTATCCAACCTATGCAGGTCCTATGCTACGATTTCACTGTCCTCTGATCTGAAGTCACGGTTGGCACGTGAAAAAAATGATTTGTTTGTTTTGCTGTTTTTTTGCAAATTTGTTTCTTTCAGACTTTCAATAGTTTAATATTTCAACATTATCTCTATGAAAACGTATCGCCACGCAAAACATAACATTGCTGATGACAAAAATATGCGAAAATCGCTTCACCAAGGTTTACCACGCCCACTTGGGGTCAACATGCAAATTCAGGTAAAGGTAAACATTAGTAAAGACTCCGCCCAGCTAGCGGGTGCCGCGCCACGCGCGGCATCCCGCTAGTATACATATCAAAACCATTACATCATGAATAATTTGGAATTTGCAACCAAGTTGAGGTTGTCAATGCTAAGTAGCCAATGAATGACATTGGGAAACTTTTCCTATTTCATCCTACATGAACTGACAACATTGGGGATCTCGGTGTCAAACACAATCTTGAAATTCGTCTGTTTGTTTATTCATGTGCTGGTTCTATCGAGAGGCGAAAAAAAACCTGCTGTCAATTCCAGGCAAGGGCGCGTTTAAATGAAGGGATTTAGCTGCATGTGTGGCTTCGGAGGTTGCAAATCCAACACAATCGCGTCACGCTGTGAAAGGGATTTACTGAAATACAACACAATGTGATGATTTGTGTCGGTCTGCCTGCAACATGGCATGTTCACAACAACTTATGTTTACTGGATACCGTGCGAATCTATTCCTAAAATCCCTACTAAACCCTTAAAAAAATCGTATAAAACATGAAGTTTGCGTTTTAATAGAAGTCAGGTCGTAGGAAATATTATGAAAGGGAACAGAGCCTTTCCTTGTTTTCATGCACGATGCAAATCGAGGCCGCCACATTTTAGTTAGGAATCAATACAGTTGGAGTCTTTGACTTTTGAAGGATAAACCCATTGTCAAGCGAACAAGTATTGATGTATCTAGTCTTGATTTCAGTCTGACTTCTGGCTTTTGCGGTTAATGTTGGAGGTTTCAGTTTAGGTTAATCTTGTGACTCGTGACGCGTTTATACCAATAGCAACACGGAAGTGTTGTACGTGATGAATAATAAGATAAGTCACTGTTCACAGGCTTTTTCCCTCTTGAAAATAACTTTCGATGATTTGCGAAGCAGTACATGTATACATGGATACCGTTGAAGTGGCAAATTTGGACTTCAGGAAATAAGGTATACACTGGGTGTATTGTGCATGTCTTATTAGACTACTGGATGGAACAGTGACAAGCCACACGTGAGAACTGGAGTCCAAATAACGTAAACGAGAACATATTTCGTCTGGAGTCGACATTTTAGATGACACCAGTTAAACTGAATCAATTCCCTCTCCATATAAGATACATATAGTCTTGAGTATCACCCGTTGTCAAACGGAGCCCTCTCCGTATCCAACGTCTGATATAATATCATGAGCAATGCAAATTTTGTGCGACCCTGCGCGCCAGCCAATCGGAGTCGACATTAAACAAAAATGTGACGTCATTTCGATCAGAAAGGTGGACTTGGCTGTTGATTGGTCAATTTAGCTAACATGCTTTTTGTAATACAACAACGGGTTACGGAAGACCCGATACAGGGCGCCCGCTGAATGGTGAGAATCTCGATCAAGTGTAATCACCGAATCTGCTCGTTATTCCATATGCTCAAAGATATACCCTGCATTCCTCAAATTCTTGTGTGCTGGTCAAATCCCAAAGATTGATATTAGAGACTTGAGATTCATTGTGTAGCATCGCAAAGGAAACAGGAGATATTTTTTTGTATCGGTTTTCAGGTTTGGAGCTCATCCCTGCGATTTTCCAAAACTCACCAATTTCGTTAGAATTTCTATATAACTCTAACATTTCACTTCCACAGGCGAATTGGAAATCCATACCGAAAAAGTATACTGGATATAAATCCCATCCCCGGGAGGTATAGTATAATATGTCGGTCTGTGAAAGCTCGGTGAAAGCAATCCAACAGAGATTCGCTTTACGGAATGATACTTTAATATTACATAAACATGTAGTTGCTGAACAGATGTCGTGCATATCTTCACTCAGGCAGTCTTTATACGGAGAATGTTGAGCCTCGTTCGCCTACCTTTTTTTTTCTAACATAGTGACATTTTCATGTACCTCAGATGTTGAGATTTTTAGAAATCGAACCAAGATTAAAAAAAAAAAAAGCACTGCACAGATTGAAGTCAATCCGCCTCGAAGAAATTGTCACCGAGTAACATTTTATAGGTGCCGTACTATCCCTGACAATGACTAGTGAAGAACTCATTCCGACTAGAATCAAGCCTATGAATAGGACGAGACATGGATAAACAACGTAGATCCGTGCATGCACCTACATTCAGCAAGCCTATATGATAAATGACACTTTTGAGAATATGTCAAAAACATATCATGGTTTTTATCGAGTTTTCTTATTAGTTTCTCATATGTTCTACCACATTGGTTGGGATGATATAGAGATTGCCCTATGTACTCTGTCAGCCCATGTCATTTTTAATTCATTATTTACCTTCGGGAATACAGTAAGTAGAACGCATTGTGTACAGTCACAATGCATTATGTATACCAAAACCGTCATACGCGGTACTGAAAGTACAAACGCATTCGTCCGTTTCCGTATCAATAGCCGATACACTTTTAATTATGCATTGACCAGACATGTTGTTGTTGCACACCAGAGCGCAAATTAAATTTCACTTCAAACCGAAACTACGGATAAATCTTTTAACCGACATTATTTTTTGATTACCAACGAAGTCCATAAAATAAGTATTTCGAAACAAAGTACCTGTATGCAGTGTGTCACAACAAGACGGGCTGTCGGTAGGAATTTTCTGTCCACTTTTTATGTGGGTAGGAATATATTGGCATTATAATAAGTTATTAAAAAACCTAATAACCCGCAAAAGCTATACTTGCTATCGGTGTGTTTGTTTAGGTGAACTGGTCCATTTACGTTTTTTATTGGTCCATTTATGCAGAATAATTATATTAAGTGTATGATATGAAGATAAAAGCAATTCAATTATGTTCCATCTGTTCCGAACTTGGTATGTACCTAAACCGGGACTCCATTATGTGTCACGGAGTCATTACAAACAGCCGAAACAGCTGTGTTTGTCTACGTGACACACACATTTCTATTTTGTAGGTGTATTGGTCCGTTTACCTTTGTTATTTGTCCATGTGTGCGAAATATTCGTCAATTATAATGGTATGATATGAAGATGAAATGAATTAGTACCTCCAAGGTAGTACCTCCATGAGCCAACCAAGTCGATTTTCCCTATTTATAGAGCCACCCATCCCAGAACCCTTGAAATTCTTTTCCCCTGAAAATGCACGTTTTTGTAAACTGCTTATTGTCTCTCAAATACTGCATGCATTTCACGAGCTAGACGCACAATGAATGACCCCTCGCTTTCCCAGCACAAATCTAATTAGTTGATCATTCTCATTTCAAAGCCACTCTATAAACAACGTGGGCCACATCAAGGAACACTCAAGGATTGTTGCAAATTATGACACGGAGTGGCCATTTATTAACTCAGTTCTTTCAAGTCGATAAGACACTCAGTAATATAGTTTCAGTAACTCGATTAGAACGATCACCTGTTGGTTCGTTGCTCAAAGGGCTTTCAACACAGCTTGATTTCCTAAAGGCATTAGGATCATTAGATTTTCATGCATTTGTTCGTTTCCAATAATAACACCATTCAAAATCCAAAGGAGAATATTCAAAACCTACCCTGGTGAAGTATCAGCACAGTTGATATTACGCTTTCAGAGAAAATAGTGTTGTTAGTCTCTCACGACCTATGACGTAGGGGTTAACTTGATTTGAATATCCGACATGGCTACTTATAAGACTACTTCAAAACACTGATCTCGTGTAAAAAAATCTGAATCGCTCATTGGCTGTTAGAAGTGAAATCGCCGTCCGCCATATTAGAAAAATATTGTTTTTTAATTGACATGTTCACTTTTTTACTCAACATTTTATTTGTTCTTATTTAAAAAAGTAATTTTTTTGAATATATTTAAATAGCAACAAGATATATTTGATATCAATTTTCTGCCAGAAAAAAAATGTACACTTTTTCAGACGAAGATTTCTCAAAATTAGGGAGACAATTTCCAATTTAAACACAAACACATTTATTTCCTCTTCATGGCAGAAATGAAAAATAATACAAGTTTTGAAAAAAGATAATTTGTATTGAATAAGATAATTTGTAAACTATTTTGGGGCCACCCTGTATAACACATTTGTTATTAATCGATCTTTGTATATCTCAAGACATGTACATGTATATCTTTACGTTTCGCCCCTGTTGCCCTTCATGTTCTTCAGATATTTGAATGGGAAAAAAAAAGAAATCTCGTGTAGAAATAATTGGCATGTGAAAATGAAACTATATGTTTCAACACAAGCACTGTTGTGTCTGTGTGTGACCTTGGCGTTGTTTTTCTCGCGTGATTGTCCAATGCCATTCAACCGTTGTAGTACTGCATCAAAGCCGTTTTACATCAACAGGCGTTGTCGTTGAAGTCACGAAGCACCCAGGAAATGACCTTTTATTATACATGTATATGAAAAATATACCCAACCCATAATGGTGTCTATGTGTAGGTCGAGGTATGGCATGCATGCTACATGAACTCTGCTTAATTGGGATATAATGTATAAAAGTTACAATTTACAATAAATAATACAATAAAAGTTACTGTTTATGTATCACTTGCCCGTAATGCTGCACCGCAGTGGAGATACATTGTATTTGCAAATCACCTATGCTTTTGATAGACATTTTGATTCCTCTTGGGAAATTCATTTTAAAGTCTTGAAGAAATGTCCTTGTTCTTTTAAGACTCTTGCGAACAAAGTTATATGTGCAAGCCAGAGCTGAGTAAAGTCCTTTAAATTTCTATTTTTTTCCCTCTAAATCATGTATATTTTTCCAATCTGAGTCCTAACCTGCTTTAACGTATGTAGTAATTTAAGAAAAATTAAATGGAGGTTATTAATGGACATTTTAATAATCGATTCTTTGAAAAGTGGTTTTGTTTCCTTCAATCCACGATGTTTTAGCGTGATAATCATTGCGACTTTTTTCTGTGTTCTCTTTAATTGGTCATGATTATTCTCTGCAATCGGCAACGAGGCAATTGTCATTAGGCTTTTTACGCGAGTATGTCCAGCGTCATTTATAATAAGAGAGAAAGCGAGAGAGAGCGAGAGGAAAACAATTAAACAATGAAGACAAATGGGGCGGAAGGGGTATCAATTTTCTCCAACAAAATGCCGCCTCACCGGTGCTACTGTGCCACATTAACAATAACCATGATGTTTTATTAGTCCGCAATTTTTATGCAAATGAGCACGCTGAGGCAACCAATAATGAGAGCGCTTGTACGCACGCGCGTATATGCACGTACGCGCACTCACTGTTGCAAGCCGTATGGGGAATATTGCATTCCACAAATCCGACTGCCTTTTCTACTTAAATTCTACGGTCTGATGTGTGCCTTGTTGCTTTGCAGATAGCAGGAGCAAAAAGGACAAGCCGAACTAGGAGAAATCTGTGCCGATCATCGCACGCTCAGCTGTTGAAATTTCACGGTGGGTCGGTGACGACTGGTGTTTTTTTGGCGGGAAGGTTGCACACATGCCCAAGGTGAGTTTTGAAGAAGAAAAAAAATCACATCGCCACACTGTGGCCTTTTCAATGTATTTCTTGGTATCAAAATCATTGACCGCGTGCTCATGTTTCCAATTTGCTGTATATTGATTTCTACAAATTGGCGGGAAAAGGATTAACTTTATATACGAATTGCACAGATTGTCAAAGTGAGTTGCCGGAAGCATTAACTTATTGTCATTCTTCGCTGCTTGATAGAATTACGACAAAATGACTCGGCTATTATCTACAGCGCACTTGTTGATGATGATGTTAATGTTTGGTGTAATATAATACGCACTTCGTGTCGAAGATAAAGAACAATTTCGGTATGAAACCAGTAGGCTTATCGGTCATCTGATGTTGCTGTGTAAGGAAAGAATGTTGCAACCTGACGCTGCTTTTTCTTCATATATCATCTCGATGAAGGTCGGTCATTGCTAAACTATGATGACGATGAGACATGAATCTGGGACTGAAACACATTTTCAATTTTGTTAGGAAATGCTTAGAAAATGTTCTTGACTCTCCATAGACTTTGTACACAACCGCTAAAGTAGCGTCAGGTTGCAACATTCTTTCCAAGTGTAATAATAGTTTAGTAAAAAAAATTATAAGACTTTCAGTTTCAAAAAGGTAACTTGGCCACCGAAAGGTTTTATTTCTGTCCCGTCATGGTATCTCTGACTAAGCTTTTTCAACCGCGGGCTAACAAAACATATAGGTAACAGCGATGTGTTGAGTTCCCCGTTCAACAGCCTGCAATTTTTGTAAACAAGTGCGACGTGGTCGAACGCCTATAAGCCTACACAATTGGAATTCGTAATGGTTTGTAAGTCTGGCATTAATACAGCAAGAATTTACGAGACAACATGTGCTTGCAATGATCACTGTAACATTGAGGATGTAAAAGAGGATTTTGTAGGATTCCGAAGTCTTCTACCAAAACGGGGAGTGGTGGTCGACATTTACTAACTCACACGTTCATTGGCAAAAACTTTTTTCGATCATTCATTAATCATATCAAAATCTTGTAGACGCTGTTCGAAAGCTTTGTGCGGAAAATTTGATGCCTCGTCAAATTCAGATTGCCTCAAAGTCAACGCACCGGAAGGAATCCCAATTCCGGTTGCCATAGTAACGAGTCCTGTCTCCCAACACGCGAGTTTAAGTTCTTCCCTCAAACAAAAACATTGCATAATTATTGCCAGACTGAATTCCTACTTTTCTTATGCTATATACGTTTCTTCAAGATGCGATCAGCTTTGAAAAAAAAGCAAGCGGATGTAGCCAGTTGGGTATCAAACCTTATTAGCGTAAATCTTCGAGAGGATTTCGAGCTGGGCCATAACTCATGCTCTTCAACGTCAAGAAAATAATTGGCAATAAACCTACAAATGTCAATGCAAGGATGGTAATAAGCTAATATCTAGACAGATGTTTAGACATCATTTAAAAGACTCTTGCTTTGTCTAATGAGGACTAACTCAGTGCCGTGTTGCTCATGAATGACATGACCGTTGTGAATCAGGATTTGTTTTAAATAAAACAATTATTTTTAGCCGAAAGTTAAATGGGACGTTTGCCTCAAAATTTAGTTTAATGTATAATACTAGCGACGGCCAACTTGTGAACTTGATAAACTGGTTCAAGTTGAATTTTCCACAAGCGTAACATGTAGGATAGCAAATATTTGTAAAACAGGTTACCAGCCAAAATATCATGCAGTGTACAGTGTACATTTCCTATGACTGGTACTCGGCTGATTTGTTAATTAACATATAAGTTTGCTCAGCAAGCATTCTCTTCGAGTTTATTTACGCAGCTATATCCTGATTCCGTTACACGTGTTGCCAGTTGCAATATTTTTTTTTCTAAATAAGTGGAAAACATACAAAACGAAAATTAATATTTTTTTTCGAACTATTTCAGCCATGAGTTGAATACGAAATGTTTTTTTTGTTTAATTACACGCGTAGCTGGACATTTTTGACAATGACGAAGTGCCAGCTGAAATAATATTTCATTTTGAAACGAACAAAATTTCCTCCCTTGTGATTTTAGCAGACGTTGCGGTGTCGTTAATTAATTTCTGCAGCATGCAGAATTACGCGTTGAACAAAAAAAACTTGAAGCGAGAAAAGAAAACTCTGCGCAAAGTGACAAGTTATCTTGACAACTGGCAAGAGATGCTATATACGATAACATCTCTTCGGTGACATGTGTGTGTGTTTAAGAATGTGAGTTCATACTTAAAGCAGAGTGCGCGGAATCTTGCTCTGTGCCTTGAGCGATGGGGATCTTCCCGTTCTGTCTTTTGCTGCATCCTTTCGAGACGTTAATGCAACTCGTGGGCAGTTTGTTGTCGCGATTAAAGGACTCTAAATAACTGCTAAACCGTACCTTTACTGGTCTTTTGAGAATTGTTGCTCGTTTCTGAATCGTGCATATTCAGATGATGAGCAAGATTACCCCCTCCCCCCGGTCGGCCGTGCTTTATAGTGTTTGGCACCAAGTAAAAGCGTTCTGTCGTCATTAGCATTTTCTCGCTCGGCAGAAGAATATGAAGTATTTCATTACATCATGTTTTTTATTACATCCGAAGTCGATATAGTTTTTTATGCAGTCCTTGAGTCAAATTGGTTGTCTAAAAAATTATATGAAAAGACATAATAAAGGAAAATACGTTTGCTTTATTCTACAGTTCACGTTCCTAGATATCTTGAAAGATTGCATGACTAAAGTCAAATCAAAACTAGGAAATCTCCAACTGGAAAGATTTTAGTCGTCTGTCTTAACACACGTGTACCTTGGGCGAATCAATTGCCGTGGAATTTCTCAACCGGCAGCTTTGGCCCAGAATGCATTCATTAATTGTTCAAATTTGACCGGAGACACGCCAGCACGTGCCGTTAAAGTTCAGTTCAAACAGTACAACTCAACACTCCTGGCTCATCGTCGACGCTGATTGACCAGGTATGGAACGCCCAAGGGGAAAACAAGCTACCGCATCATTTGTAAATGATTGGTTTGAGAGATGTTGTGGCGTTATTTCGCACGTCTCTCTGATCCCCGAGGTGTTTCGATTTTTGTTGTTTTTCGTTTCCCAGAGGAGAATCAGAGAAACTCATCATGCAAGGCTTGTTTCAGCGATTGGGCAAAACAATAAATTTGTAGCACCTCACGAAACGGTAACAAAATTGAATCAATTCAGTCTGTTTTTACCCCTGACTGCGAAAGACAGTTTTTTTGTTCCATGAAATCGAAGAAACGGGAGATAGATCTCACATCGCCTCAGGCTCTTCCTCTTCTACTGCCGTTTCCATGACAACCGAAACGACTAATCTCCCTAAAACGCGACGGATGTCAATGACTGTATAGGGATTCCTATAAAAGAAACTGACAGCGGACAGTGTATCGTTACACTGTCGACGCTGATAAAAGCTATTATTACAGACCCAAACTCCGATTTAAAAGATGTGGTGGGAAAAAAATCACTCTACTTCTAATTTTTGTATTTTTGACATTTTGATAGAAAACAAAACAAGGTAATCCTAGCTGATCCAGTAAAATGACTACTTACTGAATTATTTTTATTGTCTACACAATGGCTCGAATTAAACCAATTTATTGGCGTTACGGCGTAATCCTTTTCGATAGCACTGCCCGGCTCCCGAGTGACTGTCGGTGAGTAAGTAGTGGAGTCAGTCAGTCAGTCAAACAGGTATTTGTTAAAAACCACATGCCATTCTGGTCTCAATTCGGCTCTTTATGAGGGGCCAAAAACTGTCCTTCGTTTCAGTTAATAAAGCCACTGTCGAAACAAAAATGTTGGATGACAGGAAGCCCGTTTCGGAATTTCTATTTTTTTAACCTTACGGCTCCGCTTAAAAAAAAAAGGAAAACTGTAATTTACTGTGACATTCGCGATGTGGCGGTCCCTTTTAATTTAAAATTTTTATTAAAATGCGACAAGAGCCCCTGCCATTGATGGTTGGCCAACCATGCATAACTGTTCGTATTGAACGGCCTGTTTCTATATTAAAACCCATTGACTTATCATCCGTAAGGTACCAGACGATCGGTGAGTTTATTTTCCCTTCTTTTCTTTTTTTTAAATTGGAAGTCCATTAGCGATTAGTGCATTAATGGCGGATATAGGCTGTCAACCACACGACAGAATCAGTCAACATAGCGAGCCAGTAGCGTGGTACTCATTCCGAGACCGGGTTGTTTTTGGTCCATTGGGGATTGGCTAGGCCTAAAAGGTAAACATGGTGGCCTTTTTCCTAAAAGGCAAACATGGTGGCCTTTTTCAAGGGCTCAGGTAATAGAGATTGTATTATTATTATAATGTTTCAATCATTGCCATGCACCCTTTTTGCCCCAAACCCTCCTCCTGTTTGAACAGTCACATAGATACAATCAAAATTTCCATCCACTTCCCCTGCCATACCTTTTACACCAGCGGCTAGTCGCCGTCAATCAGATCATATTTCCACAAAGCACTCTGACTAGTCAAATTCAGTCATCGGACAAAAGCAGGGAACTGGTAGGAACAGTTGTCTTATCAATCACTTACAGTCAAAGCATAGCTGTCAAGATACATAAACAGTCACAGCCAGCCCATCCTGCTTAATGTAGGCTGGGAGCTCTTAACTGTTGAAAACAGTCACTTGATTGATTTTGACTGAAAGGACAACTTTGCACAGAATGTATGTTAACATAGGAGGGTTAACCATTATTTTGTATTTATATTTTCAATCTTCGTAATGCGTATTTTTAAAAATCTTCCAGAGGTCTCTACTTTTTGGTTTTGTGCTAATGCCCATTCCATTTTGATCATGAGATAAGCCGAATTATTATGTGGCAGCAAATAATTCGATTTTTTTAAGACTTAAATCAATAAGTAAACGTCGGTGTTTGTTTTTTGTTCAATACCTTATTGAAATGTGACAAACTTTTATATTGCTAGGAAAATAGCAATTGAAAAAACA